TTGAATAAGAGAAAGATCATTGGCGGTTTCCTTCACCATGAAAATCATACATTTCCAAATAACTAACCCTCTTTATCTTCCCAAGACGATAGGCCAAGACATACCCAAGCTTCGGCTTGAGGCAACACAATGCCTTAAGCCATAATAATGTTTTGATGGAGAACTCCTTCCAAATCAAATACGGTGGTGGTAGTACTCGTTGTCTCGATTTCCCCTCCGTAAAAAATACTATTGATTACCCTAACTAGAGGCATCAAAACAGCCTAGCGGAGCCGGTACACATTAGTCCCTAAAAGCATCAATATTAAGGGTGTTTTTTTAATTTCCCTAAACCACAATTTCTAGGCAGGGGTCGATTGCGTAAAAAAAATGTAGTTGGTTCAAGAAGAGGACGGGCTGGTGATATCCCTGCACGACCTCACGGTGCAGGGTTACCTCACCTCGTGCAGCTGCTGCACGAGGTGCAGCAGCTGACCTCACAATAAGCGGCGGGGCATAACATACCCTCCTTTCAGTGAATTGCACTAAGTTTCCTGTAGTCCTGGACTATGTCCAGGACTAAAGTATACTTGCTGGTTGATCAGTAAGCTATTGTGGTGGCCTTTATAAGCCTCTAGAGGCTGATAGACCTCAGGCCAAATCATATTTTCTTAAGTGAGAAAAGTATAACCTTGAATTGCCTATCAGCCTTCGGGAAACATAATACACTGACAACTTTATCAAAACTTAATAAATATTAAAACATGCAGTCTACACTAGCTATTGTATATACCACATTACCATGGAAGAGGAGCCACATATTTACGAGTCATCTAGATGTTACCAATACTAAGCTTAATGGTTGCGAACTAGATGTTACTAATACTAAGCTTAGTGGTGGCGTAATAGAGCAACGACGCATGAGGAATGATCGCGTAAGGCGGAGTGCGTCATGCGCTGGGCCTGTACGTCGCCACCTTATACAGCTGGTATCCCATTCCCCGGCATCATCTTCATGTGCCTGTTTATTGTCCACGGTTTTAACACGCCTTAGTGATCTTTGCATTCGAGAATGTAATCTAGGAATGTTTCAGCAAGATGACAATAATTTCCTGTGTCACAGCAGGATGTTCATACACCAACTGCTGCGGACCGAGGCAGTTGTTGCTTGCTCTGCTAATTGTAATGCCTCGCACCGCAGCGCCAAGGCTACACACCAGCATATTTATTAGTTATTCACTGCTGAAAAACTGTTTGGTAACTTGGCTTTCTAAATTAGTACTTTAAAGTTTAATCATGTAATGAAACACACACGATCAAGATTCTGATGAAGTCCTCCGCATCTCCACACTCCACTGAGTCAGGTGGAGTGTGGAGGTACAGAAACATTTGGTCTCACAGGAGGCAAGGTTGTGGCAGACAAGTGGCCAAGATACAGCTCTGGGTCTCTGGGTCTTCCCCATGAACCTCAGCTGTAATGGGATTTTTGTGATTTTATAATTTGATCTTTGTGATTCTACTCTGATTCAACAACTCTAATTGAAATTCAATTCTGACTAACCTCGATTGATTCTTAACTTTTATCACATCATCATTAATAGGTGAACTTCATCCAGGAAAATATATCAAAACAAATATTTTGGCAAGTATTCTAGTTAATATATGTTCTGCGTATTTGGCACAGCTTTAAGACAGACTCTTAAGGGATCCCTTATGGACACATGGCTTAAACGAAGTGTTCCCAACTCCTTACTCTCATATCCCTTCCAAGTACAGTACTGTATAATCATACCGACTTGGCACTTTCTCTTCAAAATTACCTTACCATAAAACAAAGTGTGACACATTTCTGACAATCTCCCGTTTTCAACAAAAGAAATAAAGCATAAGAAAGCGACCTACTGATACCTCTGGGAGTGAAAGGGAGAATAATACAAGCGCAACACATTATGTGATAACATAAGGATTTAATGGATCTTCAGAAAAGCCTATTGGCTCATACAAGGCAGCTCCTATTTATATCAACGCAAACGCATTCACATATAACTAACTTATGCTTAAACAGTCCAGCAATCCCACATATGAATGACACGCATCAAGGCCCTTGTGGATTTGTACAAATGAATGAGTTTAATGGGAAATATATAGAAGCTGCCGCGTATGGACCAAGAGATCTTCTGCAGTTTCCTTTATTCTTATGTTCTTATACATATTATGTTGCACAATTCAACAATGCTGCGGTTTAAGGTAACTAGTCATCCATGCCCTCTCAACAAATTTACAGTATACCAAGTTATATTTGTCATACACAACATAATACAAGAAGTTCGACAATACAGTAATTCCCAAGAAAGAATGGCGTCTGGGTCTCCCCAACACCTGTACCGGCATCCGGCTGGTGTACATTTTATCCAATTACTAAACTGGTCGTCTCCGGATACATCTAGAGGCTTAAATAATTCAGGTCCTTTGTTCTATAGAGGAAACACGTGGGGGATCCGTTTGTTATGTGTTGAGTGGCGTCCCCAGGGGCTTGTGGCCTGCTTGAGCAACTCGCGCCATGATATCACTCTCCCCACACACACTCGTACGTCACGGTCACCTCTCTCACACATTTCAACATTGTCAATTACCATAACATGAGGGTTGGAAAGCACTCAGTCTTTCGAAAACAGAAACTAATGAAGTCAGAGATAGCATATTGCATCTATTGTTCCCGTTCTATCCCTTTCGTTCTCTTGTTCAATAATTTTCGACCGCGCCACTAATTCCTGAATGACGAAATAACAAAATATATACAGTATGATATACTTCCTCTCCAGTATACACTGGAGAGGAAGTATGGGACGTAGTATAAATTGAGCATTAGAGAGTAGCTTCTTTGTACGCCGTTTTGGCTAGTAGTTCTGAAGGGGCAATTGTATAGAAATTATCCTCTTTTATGTTCTAAAAAAAGCAAGAAGAGGTAGGGCAAGTTCAATACATTATGTATTAGTACTTTTGTTCGCCAGGTGTGTGGAGGGTTGCTGGGAATATATAGTGTGGGAGAAAGGGAAAATTTGGACACGGTTGGTGTGTGTGTGTAATTAGCTAAGTGTAATTACACACACACACACGTGTAATTACCTAAGTGTAGTTACAGGATGAGAGCTACGCTCGTGGTGTCCCGTCTACCCAGCACTCTTGTCATATAACGCTTTGAAACTACTGACAGTTTTGGCCTCCACCACCTTCTCGCCTAACTTGGTCCAACCGTCTACCACTGTTTGCGAAAGTGAATTTTCTTATATTTCTTCGGCATCTTTGTTTAGTAAGTTTAAATCTATGACCTCTTGTTCTTGAAGTTCCAGGTCTCAGATGTGTGTGTGTGTGAGTGTATGTCAGGGGTCCCTGGAGTGAAATTGGTGTACCGGAGGTCCCTGGAGTGAACGGCGGGGTGTGCACTGGAGGTCCCTGGAATGAACATGGTGTACCGGAGGTCCCTGGAGTGAACGGTATGTGTACTGGGGGTCCCTGGAGTGAACGGGGGTGTGCACTGGAGGTCCCTGGAGTGAACATGGTGTACCGGAGGTCCCTGGAGTGAACGGTATGTGTACTGGAGTGAACAGGAGTGTGCCAAAAGTGAGAAAGTTTCGGTCTGTCCTGGGCCATTATCTAGTCGTGACATAGCAAGGGTGGAGAGGACGTCAGTACAAGGTCAGAGAAGGTGAGGAGCAAGGCGGTGAACTGCCAGAGTAAAGCATGAAAACCAAGCTAACATTAGAACATAAAATCAAGTAAAGCGCCCAACATGAACCTTAGTCCAGGGCTTGGATTCGTCAAGCATTTACGGTGCGTAAATGCTTGATGAATGCGAAACCTGTACATCTTTCTGTACAGAAACCTGTACACTTGCGAAACCTCGGGGCCTGACAGCGGAGTGGACAGCGCTTCGGATTCGTAGTCCTGAGGTTCCGTGTTCGATCCCTAGTGGAGGCGGAAACAAATGGGCATTGTTTCTTTCATCCTGATGCCCCTGTTACCTAGCAGTAAATGGGTACCTGGGAGTTAGACAGCTGCTACGGGCTGCTTCCTGGGGGTGTGTAACAAAAAGGAGGCCTGGTTGAGGGCCGGGCCGCGGGGACGCTAAGCCCCGAAATCATCTCAAGATAACCTAAAGGAACCTTTACATCTTTCCTCAATTATAGTGATTTTTGTTCACATTTATTAACCAGTTTATGATTTCCAAAGCACTTCGAGATGTTTTATAACAATAATCTAGGGTTGAGAAGTTTCGAAGCTCCTAAACTTTTTAATAAATGTAAACAAAAAGGCCATGACTGTTGAAAGATGTACAGGTTTCGTAAGTGGTTGCGTAAATACTTTATGATTCCTGGCCCAGGATTTGTTTCTGTTGACTCGTGTCTTTCTCAGTACACAGTTAAATACTTTAGTCTTAGCAAGCATGATCTGACCAATTTCTGGACCCTCTGTGCTCTCATTCGATCTCTTCTGTTCCTATCTCCTTGTCTTTACTTTTATTATCTTTGTCTTATTTCGTTTTATTGCTTTTTACGTTTCTCTATCCTTTTCTAATTTGTTTATATGTTATTGTTTTCCTTTCTTCGTGTAGGGAACTACTTCAGTTATCAGCCCTTCAGCAGAACATTGTTATATTCTAATGTTATCTCAGTTTTCATACTCTACCTCTCCACTTGCAGTTCCCTCCTTTCACCTGATCTTCCTTCTGACCTTACACTGACTCCTCCTCCACCTTTGCTACGCCACGACTTAATAAGGCTCCAGGACGGACCGAAACCTCCTCTCTTGCATTTCATGTGAGGGTTGGGTTGTGTGTTTTGCGCCACGCGCTTGTGTTGACACAAGGTTATAAGTATGAACCTCACGGACTTGGCACATGCGCACGAGAGCTACAAGATACACAAATGATTTAACAGATCCAGACACTACTAGCTCAGCCCCTCCCCCCCCCCACCACCTCCTTGTTTGGTACACCAGCGATCCACTCCCATGGTTGTGCCATGGGAGTGACACATCCCACTCCCCTCAGGCCCCCCTCCAATGGCTACACCAGTGATCCAGACATAACCAGCCCTCCCCACCCCCATGGCTACACCAGTGATCCAGACATAACCAGCCCTCCCCACCCCCATGGCTACACCAGTGATCCAGACATAACCAGCCCTCCCCACCCCCATGGCTACACCAGTGATCCAGACATAACCAGCCCTCCCCACCCCCATGGCTACACCAGTGATCCAGACATAACCAGCCCTCCCCACCCCCATGGCTACACCAGTGATCCAGACATAACCAGCCCAGCCCCCCTCCCCCCCTATGGCTACACCGGTGTTCCGCTGACAACAAGCTGAGGCTGGTTCGCGGAGCTCATCATCAGTAGGAGGTCCGGAGAACCACCGCCCATGTTAGATGCTTTTAGATGTGTATTAGACGCTTGTTGTTTAATTTTCATTAAATTGTAATTTCCAATTTTCTTACATTTGCTCGAGACATAGGTGTATTTTCTCTTGACGTGGTTCATTCATGATTTGTAAAATACAGTGTACATATTTGTATGACAATACAGTGTGTGTATCTGTATGACAATAGCGTACGTACCTAAATGACAATACATTGTATGTGAATAACAATGGTGTACATATCTTTAAGACAATACAGTGAACGTATCTGTATGATGATACAATGTACGCATCTCTATGACAATATACACATCTTTATGACAAATACGTACAGTGTATGTATCTGTATGATAAATGTACCTATTTGTATGATAATGCAGTGTATGTCTGTGTATGACAATTCAGTACAATGTTTATGACAATTCAGTACAATGTTTATGACAATTCAGTGCACGTGTATGTGTATGACAATGCAGATATAAAAGTATTTGCATGACAATACAGCCTGTGAGGTTTCACTTCCAGCGAGTGAATCACTTGGGGGGGGTGGGAGGGGAAGTCTTATGAGAAAGATGAGCCATTTACCGTGTAGGCTGGAAGACAGAGCAAGCACGCCTTCTTTGTATGACTCCGTGCAAAACAACACTTATTCTTCCTACTACCCAGCTGACCCGTATACACTGCTCTATATAGCATATTTCTTATGAGTTTTTAAGGGCTGGTCTAGCGGATTATGGTATTCAAAGAAGTCAGAGTATAACGACGCCTGCACACGAACAAATTAAATATAAAGCAAAATAAAGGCTATTGAAGGGTACCGCATTTATTAAAAGGGAAGCATTAATTAATAATACCCAAATTGAGAAACAGCAGATGGACAATTCCTTTGATGTTCACATTGACAACAAACTGAATTTGAATTGTTATTTACAAAATATATATAAGTGTTTTAAGCAGAATCTGTAGATCATGAGCAGGGAATTACTACAAGGGGTTCCAGGTAAGAGGGAGCAGATGGTGATGTACTGATTTACTCCTTTTCCAACTACTGGAACACTGGTGGCTGTTATCAGTACTACGGCTTATTCTGTTTTTCTTAATAGTATTCCGGTGCCTCCCCATGACACACGGTCTTGGATGTGGGGAACTCCCAGCCACACGACCCGCAGAGGGTAGAAATCCCTCTGATATTAACATTCCAACACACCTGAACAAGTGACTGTTTCATTACACTGTACTTATTACCTTCCGTCTTATACATACAGAGCAAATAATTGTATGAATACACTGTTCACGTGATAGAGAAGTTGTGGGGGGGGGGGGAGATGATGAATGATTTACCATGAACTGCAATTAACAGGTAGCGTTTTTTAACGTTATGGTAACCAACGTTATAATTGTAACCTACTATGAGAAGTAACGGCTCACAAGTATCTATATTTACGAATCAATTAGATTTAATACTAAAACTCAACGTTGTGAATACGCTCTCAAATGAACTGAACAAGGTATCAATAACGAGATAGATTTAGCCACACATATTAACCATTACAGAGCGCAATTGCTCCAGCCGTATGGGAAATTAAAGAACTATGGTTTAGTGTTAGGCTATCACAAACCAAACATGGCTAGTTCACTAAAAAGAAGTTGACTAATAAAAGAAGTAGACTGTGTGAGAAAGCAGCTGTGATGCTCTGAGAACAGAGAAGCCGGAGAGATGTTATGATAGTCTTCGTGCAAGATGGCTGACTATTTGTTCAAATTCTTCCAAAAAAGAAATTGAAAGATAACTTCAGCATTGGACAGGAAGAAATGTCAAAATAACCTAACAGAAATGGAGTAACTGCAGAAAATCGGCGAAGAAAAACACAACAAGTTAAATTTAGTAACAATTAATTCCGGTTTCTAAAATAGGAAGCTTGTACTTTGCTTGTCGAGGTCCCAGGTGACTATCCTGCCCCTCCCCCCTCCCCAGGATGTCTTCCCACAACATGTGCCCAGCTCCCGGGTACCTATTTAACGGCTAGGTGAAAAAGAGGCATCAGGTGAAAGAAAACATAGACAACCGTTTCTATCCTGCACGAGGATTGAACCCGGGTGCCTCACTTCTGAGCCGAGAATGTAGACCATTGTGCTATGGAAGCGCATTAGGAGATGAGTGATGGTACGGTATTAGTATGTAATAGACACTCCACCTTTAGGAGTTATAATGGGCTGTAAAGGGATATATGCTGTACTAGAGAAAAAACACCTCTAGTGATCTTTGGAAAAGCCTGACGAAGTTTGCATATATTAATGACTAATGTATATTTATTATTAATGAGTAATTTTAGTTGACAGACCTTTACTTATTTTACTGATGTACAATATTGTACTATACAATGATTTGTATTAATGTATTTTAAATATTATATAATGTACTTTCATCAACAGAAGTAGCAGTGACTTCTAGAGCAACAGCAGCAACAGTTGAAGGTCATCCTTGAAAATGGTGCCGCAGTGGACAAGTGTGGTGGTGGTGGTGCTAGCACTAGTGTCCGTGACCTCTGCCATTAAGTGTTACCAGTGTAGCAACTGTGGTACCTCTGTTGGAAACGTTCAGGGGTGTAATCCTGAATACGATGTCTGCATGGTCAGTACTAGTGCATCACTTTACATACTAATCCCATGATTTAACAGGGCAAATGGGAAGGATACCATTGACAAGCCACCGGCTTCCTGTCCCCGTCGAGACCACTAAAGGTAGTGACCCTCGGGTAAATTTACATAAAGTGGACATGGGAAAGTAACAAATGTCTTCACCACAACAATCAAATCAACTGCATAGTAATTGTATAATGTCACGTGTTCTAATATTTATTATCAATATTTCAGAAACTTGACCTTCCTGGCCGGATAGAAAAGGCTTGTGGACGCAGTAACGCGTGCGGTTTGAGAACCTTTGACCGGGATGCCACCATTGCCTTAAACACCATCAGGACCTATCTTGGTAGTGTGGATACAGGTAAGATTATTAACAGTTGTTCATTAGTACAAAGACCATAAATTAAGCAAACTCGAATTTGTGGCAAAGAAACCATAATGGTAAATGCTTTTTCTGTATTGCTGTTTGAACTACAGATTCTATAATGTCTATGCCTAACATCGTTAAGAATCACCTTTTTATTGCGTATCATTGTTATATCTCTCTCTTGGACATATGTTACCGTACTTTTCATTTAGTATTAAGTGTTTACCCCGTCATACATATAAATAATTATTATCTAAATTATTCTGTTTAACCCGAAACGCTTTGCGTAGTAGTGGCTTCATGTTTATGTGTAACCGCTGTGCCTACAGATGTCCTTTTGTCTTCCTTGTACACACATTTTTATGACTAAAGTATTAATATTATTATTATTTTATCGCACTTTCAGTATAAAGGAAGCAGGTGATATAACTCTTAAAAACTGAAATTTCCTTTTGATATTTTTTAGGAACAATTGTATGAATAATTTATTACACCTTTACACATGGATTAGTTTGCTGTTGACGGTTATAGTAAATCTCATTGACAACAAACTTTCGAAAACATTATAATTTGCGTTACATCTTTTGAGTACAGATAAGTCATCCATATTAACTAATTAATGGCAATGTCAAGACTTTAATACAAGACTTTAACAATAAAATTGTCATTATTTATGTAATTAATATTGCACATTTAAAACTCTATATGTTCCCCTGCCTTCATGTAAGATCTATGCCCCCTGCCTTCATGTAAGATCTATGCCCCCTGCCTTCATGTAAGATCTATGCCCCCTGCCTTCATGTAAGATCTATGCCCCCTGCCTTCATGTAAGATCTATGCCCCCTGCCTTCATGTAAGATCTATGCCCCCTGCCTTCATGCATAAATTATTAACAATAATTCTTGAGCAATAGTCACAATGTAGTTGAGTACCAGACGCTCAACTCTATATATTGCAACAATTCTTATACCTAATTACCATCAATCATCGCAGGTATTCAAATTCCGGACGACAACGCGCTGGCGAAGATGATAAAGTGTTGTGATGATGATCTATGTAACTCTGCCGTGAGCAAGCTCATAAACCCTCTCCTCCTCCTCCTCGTGCCTCTCGTCATGTACTCCTTGCAGTACTAAGAGTACATCTAGAGGTAAAACATTACAAAGATTGTATTGCATTATTTTTGTCAGGGGCACGCTACCCACTTGCTAGCGTAGGGGGGCAGTATTTAGCTAACACTTTGTTTTTACAAGCCTACCCTTGTTTTCTTGTTATAAATGGTAAACACGAGGATCGTTATTAGATTTTTTTTGTTTTTGAAGATGATGTATTTAAGGATTATATAAATAAATGTCCATTTGCATTTCAATTAAAGCAGTGTTAAGGAATAAAATAAGATACTACTTAATGTGGGAGGGGAGGGGGGCGGTGGAGACAAATACCGAACTATATTAGGTTATAATTATTAAACGGGTTGAATTATTGATGCGATGATTATTTATTGACTAATTTTTTTTTATGATAGGCCTATCCTTCTTCACAATACAAAACCACCACATGGAAGCCATAAGAGTTAACATATGGAAATACACTGAAACCATAGTAAGCAGTGAAATAGGCAGAAACAAAAACTGGGAAAATGAACTCTTCTATAGAGAGTTCAAAGCATCTTTTCCTGGAACATTTCAGTTTGCTTACCCAGTCACTTGCCATAGTTACTGATGGATCTAAATCCGTGGCTGGCGTGGAATTTTGGGTTGTTCCCCCCCCAGACACAACACATAAATCATATCTCTTTAGTATCATCGCACATGATATAGACATCCTCAAGTAAATAGGACAAGAGGACATGGGTGCACGCTGCAAACACCAAGGAATCGAAGAAATGCAAGGGAAATACTTGTGAACTGTGCGGGTCGTAAACAAGTGGAATGCACTGAAAGACAACGTCGTGGAAGCCACTTCTTATCTTCAACTTTGAAGGCCAGAATCGGCAAAGAACTCGAACAGCAGTAAACTTAAACAAATAAAAATCAGGTGCATCAGTGCTAGTCGATGGGTATGAAGCGCTATACCTGATTCCCCCCGCAGTTACTGTTATAAAAGTACGCTATACACCTCATTTCCATGTAGCCTAGTACAATACAGTGGCTACGTAATACCTTATACACAGGGCGCCTACCTATAGACCCACCTGCACAAATAACCCCCACATACCACCATACTTTTCACCATACACTCTTCATTCTCCTCTCGCTGCCCAGCTTGCACAATACTGTATATACACAGAGTAGAATCTTAGTTTTATAAATTTTATGTTCGTATTAATAGATCGTCTATTAATAGATCGTGTATTCATAGCGTGGGTGTATTAATAGCTCGTGTGTATTTCACAAATCCTTATTAACATTATCATTCTTAAAACAATTAATTGATTTTGCAGAACCAAGGTGTGCCCAGGTGATTAACTGCTGCGATACAAACTCTTGCAAGGTTGAAGCTGCTCACGCCTTCATTTCTTCTCTTAATAATTCATATTAGATTTCGAAACTGTCTGGTCACCCAATTCCAGGAGTGATTAAAGGTTTTACTATACTATCATTTATAGGGAATTGCAGAAATTATATAAGACTGCATATGGGAAAATGCGTACTTTTAAGCGTATTTAAAGTCATTGCTGGAGAAATAATAGTCTTTTTTATTATTATTAAGCGTATCATAAAGGTTAAGACTTGATTCTTTTACTGATTTTCAATACTGTATTCAAAATTTAATAAAGTGCTTGTACGAAACTATGATGAGCAATTTGTTCATGAAGTATGGGATTTAAACAAATATATATAATGTAAGTAAATACTTTTATGTTATTTTTGTATAGCACAATGAGCCATTTCATAGAGTTCTATTGTAGCAAATATTATGTATATCTAGAAAACTATATAACTAAGCTTCCAAATTAATGTATTAACCTGTACATATAATAAAAAAGTGTATTATAAAATAATAACTGAATAGAGAGTTTTGTGCCTATTGTCAAGCTTACAGCAGCAATTACTTTCTAACATACAAGTTTGTACCTCCATTAACCACTTAATGGTAAGAGATGTTGTCAGTGCTGTAATTTGGTAAGCGATGATGTCAATGTTATAATTACTGTATTTTCCACCTAGAGATGTCACAGGGTAGACTGTGTACTTGGTGAGCTTCCTGTGGGTTCAACCAGTTAATGTGCCGTTGGTTGCATCATTCCTCTATTCTCTAAACCAAATTTATCGAAGTACACCAGAAATATTTTCCTTTGAAGAATATAGTAAAAGGTGTACATCAATTCTTGACAAATTGTAGCAGTTTAGTTGATTGTTTGTTAATTAAAATTTCAAATAATTTCTAGCGCGGAACTGGCAAGCAAATTTACCCATTTTTTTTAGTATAAATAACTCAGTGCATATGACCGCAGAAAGTGTTTATAAACAATTTGTAGAAGAACGGTTTACAAACCGCCTATTACAAGCTGTTGCTTGCATTGTTCATTCGCATTCTTTGAAAGGTCATCATGAACCATTAGACACCCAGCCCACAAATCTGAAAATAAAAGAACTGGCGACATTTCGGCCCGTTGTCGATCACTACACGACTTGATAATGGTCTTCCTTTATCTTCAGATGTATGGGTTAGGTGTTTAATTTTCAGCCACATTAGTGTGACTGTCTGCCATGAACAACAATCATCTGGACTGCTAAGTTTGTGCTGGTTCCTCTTATAACCTAATGTTATCATAAATTGCCAGTTAGAGTTTAAGTGTGATAATTTAGTCCTTCAAGACAAAGATGCTCCTGACACAGCAATGTGTATAAAATTATTTCAAAATTTATACTAATTTCTTATTGTAATTCTCATGTCTGTGTTTCAAAAGCATTTAAATATTAAATTCTATGTATTTGTTTGATTCTCCTAGTTGAAACAGCTGACCAGCTATTATTAAAGGTGGACGTGTTATTCAGTGCTAGTGGACTACTGCTGTTCACTGTTTAACTCCTGTTGTCGAAGGCAAAAAGCCTAACACTGGGTTATCAAGGTATCCCTTTAGCCTAAGCCAAATACTGACCATCTCCAGGATGCAACCCACAAAGGTTTACTAAATCCCGAGTACCAATTTACAGCTAGGTGAGGGAGCGGCATCAGGTGAAGGAAACGTGCCCAACCATTTCTGTCCTGTCCAAATTTTAACCTAGATCCCTCGATTATTAGTAAAGGTCGAAGACCACCGTATAATAATAATTATATAATAATAATAATATATATATATATATATATATATATATATATATATATATATATATATATATATATATATATATATATATATAATATATAAATAATATATACTGTATATAAAATGCACACATTTGAAGCATAATACAGTGAAGTTTTCGAAGGTATATAATGTAAATTATATAAAGCCACTAATAATTTCATTATTAGCTTGTATTTCATGCACAAATAGGTGAGTATACACACGCGCACACACACACACACCTCACGTGATGAGCTAGAAACCTCAATATCGCAAAGATTTTTTTATTGATAGAAGAGATCCCTCAACCTCAATGATAATATGGGGTTCAGATGTTATATTAAAACGTATTTCAACCTCTCGCCAATTAAATAATTGCTGGAGTTAAATCTAATGCTTCAGTATTTTAGAATTCCTGAGTCTTCCCCCCCCCCCTTGTGTAGCAAGCCAGAACACCATAAAATATACCGCAAAAATCAGTAAGTTTGCTTCATAAATTGTGGAGGAAATTACCTGTCCTACCTTCAGGTTACCCTTATGTAGTTTTGAGGATAAATGTTTTATCGGCCCGGTCTCTGACCAGGTCTCCTTGTTTGTGGTCTGGTTAACCAGGCTGTTAGACGCCGCTTCTCGCAGTTATATTATTTTCACCCATGATACATGCACGAACGGTAACCACAATACCATCAACATACACGCAGTGACGGCAACTACAATACCCTCACCATCCATGCACTAACAGCAACTACAATACCAAAACCATCATCGCGAGCTCCAAAGCGTTACACCTCCACTAAATGTTTATAAACATCACACAGCCATATTCTTAGAAACGCTGTTACTGCACATACGACATCTGGTGTGAACCCGAATCCTACCACCTACCAACACTTCAGGCTAAAGTGCCTGAAACTATGGAGAAAAAATAAGCTCGTTTGCTATCTTCAAGAAAAAGTATTCTCAACTCCTAATTTGTATTGATGTTTACATCTCGCTTCTACGAAAATTGTGTTATCGGAAACAGATAAGAAGTAATCAGAAAATACCGTATTTCCCAGTAGCCACAATATCCACAAGTAACCTTAATTCAACGTTATAATTTAACGTACAGTTAATGATATAATTCAACGTTAAAATCAACGTTATAGTTCAACGTTGAATCCACGTAACTCATGCGTGTTTTGTCACCTGGTTTTGCCGGCTTATAACATGCATCTAATTTACCAGGTTATTTTGTGGATAAAATTTGTATCATAGTATCATTAAAGTTGGCTTCGTTCTCGATTCGCAATCGGGGATCCTGGGTTCGATTCTCATTGGGAACTAATGGTTTTGTACAACTGATGCCTCTGTTCACCTACCAGTAAATAGGTGCCCGGGAGTTAGGTAACTGTTGTTCGACTTTGGGGAAATCTCAATATAAGCCAAAAGTACATATTTACACAGGCTTCCAATCCCTGACAAAACGAATTATACATTTATTAAACAGTGATATTCAACTGATTTTGTAGAGGAAATTTATGATTTTGAGCATGTAAATGTATTTTCTTCTTTACGATGAAGGTGCAGTTTGCGTGAAGGTTCCTAGTCACAGTGATTACACGAGTGGTAATGTTGAGAGGCGCGTCATAATGGCACGTCAGTGTATCTTTGGTAAGGCAGGGATGTAGTAGTTGTTTTCAGGTGATGCATGACGACTAAACGAGACGTGCTTTAGAGTTAGATTTGATATGCTTGGCGGCGATTTATTGTCCCAGTGGTTTGAGTTATATGAACTAGTCATATACAATATATATATAAGGTTGATGGTGGACCATAGACACGCGTCCTGTCCGCCCGCAAATACGGTTAGCTTTCTGCACCACTTTCATTCAAAGATCGGCCGCTTTCCAAGCATTCTTATTTCAGTCTGAGATGGTGCGAACGAAGACTGAACAGTCACAACTGTTAAACGCATCATGATGGCCCCGCGCTATCAGTTTGAAAGGTATGATAACGAGACTGATCATATGATAGTTGTATGATCAGGCTAATGGCTATTGCACCTCCTATCTCTTTATCTAGTGGAGCGATCTCACATCACAAAAAGTACCACGATAAGGCTGCACTCCCACTACGAGACACCAGGACACAGTAGTCTCATTCATTCAGTGTCCGCGACAGTCTCTCTCTCACACACACTTTGACTCTGGGAAGTTAGCAGCGATGCTGTCAAAATCAAAGAATGCTTCACATTCAGCGACATTTATGACACCAAAGAATCTAGAAATCATCACAATACAGAAGTCTCCAGTGGCTACCAGGACACAGAACGGCGCAGCGATCACCGGTACACAGAAGGCCCTATGGACCACCACAACACAGAAGGGCCAATGGACCACCACGACACAAACGACCAAATTGGCCATCACAACGCAGAAGGCTCCGGCGAAAATTGATACACAAAAGGCCGCATGGACCGTCACGACACAGAAGGCCACAGTGGCCATCGCACCACAGAAGGCATCGACGAGCACTTGTACACAGAAGGCGCCGGTGATCATCGACACGCAAAAGGCCCCATGGTCCACCACAGCACAGAAAGCACCAGTAATCCTCGACACGCAGAAGGCCCCATGGTTCACCACAGCACAGAAAGCACCAGTAATCCTCGACACACAGAAGGCCCCATGGACCACCACAGCACAAAAGGCACCAGTAATCCTAGACACACAGAAGGCCCCATGGACCACCACAGCACAGAAAGCACCAGTAATCCTCGACACACAGAAGGCCCCATGGTCCACCACAGTACAGAAAGCACCAGTAATTCTCGACACACAGAAGGCCCCATGGACCACCACAGCACAGAAAGCACCAGTAATCCTCGACACGCAGAAGGCCCCATGGACCACCACAGCACAAAAGGCACCAGTAATCCTCGACACGCAGAAGGCCCCATGGACCACCGCAGCACAGAAAGCACCAGTAATCCTCGACACACAGAAGGCCCCATGGACCACCACAGCACAAAAGGCACCAGTGATCATTGATCCACACAAGACCCCATGGATCACTAAGACACAGAAAGTCCCAGTGATTAATGAGAAACAGAAGGCCCCATGGAGCACAAAAACAGAAAAGGCTCCGGTGGCCACCACGACACAGAAGGCTCCAGTTACCACCACGACACAGAAGGCTCCAGTTACCACCACGACACAGAAGGCTCCAGATACCACCACGACACAGAAGGCTCCAGTTACCACCACGACACAGAAGGCGCCAGTGACCACCACGACACAGAAGGCTCCAGTGACCACCACGACACAGAAGGCTCCAGTTACCACCACGACACAGAAGGCTCCAGTTACCACCACGACACAGAAGGCGCCAGTTACCACCACGACACAGAGGGCGCCAGTTACCACTATGCCACAAGAGGCCTCAGGGACCACTATGCCACAAGAGGCCCCAGGAACCACTATGCCACAAGAGGCCCCAACGACCACTATGCCACAAGAGGCCTCAGGGACCACTATGCCACAAGAGGCCCCAACGACCACTATGCCACAAGAGGCCCCAGTTACCACTATGCCACAAGAGGCCCCAGGAACCACTATGCCACAAGAGGCCCCAACGACCACTATGCCACAAGAGGCCCCAGGAACCATTATGCCACAAGAGGCCCCAACGACCACTATGCCACAAGAGGCCCCAGGAACCATTATGCCACAAGAGGCCCCAACGACCACTATGCCACAAGAGGCCCCAGGAACCACTATGCCACAAGAGGCCCCAGGAACCACTATGCCACAAGAGGCCCCAACGACCACTATGCCACAAGAGGCCTCAGGGACCACTATGCCACAGGAGGCCCCAACGACCACTATGCCACAAGAGACCCCAGCGACCACTATGCCACAAGAGGCCCCAACGACCACTATGCCACAGGAGGTCCCACCGACCACTATGCCACAAGAGGTCCCACCGACCACTATGCCACAGGAGGTCCCACCGACCACTATGCCACAAGAGGTCCCACCGACCACTATGCCACAGGAGGTCCCACCGACCACTATGCCACAAGAGGCCCCAACGACCACTATGGCACAAGAGACCCCACCGACCACTATTCCACAAGAGGTCCCACCGACCACTATGCCACAAGAGGGCCCAGCGACCACTATGCCACAGGAGGTCCCACCGACCACTATGCCACAAGAGACCCCAGCGACCACTATTCCACAAGAGGCCCCAGCGACCACTACGACAAAGACCTTGGTCGCCACCATGACACAAGAGAAACAAGAGAGAACAACAGGAAGTGTCCCAACAACCACTCGTTTAGTCAAATCAACCACAACACGGCGGGTCCCAAGGATCAAGGTACGAAGGGCCTCAACGACCATGACAAGGAAGGCCGCAGTCACCACCAAGGTACGGAGAGCCCAGACGACCATTACAACTAGGTCAACGACCACCACGATACTGAGGGCCCCATCGACAATCGCACCAACACGAAAAGCCTCTACGAGGCAGACACTTCGTAAGTCTTCCACAAAATCCAAGCGAAAGAAGTCTTCGAGAAAGCCTCCAGTAGTTTGGAGGAGACTGCTGGCTGTAGGCGAAGAAGGGAGTGGGAGGATCAGCTTGCTGGAGGGCATAACTCGTTGCCACACCAACGACAACAGCAGCGCCCATAACAACGGCAGCTCCGACAAACAGGCTCCGCTCAGCGTCAACGGTACACAGGTACAGTGATGTCTGATTTCTATAAGTTATTTTTTTTTAATATTCCGTTAATACAATGGGCAAATATATAGATTCTTAACCCTTAGGCAGTGATTCGCGTCCCCGAGCGTTAAGAATAGATTAGATTCACAATGTGGCTAGTGTTTGTGTTCTAATACTTAAGTTAATGAAGATTAAGTCAGCTGATATATCGTGAGTACCCGGAATCAATACTGAGAAGTAAAGATAACCTCTTGTAATCATGCTGATCTCCCAGTAAATGATTGCAGAGGAGAGCAATCGAACGGCGCACTGGTTAAGATGAGATAGAACCGTGAAGGGAAGGTCCATACCAAGTAAAGAAGGCGACCCTGCTCGCGGTCGTGCACATACAAATCCCGGATTGGTAGATTGGAGAATTAAAAAGGAGGGCTTCTGAATTAAGGAGCATGACAGTATTGATCACTACGGTCCTGCAACGATGAGGCGCATGACAGTATTGATCACTACGGTCCTCCAACGACGGAACACCAGTTTACACATACAAACTCTGGATTGTGAAAAACAGAACGTTCCGTAACTGAGGCGCGAGCCGTATGGTGCAGAGTATCATAACAGTTAAGGGTCAAGACAACAGCTGATATATACCAAGGACACACATGATACACACTTGACAGTACCAGGGACGAGGGTAATTTGTTATGTGTTTTTCTATTTGAATCCTAGGATGACAAGATTTTGAGTGAAGCAAAAGCTTTCCTTTCTTGAGATTCTTGAGATAATTTCGGGGCTTTAGTGTCCCCGCGGCCCGGTCCTCGACCAGGCCTCCACCCCCAGGAAGCAGCCCGTGACAGCTGACTAACTCCCAGGTACCTATTTACTGCTAGGTAACAGGGGCATTCAGGGTGAAAGAAACTTTGCCCATTTGTTTCTGCCTCGTGCGGGAATCGAACCCGCGCCACAGAATTACGAGTCCTGCGCGCTATCCACCAGGCTACGAGGCCCCCTTTACTCAAAATGAGCCTAAATCACATTAACTTATATGGTTTGGCTTCCCATTGTTGGGACCAAGAAGCCAGTTAGGCTAATCTAGGTCCCCCTAAGTCACCTTCTGACCTTCCTCAACATGTAACCCACAACAGTTGCCTAACTCCCGAGTACCTACCAACTGCTAGGAGAATAGAAGCATCAGGTGACAGGAAACATGCAGAAAGTTTTCGAGAGTGAAGACTTTAAAGCCGTTCTTTGGTAGCCCAGGATGATTTAGTAAATTACAAGGTAGAACGAGTGTTGAATAACGGGAAATCGACACTACAAGAGCAAGTAATGAGGCGATGAACAATGATTAAGGCAGTGCTTAAAACACTGCCTTACTCCCTCATGTTGTCAACAGGTCGAGTGTTGCTCCTTGAAGGTATGGCCTGAGAAGAAGCTTTAAAGAAGTGAACAAAGCGAAATAGAGACCAGAATGAGTAATAGATCATTTGAGGCGGATTGGCAGAGTGGAAAGTCCAAAGGGCATGACTCAGCATGGGCTTTATGGGCCAAGCAAGCAAGTAATTATCATAAGAAAGTGCCAAAGACAGGAAGGTTATATAGTACCATCTGTGTCTGAGAATATTCAACAGTTTCTAGATGTTATTCAGGACACCAATACGAGAACAGAAATACATAAGAACATAAGAATAAAGGTAACTGCAGAAGGCCTATTGGCCCATATTGGCAGCTCCTATTTATAATCACCCAATCACACTCATATATATGTCCAAACCCACGCTTGAAACAATCGAGGGACCCCAACTCCACTACGTTACGCGGAAATTGGTTCCACAAATCAACAACCCAAATCCCGTGAAGAGTGATGTCACAGGAATCGGATTCACAGAGAATGTTATCGAGAGATAAAATTCTCTCGTGAACAATATATATCCCGTGGTTCTTTACCGGAAGCAAAACTTCAGATCATCCTGAAAATCAGGAACAATTTCCGAGGAAGTAAAAAGGTATTAGATGACAGTTCGTAACAGTATTACTAGTCCAAATTTACAAATTTATAATAATTTCCTTTTTCATGCATAACGGGGGTGGGGGGTGGTTGGGGCGGGGGGGAAAAAAAAAGAGAGAGAGAGAGAGAGAGAGAGAGAGAGAGAGAGAGAGAGAGAGAGAGAGAGAGAGAGAGAGAGAGAGAGAGAGAGAGAGAGAGAGAGAGAGAAGAAATAAAGGGAAGAAGAGAGAGAGAGAGAGAGAGAAGAAATAAAGGGAAGAAGAGAGAGAGAGAGAGAGAGAGAGAGAGAGAGAGAGAGAGAGAGAGAGAGAGAGAGAGAGAGAGAGAGAGAGAGAGAGAGAGAGAGAGAGAGAAGAAATAAAGGGAAGAAGAGAGAGAGAAGAAATAAAGGGAAGAAGAGAGAGAGGGAAGGAGAGAGAGAGAGAGGGGGGGAAGGAGAGAGAGGGAGAGAGAGAGAGGAGAGAGGGAAGGAGGGAGAGGGGAAAGGAGAGGGAGAAGGAAAGAGAGAGGGAAGGAGAGAGGGAGAGAGTAAAAAAAGATGCATTATTTTGCATCAATTAATATTACATTTTGTGCCTAAGTTTACGAGGTGTAGATATAAGAAAACAAAAACAAACAGAGAACCAGTGAACTGTCTGGAAAAATCTACATACATCAGCTGTACAAATGTAAACATAAGAGTTATATAAATACAATGCTGATATTACGGCCATTGTCCTTCGCCACAGGTGCAACTCTGGTGCAGTCGAGGGTATTTCGCCAGAGATCAGGACAAGAGGCTCGATTCCTACAGCTACCTAGGCCACCACGTGGTGTTAATCTGCTTCTCCATTGCCTGCCCCGAGTCGCTACGCATGGCTAAAGAGAGGTGGGCGCCTGAAGTTGCCTGGTTCATCCCTGACACGCCCGTCATCCTTGTTGGCTGCCACAAGGTAAGTCTTTGGCAGATAAATGTTTCGTAAGAACATTTTAAGAAACTGTCATTTTTACCAAATAAATTATCCTAGTTATCAATAAATTATGTTGCAAGAGTTTAGCCATGTTTATTCAGCCGGCATGATACTAATTACCCTTAACTATTCACAGCCAATTCCTCTTAAATATTTATGCCACTCAGTAATTGACGAGTATTGTCTTCTACACACACACAGAGATCACACTAACGTGATGCATCAAATGAACAAATCCACAAGGGATTTGGGATCTGGGATGCTCCCGGACGCAGGTTCGAATCCTCGTCACGGCCCTTGTGGATTTGTTCATTGTCTTCTACATTACCCAAAAGCCTTTACTTTTTCCATTACCCACAGGAAGTCCGAGAGGCCACAACGACCACGAAGAAACACAAGCAAAAGAAGCAGAAGGCAGTTGCGTACGAGGAGGGTGTGGCCGCGGCTCAAGATGTGGGTGCGGTGGCCTATCTGGAGTACAACTCGTGTACCGGAGACGGCATGGCAGAGATCATCGAGATGGCCGCCGCGCACGCCCTAAAGAACAACAGTCTCGAATACTCTCCTCTCAAGCGTTGCCGACACGTAAATTGTGCACCAGAAACCTGTCCACACCGTAGGGACAGGTGCACTATCCTGTAAATCTGTCCACACCGTAGAGACAGGTGCACTATCCTGTAAACCTGTCCACACCGTAGAGACAGGTGTACTATCCTGTAAACCTGTCCACACCGTAGAGACAGGCGCACCTCTATCCTGTAGCACTTTTATCTACATCATCGACTCATAATCGAGGGACAATCCACGGGCAGGACAGAACGGTAGGACACGTTTCCTCTCACCTGATGCTTATATTCACCTAGCAATGAAATAACTACCCGGGAGTTAGACAACTTGGGGAAGGTCAATAGTTGCCCTCAGAGATCTCACAGCCAAGGTACAGGCTTCCTGTACCTTGGCTGTGACAGGCCTTGGTACAGGCCTCGATAAGCCAAGGTACAGGCTTCCTGTCCCAGAATAAGAGAATTATGCTCTACTGACATGTGTACTCTCACAGAAGGCGTGTCCACGCCCGTAAACACAGGTGTATCTTTAGTAGACGTGTCCAAGCCGTGGACAGAGACATGCTCTCCTCCATAACAGACCAAACCGAAGGCAGACATAATCTCACGTAGAACCGTCCACATCACAGGGAAAGATGTACACAACCCACTTGAGCTATTTAGTGCATCATAAAATGCCATCTCATTAATTTACACATCACACAGGAATCCCACTAACGGAAAATATATCAGCTCCAATCGATTGGCGCAATGGATTCAGTGGAATCCCCAGGTTGTATAACTTGCCATGTCATGGTACAGGGGTAAGGTGCGCGGTTAGAGTACCTTGATCGCTGGTTCAAGTCACCTCATTGCTCCAATTGATTTCTCAATCTCCTCATTATTTCATCATATTCTATCAGAGTAAACAAAAATCATAAATATATCTAAAACTCACTAAACCTAGTCCTGTGTTTTTGTTATTCCCGTATATCTAGTCCTTAAAATTGTTTGGTATTAAAAAACGCAGAAATTGATACATTAACACAAACTATAATATACACTGAGTATACTGAGAAGTAACTTGGTCTCCCTCAGATATCAGACTAGTTCTCAAAACCAGATATCAATATAAAGAAATTTAGGTGGTCCCTAAGGATACCAATACTCTATAATATATATATATTTTACTTGTATTGGTTGAGTTGTGTATGTGTCAAGGCCACATTTGTAATCAAGTAATCTTGTAAATATATATATATATATATATATATATATATATATATATATATATATATATATATATATATATATATATATATATATATATATATATATATATATATATATATATATATATATATATATATATATATATATATATATATATATATATATATATATATACACAAATTATTCATTTATTTTTTGTACTTGTGCTCTTGTTTGTATCATTATTTTAACATATATATATATATATATATATATATATATATATATATATATATATATATATATATATCCTTTACTACATGTTAAAATAATGATACAAACAAGAGCACAAGTACAAAAATAAATGAATAATTTGTACAAGGCAGTTATTTAAGTGCCTCTGATCTTATCAGTATAGATAGCCCAGTAGGTCACTTAATGGTGTTTATTGGTGACGTTACATAAATACTGCTGCTATTATGTAAAATTATATTTTATCGCATTTCTTTAAAATGTTATATGCATGTCATTGCATCTACTCAGCCAGAGACCAAAGAGTGGACGATTATAGTGCCCTAAGGTTTCAAGTTTGCATCCAGAGTAATATTTCTTAGGCTTCTTACGCAGTATTATGAATTCAGTGATAATTTGAATCGAAAATATAACAAACGGCATCTGCTCCACGCTACGAATACTTAGGCCAATGATTTTCCTATAGATATAAATCGTTGTGATTTCTTTGTGTACACAACTATATAGCACTTGGAAAGGAAATGAGGACAAATATAGGATGGGATGGGATAGGATAGAGGGAAAGAACGGTGCCCAACCACTTGGACCATTAGGGATCATATGCCAACCTGCAAGAAGCGAGGCCGTGACTACCAACTAGTCCAAATAGATGGGCCCCAGCACCAGTAACTTGCTTTACATAATCTTATGTACTTGTAAGGCTGACGTGGATGACTCTAAAGGTACTTGTACAGGCCGCCGAAACTGTTTTGAATTTTACGATGTGTAATATCTACATTGGAAAAGAATACACAGATACATTCCAAGCATTAGTGGCAGTAAAGACTGACTAACTTGCTTTTGTTATACTGTAAACTACGTTTGTGCCTAAAACCAATCTAAAAATTGTATATAGAAAAAATTCCCCGCACTTGACAACGAAAAAATCAAATTGAATTGGCAACTGTATAACAATTGTCAAAATTTCTTCATTTTAAAGGACGTACTTTTTATTTATTGTATCATATAGCGATAAATATGATATTTTCGACAAATTTAATAAAGGTTAATATAGATCTTCTCGCTTTCACCTGTATATATTATCCCAAATATTATCCAAGTAAAATTATATATGTAGAAATTAATATTAGGTAAAAAGGGCTTTATAAGTTTATAATGACTCTTACTATTTAGGTTATGCATCCGGTCACGCTAATCTTATCCAATCCTAGATAGATGTCTTCAAATCATACCACAAGTGAAAAATGTGTTTGCAAGATTCATCTCGAGAAATCAAAGATTAAGAGATGCCTCTACATGTGGCTTTGTATCTGCCTAATTATGATTGTTATTATTTTTAGACATCAGCCTGATTATTACATTTCAAATATTAAATTTTCTGACAATTTATATAATATATAAATTTATATAATTATATAAATTTATATATTATATAAATATATAATTATAATAAATATATATAATTATATATAATTATAATAAATATATATAATTATATATAATTATAATTATATAAATTTATATATTATATAATATATAATTTATATATATATATATATATATATATATATATATATATATATATTAACATTCGTGTCCATTGACAAGGAAATGTTACTATTTATTAGCTTATTAGATATTAAAAAATATTTTCACAAAATGGCTAATTAATAAAAATGAACATAGGAGACTGCAATTGTTGACCCATGCGTGACTCACTGTGGTCCAAACACGACCTATTAAGTAGGTTAGAGGACAGGTTGCAGAGCGTATCAAGAGGAAGTATATGGCTTTCTCAGAGCAAGGGGGCTCCCCCATGCCTACCTGGCTATGAAAACCATCCCGCGGATATTACAAGCACAGGATGTGCCTAGATACATATTAAACTGTACCGGTACGACGACAAATCAAGTTATATGCTGTATATCGTTTTCTGTTAAATAATGTCATTTTATAATTAATAAGACAAATTAAGCTAAACGGGGTGAGAATAGCTTGAGATACCTCATCCCTTTGTGTGTATTTTACCTCAATAAACTTATTTCAATTTCAAATTAAGCTATTCAGAAACGTTTAGTTTCGAACTAAAGCTCCTGAAGTTCTAAACGCTGTACTATTTAATAATACTTAAGCCAAATTCAAGAACAATAAGTTACGGAAAGAAATTGGAAGGAAATAAAAAATTAACCAATCGTCTTCACGATGATAATTTGTGGTTCCCTAAACAAACCGCGTTTAATTACCAAACGCATCCAGTTCAGTCTGGTATATTACGTGTGAAGTAGTCAATAGCATGAAGAAGTTGTTAGTGAGGTTTGTTGTTAACGTGAGTAGTTGTCAGTGTGAAGTAGTAGTCAGTGAAATACTTGTTAGCGTGAAGCCGTTGTTAGCGTAAAGCCGTTGTCAGCGTGAAGCCCTTATTAGCGTGAATTGGCTGGTAATATGCAATAGTTGGCTTCGGGAATTAGTGTCCCTGCGGCCCAACCCAGGTCACCATGATCGGTAAACTTCGTTGATGCTGCGACATAGCTTCATGTGAGTTGGTAAACTCAGCAATGGCTACAACAGGCTAGTGCAGTTAAACAATAAAGGTTGGTAAACCTGGGTCGGTAAACTGCTGAATCTTCGGCGTGCAGATACTAACTTCGGTAAACTCCCGGATGGCTACGATGTGCAGGCGCCAAAGTCGAAAAACACGGGATGGGCAAGGCGGTATCCTCCCCTGGGTTGGTAAACCCCGGATGGGTACTGGGGCGGCACCGACCCTCGGTAAACCAAAGATAGCAAATAATTGCCCACGGCCTAAAAAACAAAAACTGGAGGTTCCAGTCACTCTCCCTACTAAGTGAGGCTGGTATCTGGCGCTATTGGAAATTGGTATCATTTGTTGTTACATGTAAAGTGGTACATGGGAGGGGGGATGTGAACCCCAACCTGCCTATGACCATTCCCTAACAAAGGCCAGTTAGCCTGCAAAGTTTGGTGAGGCTAGCACCTAGCGTCTGGCCTCCAACCTCGAACAGAAACATATAAATTCTCTTTTACATATATAATGGTGTACGAGGTTTGCAGGAAAGAATAAAACAAGTCAAAAGAGAAAGAAGAGATATCCAATGCTGGACATTTGGATTTTAACAAGAATCTATTGTCACAAAAAGACGGCTTATTGACAAGCATTTTATATCCTATTGAAATAAGATCTATGTTGCATGAGCTGTTCTAAGTAACTTTGATCCAAGCTAGTCCCTAAATTCTGTATGTAAAATGGTTTGTAAAGGTTTGTAAATTTCTGTAACTTCATTGTATAATTAGTTTAAATTAACTATCCATAAATTTGTCTTAATCAACACAGGTCTGGACATAAGTCGTTCTTTCATCGCACACAATATTTCCCTAAGTCCAATATCAAAACTTCTTTCAACTAAGTAATTTCTCTCGTGATTTTCCATAGACTATCCGCTGAATCATCAATCACGAAGTTGATATGAATGGCTGAAAATAATATAATTAAATCTACAAGCACATTGACGACTCAATTACCTGAAATGTCTACAGCAATGTTAGGCTTCCACCTACCTTACTGGCGAGATGTTGGCAGTCCGAGCACACGACTTCACTATATTCACTATTTCCTAACTTCTTCCATTTTCATCCGAAAACTTTAAAACACTTGGGCGTTCCCACACACTTAGTACCTAGGAAGGCAATTGCAATTAATAACACTTAGATTATACAACAGATTAGATATACACAAATTAAACCTCTCAGACTGGCCTACAAGTTTTATATAATTCATGTTATATATGAATGACAACACTCTGGTCTCTGTCTTCTTAAGACATATTGTTACAGTTATACAATATGACAACCCATTCTCCTGTTTAGATAGTAGTTTTTGTAATTATATGCATTATAGTACAAAGATTGCCGTTCAGAAATTAGATAGTAGTAATAGTAGTAGCAGTAAGCATGCATCAGTCTCAGGACACTATGGAGTTGCGCTCTGGTTGTCGGTCTGGAGTGGCCTCTCCAGTGCGCAAAGCCAGGGTAGGTTGATAAGGAGGAGAAGCTGTCCCCCAAGTAGCAGGTCCCCCCCTCTCCACGGCGCCGAAAGTCTCCAATGGAAAGGCAAGCGCCAATACGATTGGTTCCAGCGCCGTCGCAGGAACTGTGAGCTGCGGAGGTGACCTTGAAGTTGGTGAAAGAAGGCACAGGGACTCCAATAGATAGTAGACATTAGATAATAGAACTTTGTACTAGTCACTTCAGTCGGGAAAAAATGAAGATAAAAAAGACTTAAATATTCCTTGGCCTAGTATAGCACACATATGTACTATATTAGGCTTCAGATAGCGTGTCTTAGGTCTAGGAAGGTTAAGTTAGTTTAGTTTCTTTGCAACATAAGTAGAAAATAGGTTTCCAGTCTGTCCAACTCAATAGTGCCGATTTGTACCTTATAATTTCATTGTACATCGGCATAAATATATATACTATGGTATGACAGTGTCAGACCACGGAGGAAAATTGAAACAGGAATTTCCTTAAGTACTTTCGTATATTAATACAGCTTCAGAAGGAGTCCTTCTGAAGATGTATTAATATACGAAAGTACTTAAGGAAATTCCTGTTTCAATTTTCCTCCGTGGTCTGTCACTGTCACATTTTTAATCACGTGTTTATTTTTCGTGATTTACATACATACTATGGTATATCCTGGTATATATTCTGGTATAACCTGACCTGACCTATACAAATACAACATTAATTAAAACGATATAATTCATTTAATTTATCAACATCAATGCATTTCCTTCAAGTAAGTAGTTCTACACATATTAATATACTTATAAATGTCAAGTATCATTGGGCCAGTCCACAGTTGATCATCCACCAGACTTTCAAATTTTTACTGATATTATTGATAATAACTAATAATTTACTGATAATTATATATTTAAATTACCGAATGCAGACGATGAGTCACAATAACGTGACTGAAGACATGATGACCAAACCACATAACATTAGACAGAGAAAAGACGTTTCGGTCCGTGCTGGACCATTACCAAGCACAAACGGCTTTATAATGGTTCAAGACGGACCGAAACGTCGTCTTTCCTCCGTCTTCTGTTGTGTGGTTTGGTTGTCATAAATTACCAAATGTTATCTTTAAATCTAGCAGCATAAAGCAAAAAAGTGAGGCAAAATAGCAGTAATTGTGGACCAACATGCTAGCATGAATCCATGTGGCTGCCGTCCGTGGCGTCTAGATCAGTGCCTCCCTCATTACAGAAGGCACGAAAGGTCTTAAATCAGACCTCAGAGGATATTTTACATTAGCCTTCACAATATATCTTCACTCTATATAATTAATTGTAATGATAACTAGTAAAAACCTTGGATCGCAACTTACAGAAACTTCCGCGTCCGTCTCGTCCGGCCGCCGCTGGGCCACTGACGCGCACAAGTTTCCCTCCAATTTTTTGCTCTCATCTCAGGGATTACAATTGTGTACCAACCACGTCTATTCTAGGCTTTTCCAACAAGTAATGGCACTGATAATTATAGGATCTAATTTAAAATGCATTATTAATCGTTATTCAAATCAACTGGTGACAATTAGTAGCAAATGAAAGACTTTGGTCCGAAAACAAGTTGACTCGCTGCGTCCTCCGACATTGGCGCGCTTTGGCCAACTGTTAAATAGGAAATATTTCATTATTCCATTGCCTCATACTGCCATATATGAGTATACTGCGAAGTCATACTTATGTTCAGACTTCGCAGAATGTTATAGATTCTATCTAATACCTTATTTACAATGTTAACATCTCCTGCTGTCCTTAAAAATAGATTGAACTGAGTCTCCAGATCCAGCCTATTTTGAGGCTAGGCTACTTACCGAGGGGGCCGAACATTGAGACTTCATCTTAAGATTAAGATGTTCAGACTTCGCAGAATGCTATACATTCTATCTAATACCTTATTAACAATGTTAACATCTCCTGCTGTCCTTAAAAATAGATTGAACTGAGCCTCCAGATCCATCCTATTCTGAGGCTAGGCTACTTACCGAGGCGGCCGAACATTTAAGACATTTTAATAAATTTTAGCGTATTGTATACTAAAAATACGTTTTTGTCATGTATAAGTTAATATTATTATATATTAGAGTTGTACACATAGTCGTAGGCTAGATTAGAGTAGATGTGGTACATTCTTGTTGGATAAAGGTAGTACAAGTGTGGTGTGTTGTAAGTGTGGTATAGGTGTGGTGTGGTACAGTTGTGGTGGTGTGTTCCAGCTGTGGTACAGGTGTGGCGTCTTACAACTGTGGTGCAGGTGTGGTGTCTTGCAACTGTGGTACAGGTGTGGCGTCTTGTAACTGTGGTACAGGTGTGGCGTCTTGCAACTGTGGAACAGGTGTGGCGTCTTGCAACTGTGGTACAGGTGTGGCGTCTTGCAACTGTGGTACAGGTGTGGCGTCTTGTAACTGTGGTACAGGTGTGGCGTCTTGCAACTGTGGAACAGGTGTGGCGTCTTGCAACTGTGGAACAGGTGTGGCGTCTTGCAACTGTGGAACAGGTGTGGCGTCTTGCAACTGTGGTACAGGTGTGGCGTCTTGCAACTGTGGAACAGGTGTGGCGTCTTGCAACTGTGGAACAGGTGTGGCGTCTTGCAACTGTGGAACCGGTGTGGCGTCTTGCAACTGTGGTACAGGTGTGGCGTCTTGCAACTGTCGTACATGTGTGGCATCGTGCAACTGTGTTACAGGTGTGGCATCTTGCAACTGTGATACAGATGAGGCGTTATGTGTGATGTAAGTGCTATACATGTTAAAATATATTTTTTAATCTTTCTGGTCTGTTCTTATTGAGAGGAACAAAGTAGTGTCTCATCCTACACTTGAAATCCTCAAGGTTCGATACTGACCCGCATTTGGGGATATCTGGTTATGTTTCGTCACTTGCCCTATATACTGGCCACACTTCCCTGCCTCTTTGGTATAACACAGAAATTTCTTAGTAGATTTTCTTCAAGAAACGCCACAATTAGGCAACAATGTCAATCCGGCATTTCAGTTCCGAGGATTAAGACAATTGTAGGTCACACCCCGGAAATCTTACCAACCCTTGGACAAGGTGTGTACCGGGTGTATATATACTCGAGGTGTAGGGCCTCTGACCATCAGTCTACACCACTACACTTGACGTTCCCCATACAGCTAGTAGTCACGCTTAACTCCGTCCACCATGAATGGCTTGATATCAAAGATAATATTAGTGGTGATGGCGGGTGTAGGCGCCGTGCACGCCCACGGGTACATGTCTTCACCCGCCGCCCGCAACTCCGCCTGGAGGTTTGGCTTCAGGACGCCCACCAACTACAACGACAATGAGCTTTTCTGTGGAGGTCGAGAGGTCAGTGTTGATGTGGTATTGCAGTTCGTCTCAATCAGCTACAATAACTCTAGGTGGCTAGTTTGGTGTTGAGTCTGTCAAACGCAGGAAGGATAATAAAGTCACCTCAAGAGATTGCAGACCAGTCAGTAAGTTTACTTTAGCCCTGAACATAATCAAAACCAGAAGTAAACTCAGTGTATGTATATCGAGAAGCAGAGTTATCTTGAGATGATTTCGGGGCTTTAGTGTCCCCGCGGCCCGGTCCTCGACCAGGCCTCCACCCCCAGGAAGCAGCCCGTGACAGCTGACTAACACCCAGGTACCTATTTTACTGCTAGGTAACAGGGGCATAGGGTGAAAGAAACTCTGCCCATTGTTTCTCGCCGGCGCCTGGGATCGAACCCAGGATCACAAGTCCAGCGTGCTGTCCGCTCGGCCGACCGGCTCCCCTCAAGAGTACACACTCTTGGTTTATATATCTCTTGTCAGTAACTGATATCTTCTGAAAATGGCCACTTCGTGCCAGGCCTTTTTCCCCTATAAATTGTCGGCCTCTCAGTATAACAAACATGTCAGTATGACGCATCTGCACTGACAGGTGCAGCACAGGAGGAACGGGGGCCAGTGCGGCGTGTGCGGGGACAACTGGCGGGCGCCGGAGCCGAGGCCTCACGAACGGGGAGGACAGTATGGCGGCGGCGTCATCACCGCCAGCTACACTGAGGGTCAGGTCGTCCCCGTCACCATACACATCTCTGCCAACCACCGGGTAAGTCCTCCTTCGCTTCGTGCTGCTCACGTCCAGCATTCGTCAACCATTTCCACAACCACTTTAGAAACATGTATATCTTTCAACAATCACGGCGGTTATGTTCACATTTATTAAACATTTTACGAATTCGAAACAAGGTTATTGTTGTTATAAACAACTTCGTGTTGTTTCGCAACTCATAAACTGTTTAATAAATGTAAACAAAGCCGTCATGATTATTGAAGGATGCACAGGTTTCGTAAGTGGTTGTGTTAATAGTTGAATCCTGGCCTAGGTTCGCATCCACAGGCAGGTGTTGTTAACATACCATGTTATAATCATTGTTGAATGAAACTGAGAGGCATCCAAGACGGCAAACTGCGTGTTGCAGGGATGGTACGAGTTCAGGCTGTGCAACAACAACAACCCCATGGCGCGGGACTCTCAACACTGCCTCAACAAGCAGTTACTGTCCTTGGCTGATGGCTCCGGCACCCGCTACACCCTGAACGGTTCAGTCCGCGGCGACCACATCGTCTACGTCCAGCTGCCGCCTCGCCTCTCCTGCACCCACTGCGTACTCCAGTGGACTTGGGTCGCAGGTAAGAAGCACTTCGCCTCGCGATTTACTCCTTGGTCTTTGTCGTTATATTTATTTAGCTTCGTTCTTCCGAAATTTATACCTTGCATTATATATATATTTAAAGGAAACTCTTGGGGTACCTGTCCGGACGGTTCTGGGAAAACTGGCTGCGGACCTCAAGAAACATTCGTTAACTGCGCCGACATCAGCATCCTTCCTAAACACTACAGCGTGAAGCCTCACTTGAGCGTCAAGCCCACCTGGAGCAGGTGGGGGTAATGGCCGACCTGGTATGCTTCTTGCCCTTGTCTCCAGCACCCTCTCTGTCTTCCACCTGTAGCAGTCGCAAACTAGCCCCACCTTCACGCCTTCAAGGCGTCCTACACATCTCCAAGACGTCCTCCACATCTCCAAGGCGTCCTTTACATCTCCAAGGCGTCCTCCACATCTCCAAAGACGCCTTCACGCCCTCAAGGTCGTCCTCCACATCTCCAAGACGTTGTGTGTGCTCTTCTTGTAACTTATTTTAGCCGGTCATGAATATTAGCACTTTAACTCCCAAGTTTGTTTTCTTATAATTGCTGAGCTTTGGAAAACTGCACTTACTGCCTTCGAGTGAGTATGATCATTACTGAGGGCTGCCCTCTGTGACTGTCACTCCTGATATATACCCCATGTTAATGTTATGTACTATACTGTTAATGTGATTAGTTCTATTATTTAAATTTGTATGGCATTATTTATCTATATATTTATGTTATACATATGTTGTGTTAAATAAATTATTTAAAATATATATTTCCTTTAATTTATCATGAGAGCATCACTTGCAGTGAGGAGTGTGGCTGTGGGATTTGTTGTTAAGAAACTCAATGATTGTGTGTAACTTTGTTTACTGATAAAACAAATTTTCAACAATATATAAGATAGGCTACCTTATTAAATATCATCGAATTTTAGTAATATGTTAGAAATACACGTGTTATTTTAACGCCAAAAAATAAACTCGAGAGAATACTTCGCTTTCGCTTTGATGTCCAAAGGGATTGGAAAGGATGGGGGAGGTAGAGGGATGGGGAGATGAAATTCAGGAAGAGGAGAGAATATTTACGAATGCAAATATTTTAGTTTACATTATATTTACATTAAAGATTTGGTATTCGTGGATTCGATTCTCTTTCTCTAAACATATCCTTCACCATCATGTGCAATTTGCAAGAGCAAAATATAAATAAGAAAATCTGTGTTCGTCTTTTGTTTTTACGCTGTGAACCTTACTGTGTTCAAGTTTATCACTCGAGACGTGATTCATTCTATTTTTTATTTTTTTTTGAGATATATACAAGAGTTGTTACATTCTTGCACATTCGAAACAGAACTGTAATACCAGCCTGTCTATTTACAACAGGCCGTCCTCATCAGCAAAACGCATATGCTCGTTGATCCAGCTGCCAATCCTCGTGTTTATGGTTTAGTTTAGTTTATTTATTATGCACCCCATACTCTTCTTGTGGGCGGTAGTGGAAAGGGTTACAGAGGCACATAATGGGCTCAGGGACTGAACCCCACAATTCATTAAGCTAAGCAAGTTACAATCTTGATGAGCTAGTTACAAAATTAAATATAAGTCGTCACATCAACAATGGGTTGATGTGACGACTTATATTCAAGAGGCCAGGGATGTCAGGCTCGTTTAAGTCGCGGCCGTCCCTCAAGATGCATTCTTCAGTTTGAACGTATTGTGTATTAACAATAGGTTTATTCTGATTTATATATTAATATGATTAAATATTAAAGTTCTGTGTATAGTTATGCGTAGGTTAGGTGCTTAGGTTCTGTTGCCGATTATTTGTATTTGAAGCACGTGGGGTTTAATTCCTGTAGTCTCTCCTCGTAGCTCATACCCCTCAGTTCGGGTACTAGTCTAGTGGCAAGTTCTGATAGTGTGTATTCACCTAATTGTTCTTGCGGGGGTTGAGCTCTCAACTGTTAATCAACCGTAACTAACTACTATTTTTTCCACGCACACACCCAGGAAGCTGCTCCGTAACGGCTGTCTAACTTTCAGGTATCTATATACTGCTAGGTAACAGGGGCATTAGGGTGAATGAAACTTTGCCCATTTGTTTCTGCCTGGTCCGGGAATCGAACCCGGGCCACAGAATTACGAGTCCTGTGCACTGTCCGCTCACCTACTAGACCCCTAAACTTTTGATTTTTGGTGTGTGTGTGTGTGTGTAGAGTCCAGGACGCCCTTGAGGGCTGTGAGGTGACGCCTCTACACCGAAGACTGTACTCCCTGCCGTGACCAGTGCCAACACTGGACTCGCCGTCTGGAGAGCGCGTACCCCCACCGACCTCCTGGTTATCGACGTCACTCGCTGAGGATCTCATGAGCCACGTCAATGAGTGTGTGGGTCACTCGCTGTGTTCTCCAGGACTTGGAGGTTGATGTGGGCGTTGACGGGGTGGATTGGGACACAATAGGGCTTGCCATCGTTGACTATTTCCTACTGCTGCAGTAATAACATGTTCGGCAAAATATATATACCCTTAATGTTCCATTTTTGGTTTGCCAGGTAGTTGAGGCTTCTCATGTTCTTGTCTATCTTGAGGTAGAGCGCATTCTTTACACATTATTTTAAGCCAAGTCGTTATACTTTGTCTATGTTAATTGTTGTAACTCATGATGACTATGTTCTAACTCCATCTATCGTCCAGATGTTATTGTTCCCACTTGAGGGCTAAATCCCCTATGCTAACACTACCTTAAGTTAACGTGTCTTTGTTTTCTCATTATTCAAAGCCCAGGCATTTTCCCTTCCAACTTTTCTTAAACTAATGCATTTGTTTTATTGCCTGTTCGTTAGCCATCTCTTACATGAACTTTGTTTCGTACACTTAAAGTAGGAAGCCAGATGCTTAGGTCCAGCTTCACTCAACTTTTCAAGATGAAACATGTAGGGTATGAGATTGTCGTAGGTTAGAGAGAGAGAGAGTGGGGGGGAGGGGGGACATACAGACATATATGGACCCCGCCGGTTAACCCAGCGGGGTTATACATTATACTATATATATATAAGGATTCCACCTCTGGTGCAAGTGTAGGGACCCATAGCCTCGGAGAAGAAAATAATGAGTACTCAGAGAAGACCTTGTGGATCCTCACTGAACACTTTGATATTTTCTTCTCCTACCACCCCTATTCTTTTAGTGTGTGTGTATATATATCTAACTTTATTTTAAAATTTCATTCCACAAAAAGGGTTACAACATTGGTTACATGCAAGGTACAAGACTACTTGTCACAGGTTGTATAGCTCCTCCAGTTCCTCAGATGGCGGGCAGGAACCATGGATGCAGTGAGCATTTCCTCTCTGGATCGCCACACTAAGGCGCTGATATACAAAAATATTGTACTGTATATTGTATTGTATTCATTATAATTTTTCAGAACGTGTCGAAGCCTACAAGGTTCATTCTCAAGTGAGGAGTGACAAGGCATTGATTGATGAAGATTGACACGGCATATGTTGTTTTAGATTCAACTTCTCAGAACATAAAGTTACAAGAAGTTCCGTCTTATGTGAAATTTGACCACCATACCCTGGTGGCGTTCTCCGGACAAGCCGCCGCACCCAATAGTTTCTTGGATGTTCTGAACCACCATCACCGTCTCCACCAGGCGTGCCCAACAGCTTCCAGCTATCCATAATTAAAGACACGTAGCTGACTGCGACTCTATGCGCTTGGGTTTCCAGGAGCGAGGAAGTGTTGCATCAGCTTGAAGACGATGTTACGGGTGGGATATCGGCGTGGGAGGTCGCTTGCCCTCCATCATGAGGTCAATAACACATAAGTCCAGAGGAAATTACGCTGCGTTTATGGCCACACCTCTCAATGCCTCACAACTTTTGATACCTCACCCTACACCTCTTGTTATAGTCCTGTGTACATTTTGACCAGCCTCTACACCTCGTAGCTCTTGACGTCATACCCTACACCCCATGACCGCTTCTGTATCCATTCTACAAGCCCCTTACATAGCCTTCCCGGCTTGGTGCCTTCTTTTCATAATTACTTTCACTACAAGCCCCCTACACCTCTTCACAGCCTTACATCTGGTTATTCTCACTTCCAACTGCCTTCGCACTCACAGCTTCCCTACACCTTTTTCTCACCAGTAGTGACCTCTGGGAGACTCACCAGTAGTGGTGACGGGCCCACACCACCTCGTAACAGCAAGACCGCACCTGGCCTCTGAGAACGAACCGCAGGTGAATGACGGGATTTATTTCACTAAAGATAACCTTGAACCCAAAGCAATCCAGAAGCTGGAAATACTTCCAGAGTTTCTCCCTCACAACAGGCATTACTGAAAAGATAATATATATGATTAAATTATATCTAAGTACATAAAGTATATATATAAAACTGCAGAAAGTAAGATAACGACTATAAATATATTTCATTTAAATTATTTTTAATTTTTTAATTATCAATTTCATTATATATATGTTCACAGCGTTACATATAATTAAATACTGTATTAGTCATTTATATGTTTCTGGTCTTTATCATATCCCTGTCCTCCACCAGCCTATAACTTCCCTGTGACACTGTCCTCCACCAGCCTATAACTTCCCCTGTGACACTGTCCTCCACCAGCCTATAACTTCCCCTGTGACACTGTCCTCCACCAGCCTATAACTTCCCTGTGACACTGTCCTCCACCAACCTATAACTTCCCTGTGACACTGTCCTCCACCAGCCTATAACTTCCCTGTGACACTGTCCTCCACCAACCTATAACTTCCCTGTGACACTGTCCTCCACCAACCTATAACTTCCCTGTGACACTGTCCTCCACCAGCCTATAACTTCCCTGTGACACTGTCCTCCACCAACCTATAACTTCCCTGTGACACTGTCCTCCACCAGCCTATAACTTCCCTGTGACACTGTCCTCCACCAGCCTATAACTTCCCTGTGACACTGTCCTCCACCAGCCTATAACTTCCCTGTGACACTGTCCTCCACCAACCTATAACTTCCCTGTGACACTGTCCTCCACCAACCTATAACTTCCCTGTGACACTGTCCTCCACCAGCCTATAACTTCCCTGTGACACTGTCCTCCACCAACCTATAACTTCCCTGTGACACTGTCCTCCACCAACCTATAACTTCCCTGTGACACTGTCCTCCACCAACCTATAACTTCCCTGTGACACTGTCCTCCACCAACCTATAACTTCCCTGTGACACTGTCCTCCACCAACCTATAACTTCCCTGTGACACTGTCCTCCACCAGCCCTCTGACCTCCAAGAAAGAATCCAAGAGCACAATATATATGATAGCTCTAGAGTGCAGCTGGACCGTATGGCGAGAATTATCCTTTCAGAACTGTTTTGTAGAAAGTTTCATGATAATTAGAGACTCACACACAGATTCACTATTGTGGATCTCCATGCCGATCTGCTTGACATTCTTGAGCAAGTTTGGGGTGTTGGCGAAGACGTCGTGGAAGAAGTTGAGTTCAGCTCCCTCCACGTCGATCTTGAGGTAGTCTATGGTGGCGTTCTCCAGACTCAACATCTTCAGAATGGTCTCGTACCTGGCCATCTGTGGCGGGTGATTATGCAGCAGGATACAGCTTTAACAAAATACAGCATCACTATACTGCAGGGCACTAAGAAAAATATATACACTGTATCTCTGTGATCTGTCTTGGTTATGTTACAGGAGGAAGTATCGTCACTGTAAAGACATACCTTGGTGCTGTTGATGTGAGCGTCGGTATCAGAAATGCCCAAGTCGTAGAACATGATGTTGTCGGAGCGCCGGTGAGTCGCCTTGTTAATGGTCGGGTCGAATGCGAACACCTGCAACAGTTTGTTAGTTTACATGTCGGTGTACGCCGCCGGTAATGTACAGTTGTAATGTACTTCATAGTGCCAACACTCGTGTACTTCTGACACATTTACTCGAGCCGTCTGTTCCACCTCAGCAACTGTGCTTGACTGTTCTACACACTGGAACTCACTATTTAAGTCTCAACTATTATTAGTTCGTTAGTACATTTCTTTATTGCTATTAACACATCTTTGTGCCGAAACTTGTTATATGGTGTGAGAAATAACGCAAGAGATCCACAACGGAGACTGGTTGAAGGAGGCGACAAGGAGAGACAACTTGAGAAACATGAAGTTTGACAATAACATTCAGCACGAGACCTCTGCTGAACAAGTCGCTGGACAGTTTACTGAGAGTTTACCTTTGTCACGAACTCTGCTCCGAACTAAAGTATACTTGTTGATTGATCAGTAAGCTATTAATATCCCTCCCGCGGTTGACAGGCCTAAATTATACCCAACAACAAACCAGTTTCAACAACTCTGCTTTTGTTTCTGCATATTCTCTAACACTCTACTTGTGTTTCTCTGTTAGCTTCAGAAGCCTAGACTGGTCGATTATTATTGCAATTTATATAACAGAGATGACGAGAACACATTGTGCATTCTATTAACGTTGTCAGATTGACCAAGGAAGTAAATTTATAACACTTGTATAACCATTTCTCACGACTCAGACCACAACGTGCAATGGGAAACCGCCAGATATCTGTTGCATGAACTTTACAGCAGTTATAGTACACAACTGCAGGGACGGTTGACCGCCATAGGAGAAACAAGGCTGTAAGTCACACATAACAAGGCTGATATCGAGATTGCAAAATACCGAACAAGTTGGAGGGTATTAATCCAGACACCTTATTTAAAAAGTCATATGTAACACCTACAAGGAGTAATGGCTTCAAGCTCAACAAGCCACAATATAGGGCCGAAAACAGCCAGCCCTCACCTTACAGTTGAAGCGCTTATCCAAGTCGTCATCGAAAGAGAAGTCTCGCTCGATGCCGAAGGAGAGCGCGATGCAGTTGCCCGGGACAATGTTGTATTCCTTGCTCATGCACATCCACTTCTCCCCAACCATGTATGGAGGATGAGTGCCCAGCTGCCCGCCCAACATCACCTGTGGAGGTAAGCGGGCCCCTCTGGTATTACATGCTCTCCTTCCCTTATCACTTAGGTAATACTATCGATTGTTTAATAGCAAAGAAGAAAGGGTGACTAATTATATTATTCACAATTAAGGACCTGCCCGAAACGCTGCGCGTACTAGTGGCTTTACAAGAATGTAATTACTATGCTATGTATCCTCACAATCCCAATGTACCTTCTTGTATATATATAAATAAATAAATAAATAAATAAATAAATAAATAAATAAATAAATAAATTAACATAATTTTTTATAAACTGTGGCACTATGTTTTAGATGCCATATAAATCAAGTGCAGACAATCCTAGTAATGACAGTTTTCAATTAATTAAATAACGTTATTAAAAATACAATTATAGTGTTCTGACCTTTCTAATAAGCTGTGTTACGAGGCTTTAATTTTATATTATAACGTAAATTTTAGCGTAATTATTAAAGAAACAGATAACTGTCAAAGGACATCAGTCTCATCAATACAAGACTATGCTAATTATGTAATCCTTTTCTAGTGTTTGTTGAAAATGGCGTTTTGACTCTGAACCTGAGGCTCTACCCAAACCTAACACAGGTGGTTCTAAACCAAGGCTTCTACCAAAGCCTAACAGGAGTTTATAAACCGGGGCTTCTACACAAGCTTAACAGGTGGTTATAAGCTGGGGTTTCTACACAAGCCTAACAGGTGGTTATAAACTGGGGCTTCTACACAAGCCTAACAGGTGGTTATAAACCGGGGCTTCTACCCAAGCCTAACAGGTGGTTATAAACCGGGGCTTCTACCCAAGCCTAACAGGTGGTTATAAACCGGGGCTTCTACCCAAGCATAGCACATGTGGATAGAAACCCTGAGTACTACACCCAGCCTAGTGATGATGGCTTAGTAGCTCCTGGACCTTCCAGCCACCAGCACTTCTATAGAGACTTTTAGCAAGATAGGACATATTGTCAATGTCAAAAGAGCCTTGCATGATCCAAAACTAGTTTATAAAATTAAGTTTCTTAAACTTAGATTTTAAACAATATGGAGCACTTACCAGCTTGTCGCAATGGAGTTTGCGGTGATCGATGTAGTTGTAAAAGTCGTCCGCGTTTTTCATCTTCTTAACGGGGCATGTCACCTTTTCTGGGAATAAAAGATAAAATAAAGATTAAACTCCTTATATAAAGATAGATTATATTAGGTTCTGTGAGACGAGGTTAAGTTAGATCATGTTAGGCTACAGTTAGGCAAATCAATGAAAAGGAATTTAATATGAATTTTTTTTGTTTAAATATGATCCGACAGGCGTAGATAAAGGTAAACCAAGCTCGCGAAATTAGGGGGTAAAGCGTCAGCTCTGGTCAGACTTACTGAGGGGTAATAATACGTCAGCTAGAGTCAGACTCATAATTTCATAGCGAATAATGCGTGTTCACCAGGTTTATTTTATTTTATTTATTATGTGTTCACCACCCGTATAAAATGTTACAATTTGCCCAGAAGTCTTACCCCAGTCTTGGTCTTGGCGAGCCACTTCCTTCCATCCGTCATCGGAGGCACTTTCTATTGCTGTCTCAGAATTTACATCCAAGTTAACTGGTTTACTCGTTTCTAGCCACATATTAGAGTAAAAGATCCTGAAATAAACGTCATATTTTTTAAAATATATATTATATATCTGACCACACCACACTACATAAGGGACAGTATATTTTAAATAAAATCGCCAATAACTTTCTCAGAAAGTTGAGTTCTAGCCTAATCAACTTGATCAGAGACTAAAGAACTTCTTATTCCCTTTTTAAAAGTATACATTTGCAAAAGGGACAAACACATTTCCTTTGAATTATACTCTCTTCTCTGAAGCTGTGGGTCGTCAGCTGGCTTTAGTATGATGTAGAGCATGAAGCTCAACCTCTGTGATGAGCTCAGCAAGTGTGCTTTAGTCCCAAAGCAGACATTCATGTGGACACATGCTATATATATATATATATATATATATATATATATATATATATATATATATATATAAAGCATAAAGAGAGGTGTGGAGTTATCCTGTCGAGGGGACCGGATAATCTTGCGCTGCAATCTCATTGGACTTTGAAATTAAAATGATATTTCTCTTTGTCCTGGACCCTTATACACATCATTCAACATCTTGAAATTTTACCATTTTACAGGTACTGGTATTTGCACAAACATGAGCAGCAATTAGACAAATTCTTACCCGATGATCACCAGGAGACCAACAATCACTGCAATGATGGTCTTCTGCGGTGAGACGCAAGTATGTATCTTCATGGTCCTGAGAGTCGCTCTAGACCCTTCCTGATAGACTCGGTGTGCCGTGGGTCTACTTTCAGTGGAACAAAATAGATAAAACAAATATATATAATTGGGTACACTATTTACATACCACTGAAATATCAAGCTGGCAGGTCATGTTGCCACATTTGCACTTAATGAAGGCATGTAAAAATAAAATAAATATTGTCCAATGCTCTATTATTAATTATTTGGGATACAATTAATATTATAATACTCTAATTAACATATAGAAATAGCATGAATTATGCTACATTTAAATAACCCATGCTTACGAGAGCTTAACCAGAGCTCAACCTTAACTGACGAACTTTAATAAGAGAAGGATGTACTCCTTGAGCAGAGGCTGACCAGCTACAGTAAGAGGATGTATTTCTCGAGCAGAGGCTGACCAGCTACAGTAAGAGGGGGACTTACTCCTCGAGCAGAGGGTGACCAACGCAGATATGACACGGTCGAAGACAATATCAACAGGCGAGTTCCAACTCTCACACCAGTTGCTCCAAGCCTCTCTACGGATCAGACAGCCAATCTCACCCTCATCCAAGCTCTCCACCCCGGCTTCGTTCAAGCTCTGTTCGCGGCTCCAGGCCTCTCTCCAGCTCTCTGCTCGCGTCTTCAGGCTTCTCTCAAGCTCTTTTCTCGAGAACTCTCTCAAGCTCTCTGCTCGCGGTTCCAGAACTCTCTCAAGCTCTCTACTCGCGGCTCTAGAACTCTCTTAAGCTCTCTGCTTGCAGCTCCAGGCCTCTCTCAAGCTCTCTGTTCGCGGCTCCGGGCCTCTTTCAAACGCTCTGTTAGCAGCTCCATGCCTCTCTCTCAAGCTCTCTGCTTCCGGCCACCTGCATCACTTTGTCCTGCCTGACCCCGCCAACAGCAAGTAGGAAGCATCCTCGTCTCAACCTATCAAGACACCGTAGCACCATTTCCAACATTCAACTACTGTAACCAAACTGTTTACAATAAACATAAAAAACACCGTACTCTTTGAATATTGTCACCCAAGAACTTATGGATATGATCTTGTACCGCATATTTACTATGCTACTCTTAACAAGTGCGGCCTTATGAAATCCTCGCTCAGTAAAATATGACATTCGTATGACAAATGGTTCTCCACCCCTAGTGTAGAGGGACCGCGATAAGCACAACAGGCTTCCTCTCTAATAAGGGAAATTATATCACATACGTCAAACCAATCCTGGAATACAATGTACGGAGAGGTTGACGGTTCGGAGATATACCATTAGATTAATCTCAGAACTAAGAGGAAAGATTAAAGAAATAAAAATCTTTTCTAGTAATTTTGGGGATCATTTGAGTACTCAGTTTCAATTTGTCTCCTTGCTCGAGTACCATCTGTGCTTAATAGTCTACCCTAACAATTCCTCTTAATAATTCTGAATGTGGTAATCACGCCTTCGATAATTCCATTGACATAAGGTCTAATTCCTGTAGCCTTTCTTTATAAGTTATACCTCTTAGTTCTGGAACTATTTTGGTGGTATATCTCTGAGCTCTGTATGTAAAGTTCAGATTGGGGGACAAATGGTGAGTACATACTGAAGATAGTGCCAACCTCACTACGGCAGTAGCACACCCAAGAGCAGTATTACACATTCTACAATAGTACCAAACTCACTACATCAGTACTACATACTCCTCTATATAGTGCCAAAATAATGACGACTCTACCACGAGCTCTACGATATTGCATAACTCACTACCATAATATAAGAAAAGGAGTCGCGGTCGCACCACGCCCACCAGGAAACTGCCACTTATATCTATGTGGACCGAACTAAGCGTACTGGCAGTCAGTCGATGGAGGACGCGAGCGTGGCAAGCAGATATGCACACCTTTTCCTTGTCAATACAATTTGTTTTTCACTTCCTTAAACCACCTCTTCCTTGTAAATATAATAAGTTTTTTACTTCCTTGATCCACGTTCAAACATTCCTCGAGCGGGGCTTCGTTGACGTCATTGACCAGCAGTTGTATGGTGCCCAAATCTCAAGCAACACATAAAGAAACTGGAAAAGGTGCAAAAGCTACAAAATGGCATCCGGGGCTGAAAAACAAGTTAAGAGGAGAAACTAGAGGCGTTAAACATGCCATAACTAGAAGATAGAATAAAAAAAAGAGGCAATATGATCACTACTTACAAAATACTAACAGGAAATGACCGAATTGACAAAGAGGCATTCCTGAAACCAGCAACTACAATTGCAAACCACCTAAAACCAGCAACTACTGAGGTGGAGGCTGAAATTGTCAGTAGTTTCAAAGCGTTATACTACAAAAAGTACTGGGAAGACAGGACACCACGAACGTAGCTCTCATCCTAAAACTGCACTTAAGTACATAGAATGCAAATATGTCATCAAAACATATATGGTACATGAATACATGAATATTTAAACAAATGTTAAAATCTAGAGACTCTGGGTAAAAAAAAATTATATCCAACTATGTGAAGGGGAAGCATAGAGGCTGACTTCCCTTCAAGGGTGCAAGAGGGGGGGGGAAGGGAGGGAATTTTCAGGGAAAAGCACTAAGCCATTATGACTAGCACTGGGAAGGGGTCAGGATAAAGATTAGGGATGGGACGGGGGGGGGAGGAAGGATGGTGCCCAACCACTCGGACGTTCGGGGATTGAACGCCGACCTGCATGAAGCGAGACCGTCGCTCTACCATCCAGCCCAGGTGGTTTGGTGGTGGTGGTGGTGGGGGAACCACAACTCTATGACATTCCATACAATCACCAGTAATACTGCGAAATTTAATGAGCCTTACCAAAAGAGTCTGGCCTTCAACTATAGACAGACATTCTATGCAACATGTTTTTATCTTTAACAAATATGACTAGTTTATTGTGAACCTAATATTCATTCTGTAATTAGCAGCTTATTGTGAATTCTATGCTTATCCAATGAGCAGTAGTATATTGTGCACTCCAAGCACTCATCCAGTGAAAAGCTGTACAAGACAATTACTTTTGGTCATCAAATCACTCGAGCCCAAATCCAAGTTATACACTGACCATGAGAGGGGGGCTTTCTGTGATGAACAATACTGTACTGTAGTTACAATACAATATTACCAATGTTTCTGAATTTCACTCCTTAATAAAATGGAAAATTAAAAGATTTTTCCATGTAATTCTTAGTTTATTGATATACTGTAGTAACAGAACCTTCAGAACATTCCAGACAACACACAAGAAATCATGTTTTCATCTATTCCAATATGTAGGGTATTTTCTATTTTAAACAATGCCTACATACAGTGTATTATAAATGTAAGGAAGTGCATAATACAACTGCACAAATAATAACTTAAATTGCACCCAATAATAGTTTCAACAATTCTGATGAAATTCTTAAGAGTACTGTACTTTTAAATATTGCTAGGATTAATTTTCTTCGGTAGTTTAGTAGATTGATATTCTCGTAGTTTTGGAAACCAAACCCTCTTTATACAGTTGAAATGCAAGTTCAACATAGGTTTAAGAAAAACACTACTTTTATAAAGACTGTATATACAACTTTCCTTGTGAAAGGTTCCAAAAATACTTTAAAAACTACATTCAAAACCATTGGTAAATTGAAATCTTTGAAATATTTTCTATCAGTTATGAAGCTTTCTAAGCTTACACTTTAGACTGAATTGTGTGTTACTATATTATGCTGTATAGTCTCAAAATTAACAAAAATAGTACAATAATGTGAGGAAACAAAATTGATATAAAATATGAAGCACCTTAAATGATATTGGTTGCACTCCAATAGTAGTAATGACTAACTTAAATTCAACCAAGTGAGATCTCTACCTTTATAAAGACTTGTGTAATACCGTAACTGAAGGTATTTAGGTGTACCAAAAACGTTTAGTCAGTGCATGTCTTTTCTCTAACAATGCTTTTTATTTTAATTTGTTAAACTTTTTCTATGACAAATTAGTACTAAACTTGAAATAGTTGAAAAAATGACAAAATACATGAAATTAAGAAAAACATATAATTATAAAAAAGCACAATACAGTAAGTACTAAAGTTGCAGTACTGTCATATATCTGCATCATTATACAAACTGCTGGGGAATGATATGAAAGTGGAATGTTGAACTGTACCATAAGATCACCAATACCAAATTAATCATTTGTATGTAACAATGGCATGGCTATGTAATTTTATTAAAATAATGTATCTAATTATGTACAGCTTAAGCATAATACAACATATTGGCTAATAGTGTCTAGATCAAACAACTTGCTAAGAAGCATTCTAAATTACATTCTCAAACCATAATAGAAAACTGACAATCAAATTTATCACAAGCTGCAAATACAAAGGGCACCAATATGCTGATTATCTATTAGAATTATTCAAATATAACAAATTTTGTATTATTTTATAAACTCGAAGGAACAATTCTTTAAGGATTAAAATATTATATTAAAAAATAAATAACATTTTAATGACTTAAGAAGATATCTATTAAACAAATTTCTCGGTCACTTTAAGATATTTTCATGGCACCAAAGAGTTGGCATTCTGACAAGCAAATTGGGTTAACCAAGTCTAGAGCCTTCACATGGTAAACATGACCAGGGTTATGCATACAGTACTATAGTAAGTAACATTCCGTTACTTGCCTTGCTCTAGATTGATACTTGGGATTGATGGGCTATGAATGTGAAGCATTACCACCTTCACCTTGATGAACTACTGCTACCACAATTCATCATTTCAACATCACCTAAGTACCCTGATGAATGATAAAATTTAACAAATTTATAAATAAGCCCCACAGTTGTGCTTATCCATCAGTTGCTGTCTATACCACCAATCATAAACCTAGACCTACAAAATCACATTTATGAAAGCAAGTTTACTGCAAAATATGACATTAGTAATACATTGATCTTTGGCTACAATTACAATGTTAAAAATTGTTCTTTGGCTAAGATAATTGGTGGTTATATAAATCGCTGCATTGTCTGAATAATGACATGTGTTCAGTATCCATATTTTGTTCAAATATTGAAAGGCATCCAACATTACATTTTTTCTATTGAAATGAAGTACTGGTATATAATAACTGTGAAGTGATTCTTAGTTGTATGCAACAATCGATTTTCATTTCACTTAAATTGGAAGACTGAAGCACTTCATGACAAAACTATTAATCTGCTAATGTTGCTAACAGCCATGTTCATATTTTTGTTTACTTTTTATGCTATATACCATGTCTAACTCTTACTGTACTTAAAAATAATTTAACATTTTCAACACAGAATACAGTGGAACCTCTATATTTGTCATTAATTCATTCCTGATGAATATTGAAACCCGACGAATATTGAAATAAATTTTTCACGTTCAAACTTGGTAACAAGTCCTTTTTCAACTCTATTGCAATTCTCACAGCTTTTTTTTTTCAATACACTGTTGGAGCCATAGTCACTTATTTTTACAAAGATAACTGCAAAAAATTGCAAAAAGAACACAAATTTCCAAGAGAAATTAGAAGGAGATGCGAGCTTCATGAGTGCACAAGGCTGACTGGGTGAGCTAACCGACCACGTGATGATCCTGTACTGGGCAGTGGGCGACTAATATGGAAAATTTGATGAATATCGAATCTGATGAATATAAGGCTGACAAATATAGAGGTTCCACTGTATCATAAAAGAATGTGTTGTACATACAAATAACACTGTCTTCTTGTTTGTGCAACATATTACCCATTAAAAACAACACTACTGTTTGTGTAGAATCTACCTCTAGTAAATAGCTAAATTACTACAATATAAATTAAAATACAGTACTGTAAATACTGTATATGAAATATTTACTTCATATGAATTAAATTAGAAAAAATAACTAACATTTTGTTTTCTGTACAACGAGAAGTTATATTGTCATTTCAGGACCGAATACAAAATTAAAAAAAAAATGTCTAGTGTAAAACAGCTTATATGTACAGGATGTCGACATAAAAAAATTCAAACTTTAAAAATGCAAAACAATTTATGGTATTTACTATCATACATGTACTTTATTATTACTCTGCACTAAGTAATTTGTTTTATGTTACTTTCCATGAAAATTACAATGATGAGTTATTATACAATAGTTATACAACTGGAGCAGCAGCTTATTTACTGAGCAGCAGCTCCCCACTTCACGAGAGCATCAAGTCTTCATGGATACCGAGACACCACTGCAGACAATGCAATATGCTAGATAATGAGTTTTGTACTTTTAATACAACCAGACAAGTGTTGCGAGCCATCTTTCTTTTTGTCTGAACACTGATTCTGAGTGTATTTATGTTACTATTATAAACAAAATGCCAAAAGCTAATGACTAGAATTTAAATACATTTGGAACAATCACTTATAAAACTTGTCTTTGCAGTTGCCACCACCAAAAACAGACCATAAGCCGAGGTTAGACTTACATGGCTCCAGTGAGTGCATAAATGCCAAGGATAAAACAGCAAACCTTGTTTGAATAGAAGAAAACTTAAAACAAGATCACTTTTATTCCTACAAGACAAACAGTGCCAGTTTTAAGTGTCTCGGAGTAGGGACAAATTATCACGATCATTTATTTACTGTACAGTATGCTCCTAATATTTCACTGATGCTGACAGTTAAATAATTTCAAAATGCTGAAACTAAATAAAAAATTGTATGTACTAGAGTGTATATATGTAAGGCTCAGTAAGTTCATTAAAATAATATACTGTATTAGCCAAAAATAATGTAAACAATTCTTAAAATAATTCAAGTTATCCGATTCACACATTAATAAAAGTACCTGGCACATCATTAATAAGGTTTATAATAAAAACAGCTTCACAAAAATGCGCATATTTTAAAATGTATATATCTAGTATTCAAATAAATTCAAACTAGACCCATTACAACTTTTGAGCCTTGCATAATAAAATGGATTCATAGTTGAAAATTTACAAAACCTTTCTAAAGTATATGTGAACAAAATAAAATTAATATGTAATGTCAAACACACTGAGAAAATAAAAACATTTGAGATGGAATCATTTGATTGCAAAAGTGTACATAGCAATTTATAGATGAAACTAAGCTTCAACTGTTTTCAATGTAATAACCATGCCATATAAAGCTGTCCACAATATTGTCAAAATCTCAGTCTTGGTATTATTGCTCATGCAAGTGTTGCAAATGTTACATTTGTAATTTTATTAAAGACATACATACTCTACTACCTATTTCTAATTGCAACATGATGCACTAATTAATTAATCAATATGTGCCATGTGCAGTCTGTCCACTGTACATTTCAAGTTTACTTATTCCCCCTAAACTCTCATTCATGTAAACACCTTCCTTACTCTGTCATCTGGGGAAACTTCCGAGCAACTGTTTTTCCTGCTAGCTAATAATGCACTAAAAGACGACTTCATTCCAATTTGTGTTAATCATTCTTTTACTATATTTAGCATTGATAATTTCCTGATCTGTATTTTGAACTTTTGAATTTAAATATAACAAAATTCCAATATTTGGCATGTTTCAATAGGTACTGCTACATGTCCATATACAATGTTCCTGCATCTAATTTGTTACATAATGACAATAAATACAGCCATAATGGAATAAAATATTTATGCTTTTTGTAACTTTCTTTAATCATCAATAATTTCCTCACAATTTCATACTCAACAACTATATCAAGTATCCATTTCCCTTGCATTCACTAAAATTCCTCCAAGTAACAGTTTAATTTCCTAAAATTTAAAAATTTTCCAATCTGATTTCCATATAATTTTACAGCAATGCTCTTGTAATGATTGACATACTTCTACTAACTAGTCTCTCCAGAGTACAGCAATCATCACGTACAGGAGCACTCTAAGGATATACAATACTCATCTGTTCTTTTCCCCAGTGTTTCTCTTCATACATCTATAACAGCTTTCCTTTCTGTCTCATTCTGTTTGAACTTCTCACTCATCACACTCAAGCCTTGACTTACAATTACACAGCTAATCATAATATAGAAGATTATCTCAAGTACTATTCATTTTCAAACTTTACATACCTGTACATTTATTTAAATTATATGAGACAGATAGATATACAGTATATATATATATATATCTTTAGTTTTGTTTCAAGTAACTTTAAGATACATGTATGCTTACTATATTTTTGAAAGATTTCTTCTGCTATTGCCCATTACATAAATCTGCTTTAGTTACTGGCTACAGTATACACCTTAAAATCTGTATTGTACCTGTGACAACTGTAATCTTCAATCAATCTTCAATCGATCTTCAATCTCCATGGTGAATCCTCACCACCCTCTGCATGGACTTTATTGGCTATGGATGATAAAAATGGAACTCTTAATTTCAAGTGCAAAATCTCTCCCAAATACTTTAAACTACTGTAAATCCAAATCTTTCTCCACAGTCAAGTTGAAAATTAAAACTTCTCACACAGGAAACAAAGGTGCTGAAAAAATATAAGAAAGATTTCTTTTGCAAACAGAGTGGTAGACAGTTGGAACAAGCTAAGCGAGGTGGTGGTGGAAGCCAAAACCGTCAGTAGTTTCAAAGTGTTATACGACAAAGAGTACTGGGAAGACAGGACACCACGAGCATAGCTCTCATCCTGTAATTACACAGCTAATTACATAACTTACAACAGTGAGAATACTAACAATGCTCATCCTATCTCTTGCACGCATCTCCTGATGTCTGCACGAGTTCAATAATTTTGCTCCACATTACCTTTCGCTAAATATTATGGTACAGTACTTAACAGAATTATATTATTCTTATGATCCACTGTAAAGGAGATATGACAAATGTGTAAAGCTTTTTAGTAAACATAATGAGCATTTTTTGGTCCAACTTGTATCATCATAAAAGTTTTGGCCAAATATTGTTCAAAGAAAGTTTTTACTTTAAAACGGTGATTAGACATAATACGTGAAACCTTAAATGAAGTTTCCAAAGTAAATGACTAGTACAATTTTCACTCACTGCCACAAGGCTCCCATAAAATTAACTCCACTCACACAAATCAAAAATTAAAAAGTTATACTGTGATAGACACAATGTGTTTTATTGTCACAATCAAGAAAGCAATATAGTAAAGCCTCTAAAATTTTTGCGTTCATAATCTAAGTTGATGAATGTCCAGTACATGAATTGCTTTTTAGTGTTGGCCATGTCGATAAATATTATTTCTTGCTAATAAGAAGAAACTTTTTAAAGTGTCTTTTTAAGGTAAATTTTCTTAACTATACTATGATAGATATCCATGAGCAACAGAACAAACACCACTAGGCCCAGTGGTATTATCACACTAGTGTATACAAGAGAAAGATGAAATGGTTAAAACACCATTTACACTGGTCATAATGCACACTTATTCCATAGTAGCAGTGTCAAACAATGCCATTATAGACAGTGCATACAGTATTTTCTTTACCCTTGTCAAACTAGAGATTTAAAACTTGTTGGAAAGTGTGTTAAAATATAATAATATGCTATAGATGATGCCCAGTACAATGTTTAAGAGTAGCATGTCACTGCAAAGACATCCTGAGTCAAGACACAATGAAGGTTAACTCCACAAAAAGGCCTCGACACCTAACGATACTTTACCGAGTGCAATGACACAGAAGGAATAGCATGAACAGGTGCCCAATTTTGATCCATAAGTAAAAGATTTGCAGTATTGAGGTAAGCATGTCTGTATTTTGGATTTTCCAGTAAATTTACCATCACCTTGCTAAAAGGATGCCTTTTAAAGGCATAGTTTCAGGCACAACAATTTAAAAGGTCTGCCTATGACATGCCGAGATCATGTCCACCTTTATGATAATTGATGCTTCACTCCCTGATTAAGCAGAATTGAATGAATAAAATCTACGGCAATTTTGCCAAAATGAATTAGGGTTCAGCAGCTGCTTCAAGGCTCAAAGTGAAAATCTATGACGAGATGAACACACTGTATATCCAGTGCAAGTTACCTTAAGACTAGTACATCATCCAAGGAAGTATTATAAAATGGTAATTCAAAGAAGATATGGTTGACATCAACATGAATACAAATGCAAAAAATAAATCCTTATTAAGAAATTAAAAACTTTAATTTAAGTTTTACTTAAAAAAAATCCACTAAAAATATAACTTATTGTTTGGTATTATGTGAAAAATTTCAGAAGCTTTACTACACTGCAATAAAAATATCACAACACAAAAACGTTTCAGCGAAACAGTGCTCAACATTAGTGGAATTTCCATAACTAATTTAATGAGCGCCAATTCACTTATAACCATAGTTCCATAAATTATGTTTTGATCACAATTATAAGTTAGTATCAGGTGCTGTATCCAGCATGTTTATTGTTTCATAAATCATATTTTCAGCCAGAATACTGCTGTACTAAAAGATATTTATTCCTTTTGGAACAGTTTTGGAAAGTGTCATTACACCATTCTTTAAAAAAAAAAAAAAATACTTACCATTCTTCAGGAATTTTGCACTGCATAACATTCATATAGGCTCTTTCCAACAATATTACATTAACTACATTAACCAAATCAGCTTATGTAATTCTTGTTAAAACTCAAAATCCATCTCTGTAACCGACACTTTACTAAACTGATCATTACCTCACACAATACAATTCAAGTATCTTGACTTTCCAAAAGCAGCCGACTGCATACCAAAACACCGGTTTAATTATTTTCAGTTCTTCACAATACACTATTACACTAACTGGTCTGATGACCATTTAGTCTGTTAGCATATCTATGTACAACATAAAGGAAAAAGAACATGAAAATCAACACTATTTTATCATATTCAGTACATAAATTATCCCTTATACCATACAGTATTATCATTCTCTCTCTCAATTATGGATTTCTATAAAACTCTCTAAAAGCCTATTTTACTTATGTATCAAATGCTAATTGCAAGCCAAGTTTTTACAATGCTCTAATTATCTAACTTTAACTTGTGCTCATCAGGACAGTATGAATGAACTTGATAGCAAAATTAAACGACATTAATGTTGTGTTCAACGACGACAAGTATTTCATTTGCATAATTTATGAATCAATGTTCCTAATTTTGTATTAAATTTTTAAAATTCTGCCTCGTGAATCTCGTTCGGTCCCAATACCTCTTTTGTTAAATAAGCTTAACGTTCCCCTTATCTTATAAACTGGTTTCTGCCACTCATACTAAATCATGTTTTAGTATCCTCTATCTCATTTGCACAAAACCAGTTGATGGAGAACTTTCCTGGTGGTGTGTCAAGAAGCAGTGCTGGAAGGATTATTTGCAGTGGTAGATGACTGGTTAAGGGGGCATGGTTTATCATCTGGATGCCCAACACATGCCACAACTGGAACATGACCAGAGTCCCACATTCCTGGGCCACAGAGCTCACAGAGTCCCACCAGCGTGCAAGGCAAGTGGCTCATACTGCGATACTGATGTAGAAGTCCTCGAGCCTGTGAATAAACCAATAGAGCTATGTGACAACTAGAAGTACACACTTCCATCACACGACTAACGCTTTAAAGCTTAAGAGCCAGATATTTCTTGGCCAAAATGAAGAGTGGAAGGCACCTTTCCTGATATCCACAAATCCTATTTTTGCCACTGACTTTACTCCATTATACTATTCCTCTATATCCTGTGTGAAAACTATGATACCTGGTTGATACCTGGTTGATGGGGTTCTGGGAGTTCTTCTACTCCCCAAGCCCGGCCCAAGGCCAGGCTTGACTTGTGAGAGTTTGGTCCACTAGGCTGTTGTTAGGAGCGGCCCGCAGGCCCACATACCCACCACAGCCCGGTTGGTCCGGCACTCCTTGGAGGAATAAATCTAGTTTCCTCTTGAAGATGTCCACGGTTGTTCCGGCAATATTTCTTATGCTCGCTGAGAGGGTGTTGAACAACCGTGGACCTCTGATGAGCCTCTGATAATGCCGTGGACCTCTGATGAAAATACATCCCCTGTCTATACACTGCCTGTTCTCTTAAATAGCCACTCTATAAAAAAAATCCAACCACACAACCTAACCAGAAAGGTATGAACCCAAGCAACCAACCTAACCTATCATGCCTGTTGTATAGAAAATGTAGATATTTGTATTTGTAACATTGGTTGCCATAATGTATGTACAAACTGCAACCTATTATTTGAGAGGAAAGGTTGCATTATAAAATATTATCATCAAAGAACATACATAAAATAGCATAACTCACTTTTTTCAGTGCCATCTGGCCATCCATATGATTGGCTAATGAGGTGAAATAAAGCAAGGTCTCGTCTGGTCGCAAATTCTGGTCCACAACATCATTTCCATACATGCTAACAATGGCAACCACCAGGAAGAGATGGAAATAATCTGTCTGATAGTTGCTCCAGCATGCCTCCCACATAGACAGGGCCTGATCCTCTGTGAATTCTCGCTTGAAGCAGCTACAGTAGGCCGGTGATGATGGGGTGAGCAAAGAAAAGAATACTAAATCATCATATGCAATAACCTTAGGGATGTAATATAACTCGTAAGTATTATTATTTATCAAATATTATGTTTATTGTCATTCTTATGTTACATTTAAAGCCAGACTAAAGGGAGTTTACTTAAATTCTTTTGCTGTAATTACTGATAATGGAAGTAAAAGTCATCCTCCTGTGGTAATTAGCCTGTATTTAGGTACCTTGAAAATGTTTCCAATTCATGTAATGTTCTACTAGATCCTCTCACTGACCTTCATAAATTGTGTGTGGACCCAGTATTGTATGTACTGTACTGCACTGCCATTTATTGGCAGCAGAATCAAATCTTACCCCAGGCGTCTGAATTAAGAACTACTAAAAATGTCTCCCTCAAACCCTACACTTACACCTCTTGCCTATCTGGGCTAAACACATGCAATATGGTTGGAACTAAGCACAATCATGAAATGTAAATTAGAACAAAAACAAAATAGTCCTCCCACAGAGCTGTAATTTCAACATTGCTAACACCATTTAGCTGATTTAAGAGCAATTCAGAAGAACCCATAAAGAGAGATGCACCCTTAACGTTCACCAAGTGAGTGAGTAATGTGGGTGGCTGGAAATATTCCAGGGTAACTTGGCTGACCATCTGATCTATTTTAGGATAACACAAGTCACTTAGTTGAACAGTTCTGCCCATATAACCTACTGCTGGGACCAGTCATGTAAGAATAAAAAGAGGTAATTATGGGGCTATTGTTGTGGTGGCAGTCAGTGAAAGTGTCCTAGCAGGGTATTCAGTAGTTAGCTAGGGCACTGCTTGGCATAGTTTCAGTAATGCTAAGTAGCAACTGAAAAGACCGAGTTTCATGAAAATGCACTTTATGGTTAAATTCTGGATTGAACCGAGTAATTCTCCAGCATCTCCCTAGCATCAGTATGAAACAGTGGGGGACAGTTTGAAAAATTTTCTGTTGAATGTCAACCCGGCATAACTGCACTAAATTTTAACCAGGGATCAGTACAACACTGGCTTAGGGAGCAACCGAGTAGGATATCTCAGAAACAGTATTTATTAAAGAAGAAATGTAGTGGAGGAAATAATACCACCCACTTGTGACACTGTGAAAGGGTATCTACCTTTTTTTTTCCAAAGGCAAAGCATTCAAATATTATAAAAAACAACTTGTCTGCTAACCAAAATGTCCCAGTAATATACATTTATAACAAAATGCCTTGATACAGGTACTGAATTTACCAGAAATCCTTTGTACCAGTGATTTCTACAGAGGTTCTTGAAATCCCATTTTTTCCAAACTTGATTTATGTTTTACCCAAATATTAAGTTCTTTTATCATTTACTCTCCACCTTATTAAGCTACCCTTCTCAGCCTATTCCAATTTCACCACCATTATATGTATTATTAATTGTCTTTAAAGCATGTAAATAAAAAAGTTGTCAAATAATAACATACAGGAGTATCCAACGATGACAGAAGAGCAGATCCATCCCATCTTGTTGTTTGGTCATGTGACTGAAGAAGCGTGGCGTCATTAGCCGTAATAACTCTCTCAAGTAACTCTGTAAAATGTTCGTGGTCAAGTCATTAACCTTGTATACAATTTGTTGCTCTAGGGAAAAACACAATTATATACATGTATTAAAATTAAAAGCCATATTGATTAGTATGGTATTAATAAGAATGCAAGATTAAAGTAAACAGAAGAAGGCCTATTTATGCATACACAAGCATACATACAAATAAATATACATATATATATAGAATAGCCATCATTTAATAATAATTTACCAAGTTCTTTTCCATGTCTTCATCCTTGGGTGATGTGACGAAGATGGTCTTACTCATAAGACCAGTGAAGCACCAAAATACGTCGGCTTCATTACGCACTTCAGCCAATATTGGAGCCAGAATATCTGACATTCCTTGTGTATACCTGCAAGAAAAAATAAAGTTAATGCAATGACTGGAAATATATATATAAATGTACTGTACACAGTATTGTATAATGAAAATAAACTCATTCATTGAAATTTAATCTGATAAAACCGAGATAATTCATAGACTAAAATCACGTATAAAATGAAAATAAGATTAGAAATAAATTCTTTCCTAAAAGCAAATTTAAAAGGCTCAGATAATTTGTTATGAAACGTGTTATAAAGAATATAGTAGTCAGCCTTGATATCTCTTCTAATTTTAGAAAAATAGTAAATGAATATAAATCAAGCATTGAAACACCCTGTTTTGTTGGCCTCCCAGTAGTTCCTTGAGCATAGTTCTCATACCACCAAGCATTACCTAATGAGAACCATCAGGCATCTACAGAAAGCCAGAACCAGAGTCTGGTTAACTCTATAGCGCAAGAGGAGCAAGAAATTGGAGATTGAAACAATAATACAAGTGACTACTTGTAGGAAATTTGGTACCCCTAGGTCAACATGACAAACACGTGTTGCCATGAGGTAAATACCCAAATGATGATATGTCTGCCACCATAGGCCTAGAGGAGTCTCAAGAGGCCTGGTGTGTTGGGCTATGGCTTGGTAGTATCACAGTTAAGTTTGAGGAGTTACCAATGTGTCTCTCCCTGAAGAAAAACTTACTTGGCAACATTTGCACGTAGTCTGAAAGGTATCAAGAAAATTTCTTGTAAACTCTAAACTTGCAAATCATTTAATCATTCTGGGTACACCTACCCCATGACTGGATTGTGTACAGCAAAGTTTAAAAGAATCCTCTTCATCTTGTCCAAGTTTGGGTTATCATTGCCAGCAAAGCAAGGGTTGGAGCGGTCTGTACGCACTACATCTTTCTCCACGGTGCATTGAACATTTCTCCTAAACCAGTCCAATTCTTCACCAGACATGTTTTCTCTCATTGTACTGAAAATGTATTAATAAATAAAAGTAAGTAAGTTTACTGCTGTATAAATGCAGCACATAGTACATTCAAATAAAGTAGCACTGAAATTACTACATCACAAACTGAAACCAACAAAAGTTATGTGCTGGAAACTCATCATCACTGTTACCCAATGTTGTGGGAAGGTATTTATCTGGAGAAAATTAGAGATCATTATTGGGAAACAAGTTTAAAAGGTGTTTTAAATGACATTACTTAAAAATAAATCTTGGAGCCAATTGTGAAACCCTCCAATTTTCTCAACTTACTGTTGTGCAGTGGTCTACTTTGTTGGCACACTTGGGAAGACATGTGTGGGAATGAGAATATCTGAGGGATCACTCGGAAAGAATCTTTTTACAACAGTGAACACAATTTCCAAGATGAAGTTCCTCAGATCCTGCCTCAGGCAGCTCCCATATTGAGTAAGGCAAAATGAGACAAAATAGACAGGGTATTTACTCAAGCTGGAGGCATGTAGAGGCAGGAAAATATGAAATTGGAGTGAAAGCAGGAAAACAAGTCAACATACCTAAGCACCCCACCATCTCGGAAAGAATTCATGTGGCTCAGAGAAACATATTGGTGTTCCTCCCCAGTTTATCAAGATAAACTGGGGAGGAGTCGGGCAGCAGATGTCATATTCAATGTCCAAAATACACAGGTCCAAATGTCAGAGCAGAACATGACAGAAAAGAAATCAGTGAGGATGTAGTATTTCACGAGATTAAGCATCCAAGAAGTCACTTTGTGATTAACTCGAATTAACGGTCCAGTGGTTAAGCTGGGACATATTTTATAACAAGGCACCATGGCCCATGAGTTCAAGTGCAGAGTAGCAGTGCAATGAGTACGAGTCAGCTTGACATACAGAGGCAATGCAGCTGCTGGACTGAGGGTATGATGAATGATCTAGCCTCCTAATCTGATACAAAAAACATGAGGCCCTCAATGAAAAACAGACACTTCATTCTTAGAAAGGAATGAAGGACAAGGCTAAAGCCGATCAAACTTATTGCCTGCAGGATGCCGAAAATGGTAGTGAAGCTTACCTACACAATGACTACTAGCTACACCCTTATTTGGGAAGGGGTATGATGCATTAAAAGCAATTACTAATTTTCTGTTATTTACCGTTGAATAATAATTATTTGTCATTTTATTTTGTTACTGTATTGTTTGAATATTTTAAAATCTATTTTCAATGCAAATTATCCAGATTCACAAGACACTTGGGAAACCCTAACTTATTATCCAAATCAGCTTCACATTTGATGATCCAGTTTCTGATACATTAGCATCTACTGTACAGTATAGCATATATCATGAGCAAAGTAAATAACCGAGGACAACAGGAGTACTTGATTTTGTAGTAGAGCTGATGTTTTTCCTCCATGATAGCTTGGCGCTGCTCAAATGAGGTACGAAAGTCATAATAGTGGAGAAGGAAGGGCCACACATTAGCTCTTAGTTCAGGTTCCACACCACCGAAGAAAATAGCTTGTCGAAGTGCAAGATCATCTTCTATTTGCCCTTCCTGCATGAAAAAGGAAAGAGATTTGTACATAACTTAGGTAAGAAAAAATACAATTAACTCAACCCATGCAAGATATGAAAGGAAATACAATTACTATAAATATTAAAATTATTATTATCATTATTATATTATTACTGTATCATAAAATGTTTAAATATATTCCTATAAATAACACTGTCTTTAATTCTAATCAACTTTGTGTGGTTTGTCTTTGATAATTCTCACAAACATCTCTATTTCTACTACCATTCAAAGTAATTTCACAAAAGCCTTTATTTCTAGTAACTTTTCTAGCATGACTCACCTCATTAAAATAGGTGATCCAAGAATCAGGATCTAAGCACTTGTATTGCCCTTCTTCTGGATGAAGCTCGGATTCACTCACGTGTGGCCTTGAATACAGATCACCACATCAGAAGTTTGATACCTCATTAACACAATGTTTGGAGACCAAATGATATATACAATTATATAGTTCCACAAAATCATATAATTTTCTCTTGAAAAACCCACTTTAAAAAAAATGTATAATGAACCATACTATAAGATATTTTTATCCATAAAAAGAGTAGCAGTGAACTAATGAATACATTAATGGAACAAGATAGGAACAATTAATAATAAAATTATGTCAGGTTTACTAAATATTTAGGGTACCAAGTGTATATCCTTTGCATGCTCCCAGAGCCAAAGTCATGATAATCCACCCAGGACTTGTATCAGCAACCAAACATCAGGAGAGTAGAAAATACCCCATTTAGGAAAATATGAAAGGACACAGGATGCACTCTGTAAGGCCTGCAAACCATTGCTAGTGGCCGGGAAACAGTCACATAGACAGTACTATATCTCCTAGTCATGTAAAAGTGCACAGTTGCATCTTTTTGTTGGCTATGTTACAAATTCTTCTTCTTACCTCCAACAAACTGTTATTTGGGGTTCCCCATATGTTGCTGTCTCAACTGAGATCACTCTCTGCTCAAATTATGATTCTGGTCTCTGAGTGGGATTTTAAGCATGTGATGATTTAGACTGAGCACAGAGCACCAGACAGTGAACATCTTCACTCCATAAATTTAGACAACCAAGTGACATTTCTCGGCTCAGTTGCCTGAGGAATGTTGGTTCATGGCGCTGTTGTGATGACAAGTATCACAAACTTGTAGCAGTTAGGGAAAAATGTTATGTACTAACTAGTAGTCAGAAGTGATACTGAACTTAATTTCCCTTTGCTTTCCTAATTATTGCTTACAGAAGGTGTCAAGGTTAATCTCTATCTTGTCTTACAGTGAGATGATGTTGAGTTAGACTTGCTATTGTCTCCTTTCCCTAATCATGTGATAAGACCGTTTTAAAAGTTCCTAGCCATGGCATGGGAGTGATGTTGACAAGATCCTAGCAGGTGACAGAAGTCATGGTTAGACCATGTTGGCTGGTGCAAACAGCATTCAAGTGGCCTTAGCTCAAAAACTGTCTTTATAAAAAAACCTTTACCCGAATTTTACACTGGGTTTGGGAATACAGTAATTATCTGCAGACAAGGAGTCATAATAATGTGGCTGAAATATGTCGACCAAACCACACACTAGAAAGTGAAGGGATGACGATGTTTCGGTCCGTCCTTTACCATTCACAATCGACTTGAGAATGGTACAGGATGGACCGAAACGTTGTCGTCCCTTCACTTTCTAGTATGTGGTTTGGTCAACAGTAATTATCTTTTAACATACATCAAAGTAACTGTTTTATGAAAAGTTAATAAATGGAAAAAAACTACATATGATTTGTTTTATAAATTACATCATCTCATACTCACTAAAGCAAAGAAAAGAGTGGCAGCTCACCATGCATGTCTAGCAATAGTCATGTCTGTTGGATGACATAATATACTTCAATGTAAGAGGGCAAATAATAAATGTGTGCGTGCGAGACAAATCTATTTATTAGCGGTAGGTGTAATAAGGTAATGAACGGCATATCCATATGTTTTGGAAATATGGAGATATGCTAGAGGATTTATGCTAATAAAAGCTATGAATAAATGAGTGTGATCAGAGAAGTTGAAAGGAAATCAAGGTTCATAGAGTTAGGTTCCAGTGAAAACACAGGACGATGGAGAAAATATAAAGATCTATTTAGAGGGAGCACCAAGGAGGAATTTGTTTCAGGTTAACCTCTCAAGGAGAGTTGCCAAACGTGACGTCAGAGATATAAATTTATCGATGATCCACAAGTCAACCGTTTTTAAAACAAGAGTAATACCATATCTGCACGCTGAAATTACAAGAATCTGATATATCAATGTGAAAATATTGAAGGTGTACAAACGACCGAGCCTAAATATCTGAACCCCTCAAACACACACACACACACACACTACTGACTGGACCAAGACAGGTTAAATGTATCTCAACCTGAACTACTACTTGGCTTACATGGAGTTTGGAAGGAGCCATCCATGCAGCTTCAATATTTCCTCATGTAATATATTTTAACTAGACATTAAATTTGCCAATTTCTCCAAATCCCTTCATTCAAAAATAAAAAGTACACTATTATTGACAATGCTTACATGCAGACAAGAAACTGCTTAAGTGCTGCATCTGGTGTTGAGCACTCTTCATCCCTGGGTTTGACTAAAAAGTTCCAGTCCTCAAATACCGCTGCCAGCTTGTCTAGACCTCCATAATGAAAGTGAAAGATCTTGTATTGGCTCTCCCGGCTTGCAATTACCAGTTGGCCACATGTATGATCTTGGTCGCTGAAGAAAAGTCGAAGAGACTTGCTCTGTCCTAAGAAGTATAATTCATATGTAAATACAGGTATTGTATTATGATATGTTCAGAACAAAATTTAACAATTAATAAAATAATGATAACTATTGACCGTAGGAAGCAAACCAAAACTAGTACAGTACAGTGTAACTTATTTACAGTACAGTACAGTATAACTTATTAGCTGTATGTGCATTTTCATGCTGTTGAGACCAAGCAGAATCTTACCAAAATATTCTAACTTGGTGGGTATTCCATAAGTTGTGCATTGTAAAGCAGCCACAACCCCTTTTTCCTCTTTCTATTACCACAAAATATGATTTTCCAAGGCTGCAATCCACAACAGTTGCCCAACTCCCAGGAACCTATTACTACTAGGTGAACAGAGCCATTAGGCAAAAGAAAATATCCCCAAACATCTCCATCATATCCAACAACCCCATTACTGCAAAGTAATGGAGATTCTTCTCCCCCCCCCTTTACCAAATTAACATGTAATTATTCAACTTTATTTTTAATAGTAACCTTTAAACACAGCAAGTTTCCTACATTTCATCATTATCTATGACATTTCCGCTTAAGTAAAAGCCTGCGAGTGCACAAGAATCCTTTCCAACGCAAAATTGTTACTCTACCTCGGACTTTTGATTGTAATTGCCTTTATATTTCAACTGTACAATTGTGTTTGTAGAATATAATATGAAGCCTGACATAAATAAAAATGTATCACCTTTAAATATCTACCAGCTTACACGGTGTGCAACAGCAAACACTACCAAATTCAATGAACATATAACAAAATATTTATATGTTCAAATTCTCAATCTTCTGTTTACTTAATTAGGTTTTGCTCCTTTATTCTGGACACATTCATTTATTCTTAAAATCTGTATTCAGGTTTTCATTTTCCATGCAGATTACAAAAGATATACTGTATAGACAAACATACTACTGTATATTTATTTAAGCATTACATGTACAAGCATCTACTGTATTTTGAAATGTCATTAATTATACCAATATCAACCAAATATTTTACAACATCTCCATTTATGAAAATAAATTTGGTAAATGACAGCTAAATAGATAAGATATATTGTGCTACTCACTGACATCAATGCTGAAAATACCACACTTGTGTTCTCTTCTAACAGGAGAAGAGCCTCCATCAACAGGAGTTGGGCAGAAGGAGGATAAAGATGAATCTGGGAAAGCTAAGTTGGCAGAATAGGCCATAGATTCTGCACTTCTTTCAAACCAGTATTGTTCTCCTGAGGGTGGCAAAGGAAATTTCAACAAAATGTCAGACACACACACATGCACAGAAATTTCCTTATTTTCAATGTAAAAGCCAAGAAATCTCATAAATGTTACGACTTGATAAGGGTACAAGATAGACCGAGACGTCATCACTCCTATTTAATTTCATCTGTGGATTGGGTTATTTATTTTCAGGCAGTTTAACTCATTCTATTCAAAAGGACACTTGTTGCTTTAATAATGCTTATTCCACACAATACAAAATGTATCAATAATACAGTACAAACTGTAATCTCTTCAAGTGTAGTAAACTTTTTAATTTATTGGGAAAAAAGTGAGCTTAGGCAATCTAAGCAACTCTAGAATAATCAAACATATGGCATTGAAACACATGGTAACAATCAACAATACATGTTCTCTAATAAACTAGAAGGTAGTCAGTAATTTGTGAAAGAAAGCTACAGCCAAGAGTTGAAGTTGAAGATGATGTTCAGAGAGTAAGGGTGGCAAGCAGTTATAGTTATGGTATTGGTGATATTGGTGCTTTACTCTAATTTTTTTATTAAGACATACTGAAAGTTACTTACCATTACCTGAAGAGAAGAAGTGAGGTGGAGGAGACAACTGGGGTTCAGGAGATGACTCCAAGCTATCTTCTCTTTCACTGGCGAGTTGTCCCAGAGAACTTGAACTTTGTATCGTCTCTGTGATGGTTAAACTTTCTCCAAGTTTATCCCCATCCGAGCTGCTGTCCGAAGAGGATATATATCTGCACTTTTTGCCTTCAATAACCTTATCAACATCCTCTTCTGTTTCTTCATGAGCAACAGATTCAAGAGGAGCAGATTCTGTATTTATCTTAGCTTCAATTAACTTATCTTTGTCAATTTTAACAACAGTGATTTCTGCAACTTCTTCTTCAACTGAAATTGCCTCATTCTGTCCACTTTCTGGTAGCTGCCACTCTTTCTGTAATTCCTGTGTACTTTGATTACATAGGTCATCATTACCCTCACTTGTAATTTCATTACTTTCCTTTGTATCATTAGTTACTTCATCAATCACTTCCTTTATTTCATTAACCATCTCTTGTGTTTCTTCCTTTGCTTCTTCACATTCTTCTTCAACATATTTCTGGTGAGCATCACTACTGCTTCCATCACTATTGGGGCTAGCTTCTCCCTTGGACTGTGTAACCTCACTGGCTGTATCCAAGGTGGAGATGCCAGAAGTAGACATTGTGGCAGCATCATCAACTGATGTCTTGATTAGAATAATAATAATATTATTATTATTATTGAAAAACAAAATACCTAGTCATTACATGCTAATACAGTATCATAGATAATAAAAGTTAACACAAGTTAAAATCTAGAGCTACTGAGAAGCCCATCTCAGAAAGAATATGCAAAACCCCAAATGAATACTGTATATGCAGAGTTAGTCTGTACAGATCAATATACAGTACAGATGAGTACATGTTTTCTGAATGCCTCTCAACCAACACTCTCCTAAAAACTTGTTGTGCCCATAATATCATTGTCATGGCTGAATTTTATTTTATATTTATTTTTTTAACCAACCACAGAAATTAGTTGTAACCAAGTATTTTTTTTAATGGTGCACACATCCACAAAAATCCTGAAAAACTTAATCTGAGCAATATTAACACATAACATTCATACCCATTATTTCCCTACTCTATCAGCAAATTTAACTTTTTTTTTTTTTATTTAATGATTATCTACCAGGAGAACTTGACTAACGTTTTCACTTGCATGTACTTTTATTTTTCAAAGGCAGCACCGTAACTTTAGGTTATAAATTGTACAACTCAAAATGAAAACCAACCATACAATTATATTTCAGTCATGCACAATAGCTTCCCCATAGTATCAAGTACTTCTTTTAATATTGTGCCTATCTGCACAAATCTTTAAAAACTTAATGAAATAACATTCATACCCTTCTTTTCCCATGCTTTATGAGCAAAGTTTTCAGGTTGAACACTTTGTGTTTATTAATTAAGTTTGGCTTGGTAAACACCGGGTCCAGGACCTGTGCCACCAGGCTAACTATACCCCTCCCTCTGGCCATACCTCCCTGATGCTTACAGTAATCTCACAACCTTATCACAAAATTTATTTAGATCTGCTCTTACAACTTTATCTGCAATTTTAGTCAGACTGCCCCAAAGCAGAGAAACTGACATTTCTGTGTAAGTCATATCCAGAAAGCATGTTTTCACCTATACTAGAAAAATACTGCTTATTCATTGGAATTGATGGCCAATTTTGCTGAAAAAGATATACCGTAAATGGAACAAAGTTGGAACTGTGTTTATATTCTGTGGACTTTACAAAATGTCTGCTATACAAACAAGAGCAGAGGAATAACTTTTTTAGGTTAGACTTAATATTATATACAGGCCATCTGTTCAACAGCAATAAGTTGATTTTTAATAATCAGGGAAATAACTTTGATTCAAAATTTTAGAAAGAATTGTGCTGTTTACATACCTTTCTTAATGTTCCACTGCTATCATGTAATACCAAAGACGAGACAGACAATGATTCAGAGTCTGATGTTGGGTATGGAGAATTACTGCGGCTGCTTCCGTCCGTGCTGATAATAAATAGAAGAAGTTGTATACAGAGTATTATAGTGTAAGACCTTAAGGTAGCTTTCATGATATGAAAAATCAACTGGCCTACTTACTTTATTTGAGATACAAGTTCATGGTTCCGACGAAGGCGCTCATTGGGTATCCAGTTCAGGTGTAGTGTGGTTCCAAAAGTCATATCTGCTTGGCACTTAATAACCAAATAGCCGGGATGATGCACCCTTTCCCCATCTCCACGGTAACGTGATGGTGGGTGGACACAAACATTGTTCTTGCCTAACAAAGAAAGGTTAATGGCTTAGACAGTATAATAATAGATTTTAGAGTACAAATAACGTACAAATTTTATGTTACTTAATATCAATCTGAAAACACGTGCGTTTTCTAATAACTGAAAACTATTTTGTGACTTGACTTACAGAAAACAATATCTCCATCTTCATAGGCTGGCTTGGAAGTATCAGAGTATGAAATACCCAAGAAGCTTGATGCTCGTCGCAGGATACCGTTGAACGACATCGTGACTGGCAAAAGTAACCTTGCGGAGACACCCAACTAAGTGCTTATAGCTTCCTTATCTTTAACACCATCTTGAAAACTGTAATAAATGAACATTGTACATGAATATGCATTTCTTGAATTTCTCTATACTTTCCTATTCAATTGCATTTATTAAATCTCATTACATACTTTTAAAGTAACATTTTGGCATTGGTTTTCTATTAATTTTAAATTATCCTTTACCTTATATTACAATACCAAGTACAGTAATGTATACTTTTGTTAGACATTTTTTTGGACAATATGCTTGGTCACAGTGAACCTCTTTAGAGTGGCATCAAGCATAGCAACAACACAGTACTGTAATTAACAAATATAGTAGTGGGGGAAAAGACAAGGATGGATGGATGGATTACTATTGTTTTGTTGTTCAAATGCATTTAATGCAAATGATCTAGAAAGAACAATTGAATGGAACTAATTAGGGTATACAAGAAGAATGCTTGATGCTGGGATATATGTAAACACTTACATAAATTAAGGAAATATGAAAAAGAACTGAAAGAAAAGGTTAAAAAAGGTGTTGCATGTGTGAGTGTGTGTGCAGGGAAAGTAGTAGTGGCCCTTTTGTTATCCCTACGGTCAATTTGGGGAGTTATTTGGCTCTTTGGACTTTTGTCTATTGCATTTTTCTGTATAAATAATAAATAAATAATAAATGATTTGTGTATGATCATGTATGAAACCATTTGTGCATCCCCAACCCAGGCCTCAGTTGGAGGTGCACAAATTTTGGGGGGTCCATGTGGCCCCCAAAGATTAGTGGCAACATATGTGATATTAATATCTAGTACAGTACCTACAAACTAAAACTATATCTTCTGTAGTAATAATTACAACTTAAAATTTGCTATTAACAACAGACCATCAACTGTTATTCAGTGCACCACTGTATATACAACAGTCCTAGAGTACAGTTCTGTGGTACTGTCACACCACCTAGTAGTAGCAGTACGTGAAGCTGTGGCATTATTGCAGTATGCAAGAGTTGGGTTACAGTCCTCTCTTAATACTGAAGCAGCTGAGTGTAATTATATGGTACTAGCACAGCTGAGTGTAATTATATGGTACTAGCACAGCTGAGAGTATAATTATATGGCACTAGTATAGCTGAGAGTATAATTGTGTGACACTAGCACAACAGCCGAGTGTAAAATTCTATTCTACTATTGCAGCAGTTTGGACAGCCTTGCAGTACTATCACAGCCACAGGTATTAAGTGGCATCACTGCAACAGCTATGAGCACAGTCCTGTGGTAGTACAGCAGCAGCCAAGAGTACAGTACTGTGGCTGTAAAACAGCAGCAGCTGAGAGTACAGTATTGGGGCAGCAGCCGAGAGTACAGTACTGTGGCAGCAGCCGAGAGTACAGTACTGTGGCAGCAGCCGAGAGTACAGTACTGTGGCAGCAGCCGAGAGTACAGTACTGTGGCAGCAGCCGAGAGTACAGTACTGTGGCAGCAGCCGAGAGTACAGTACTGTGGCAGCAGCCGAGAGTACAGTACTGTGGCAGCAGCCGAGAGTACAGTACTGTGGCAGCAGCCGAGAGTACAGTACTGTGGCAGCAGCCGAGAGTACAGTACTGTGGCAGCAGCCGAGAGTACAGTACTGTGGCAGCAGCCGAGAGTACAGTACTGTGGCAGCAGCCGAGAGTACAGTACTGTGGCAGTACAACAGCAGCAGCTGAGAGTACAGTACTGTGACACAACAACAGCAGCAGCTGAGAGTACAGTACTGGGACACAACAACAGCAGCAGCTGAGAGTACAGTACTGTGGCAGCAGCCGAGAGTACAGTACTGTGACACAACAACAGCAGCAGCTGAGAGTACAGTACTGGGACACAACAACAGCAGCAGCTGAGAGTACAGTACTGGGACACAACAACAGCAGCAGCTGAGAGTACAGTACTGGGACACAACAACAACAGCAGCTGAGAGTACAGTACTGGGACACAACAACAACAGCAGCTGAGAGTACAGTACCGTGGCGGTACAGCAGCAGCAGCAGCTGAGAGAGTACAGTACTGGGACACAGCAGGTAAGTGTTGTCCTTGGCTCACGTCACTACGCGCGAGGCGCACAATTGCCAGATCAACAACACAGCTGTGGAGCCAAACATCACTTCTAAACTGACCCAAAACTTGCCCAATTTTTTTTTCTTATCGAGACTTGACTGGCCAATAAAGGCACATGTAAAAAAAAGAACTTAAATCTCAAATAAAAAAGATACCATTATACATTTCGTAAAAAGAACCATTCTAGCAGATAATACAGCCTAAATTAATGCTACCTTGGTCGACGTGTATTATATCAGCATATACATTCAATATTTTTCTTAATTTTGTCAGGGACAGACAGCCTGTATATATATATATATTTAGTTTTTGTGCTTGGCCTCGAAGCATTGTTGATTTAACAATATACATTAAATATTATTACTAGCTCTTCAAGATTGTAACTTGCTTAGCTAAATAAATCTGGGGGTTTAGTCTCTGAACCAATTATGCTTCTCTATAACCCTTTACACTACTGCCCATAAGGCTGGGTATGGGGTCCACTACTGCCCACAGGATGGGTATGGGGTCCACTACTGCCCACAGGATGGATATGGGGTCCATTATCGCCCACAGGATGAGTAAGAGTGCATAATTTATACAGTCTCCGTGGTGTAGTGGTAAGACACTCGCCTGGCGTTCCGCGAGCGCTATGTCATGGGTTCGTATCCTGGCCGGGGAGGATTTACTGGGCGCAATTCCTTAACTGTAGCCTCTGTTTAACGCAACAGTAAAATGTGTACTTGGATGAAAAAACGATTCTTCGCGGCAGGGGATCGTATTCCAGGGACCATAGGATTAAGGACTTGCCCGAACCGCTACGCGTACTAGTGGCTGTACAAGAATGTAACAACTCTTGTATATATTTAAAATAAAATAAAATAAATAAATAAATAAAAAATAATGAATGAGCAAAACTAAAACTATGTTCAGATCTGGCAACATTGACCAAACGTCACCCACAACAAATTTATTCACTACAAACATTTAACGACTATGCTGGTAGTTGGCAATTATTATTATTTTTACATATGCTGTCTGCATTGCTATTAGTGTATTTTCGAAATAATGCAACATATTCGGCTTTTCGCGGTCCTCCACTAGCTAAGGTTTGTCCATGTGGTCACTCATTCAATTATTAAATCGAACCATGCTTAGACTGTAGCTATTTTATTATTATTATTATTATTATTATTATTATTATTATTATTGCAGCATAATAATAATTATTATTATTATTACTAACAGTCTTAGGTACAGAGTAATGAGCTGAATGAACGAGTGACACATCTACGTTAAAGTCACGACATATATACATACTGTACATACATATACACATATATCCTGCAGTGTGGGGATATAAATGTAGACGGCAGGACGCTTGTTTTCAGTTAGAGAATGAAAGGTGTGTTTCCTAGGGGCTGGCGGGCGCGGGCCGGGGTTCAGAGCCCGCGCGCGCCATTCACTCTTCCCGCTCTGCGCCCACAAGTCGCTCACCCTCTGGGCGGGAAGGTTATAGGCACCTTTCCTTTCACCTAGCTGTAAGTATCCGGGAGTTAGTCAATTGTTGTGGAGTTGTAACATGAGGAGGGGTTAGTAGGCCCTTGGTAAATCCAATGCCTTTTATGTTTGATGCCTCCAATATTGTGTTTTGTAACCGATTTTCAATGTATGTATCTTTACCTGAATCAACATGTTATCTGTCTTATGTTGTTCATTTTATCTTGTGCTGTAATACAGTATTGGCATCCTAATTGATGGTTAGGACCCTTTGTATATTCTGCGACACAGATGGTGCTAAATAGTCTTCCGGGTTTGGTGCCGTCTTGTGATAATTACTTGTTTCAATATGAATTTTTGTTTTTGGGGTATTAAATTTAATTTTCATGTTTTATAGTTGTTATTCTCTTCGTTTCTCATCATCATTCCCAAACTTTTGTATTAAGATTGTCTTGATGATGCTTCTTCGTTGGAACTTGAGTGGCAAAGTATTTCTCACCTTTGGTTTTCGTCTAATTTTGTTATAAGCTTCCAGTGTAACTATTAGCAAGGACATACAACCAAAATAGTGCGTTCATGTAAACAATTAGGCAGACTGGATGCATTACTATCCTTCATCTAAGCTTTAGTCTTAGAATACCAGTGTTATCATCACCACTACCATCTTCTCTGACCACTAGTAAAACCTCACTTATTGCTACCAAAATGTATTTGCTTCCACTGCACCTTAACTACTACTACATCTTTCTACCCCTGTACATCTACTTAATGCTTCCATTTATCCATACTTCCACTTCTTTGCTTAGTTTCTAAGCTTCCCACTAACTTTTGTCACTATCAGTGATGGCTAGGATATTCAACAGTTATACAAAAGGATTGTGTTGGCACACTGTCAGTTTAGTGATGTTGTGAATGCTCTAGAGAACAAGCTGCTTAATGAAAACCTCATTGGGTTTTAATTATTAAAAATATCTTAAATGCCTACTAAATTAATTACTATATTGCTCATTGATGCATAATATTGCCAAACCTCCTATTTAGTTTAATAAATACTTTGTGACAATTTCAATAGTTCTTCTAACACAACCTTCCCAGTTGATTGCCTCGTCTATGAAGCCTTTTTGTGTTTGTATCCCACAGAGCCATCACAGCCAGGCTGATTCAATAACTAAAGAGGAAACTTGTCAAGCTCTCTTGAAAGCTCCTAATCTTTGTATGGTAAGCCTGTCATTCTTCTAGTATGAGATTGCAAGGTAGAGTTTATAGGGCCCAAAACAAGTGTACGTGTTACAGCATGGTACAGTACAAGCATCTAAATGATATACTAAAATGTGTATTTTTAGATTATTTTGCCTGAAAGATTGTGCATTCTAGGGGAGCCCACAATTAATGCCACAGAATACTGTAGCTTCCTAATATTTATAATCCCATGTACTGTGCTAATAATTTTAAGTCGAAGAAGGCAGGACAGTTTCATAGTACTAAATCATAATAGCATATTCTGTAACTTGTTTCATGACTTTACCAACTGGGTTGTAGCGGATATGTGGACCTGTGGCCCACTCCAAGTAACAGCCGGTTGGAACAAGTTATCAGGAGTTGAGCCTGGCCCCAGGCTGGCCTCGGGGAGTAGAACAACTCTGGGAACCCTCTCCAGGTATGCTCCAGGTATAACTTGTTAATATGTAACTATTGCACCTAATCAATTTTAAACTACTTGTATGTTCCTAACAATTTTGTACCTATCTGAGTAACTATTAGTATCAAGTGAAAACTAAAAAGTTTAAATTGTAATTTTGCAGAATTAAATATTCGATGTAATTATATTACAGTACAGTAATATGAAAACAATCATTCCAAAGGATGTAACACTCACTTATTCTTAGATTTATTTGATATTTAATTTGTCTGATAAGCTTAGCATATTGCAGGGTATAAGTATGGGTAATACACGTCAAATTTTTATATTGTGTACTGTATTGCATCTTTTATGACTGCATTATTATAGTAAACAGTAGGAGGATACACCATAACCATAAAATATATAGTATAATAAGATGGATAACCTGAAAGGCCAAGCATTTGAGCTAAGTATGTGTAACAGGTTTAATTTTCAAAGGACCAGTTTATTGAGGTAATGATATATTTGTGACAGATAAGTTTGTAATACAGTACTAAATTATAATCCTCTTCATAATGCAGCCAATAAACAGTTTTTAAAGAGGTGTTTGTAAAATGCAAAGAATCATTTTTATTTAATTAAATATTGAAATATGTTACAGCCAAGCAGAGAATATCGTTGGACACATTGAATACTGTATAAAAAAAGTTCATTAAATGTGGTACACTATATACAAACTATGAATAAAAATTGTATGGAAGGTTTTTAATTAAGATAATCTTACAGAATTGATTACGGTACCAAATATCTTCAGTAAGATTTAAATCACATCCATTTTAATGCTGGCAAATTGATATAACTATTTCACAACATAAATCTAACCAATGTTAACTTTGATACAAAACATCTTTAAATGCTATTGCAGAAATAGTTTTTTGGTGACCAGAGTATTCACGCTTAATTTCGCCAGTTTCTACAGACCACAGTCTTGCAGTGTTATCAGATGAGCCTGTAAAAAAAAATATTTTTAAACGGGCAAAGCAATTTACTGTTTTACTTTCTACTTTTGTTTTAGCAATTTACTTTCTACTCACTAGAAAATTCTTACTGCATATGAACGTCACAAACTAAGAGCATTTATAAGGATAGCTCATTTCTGAGCAAGGTATTCTACTGCTCCTATATGTATGTCAGCCTAGACGTATTTGGATTTCAGAATTCCTGCAGGATCATGCAACTATTTTGATGCAACAGTCTTGTTTCAGCTATATTTCCCCAGGAAAAAAATGGGACAACAAAATAATAGAAATTTTTATATATTTTTTACATTATTAGTAGCTCAGGCACTGACAAAGACAGGACTTGCTAGATATTCCAGGCACACGGGAGGCTAAACTCTGGAGACTAGAACCCTTGTAAGTATTCCTTGTCCCCCCCTCCCTAGATGAGGAGTTCCCAGTGGTAAATTAAAATATAAATTGGATAAGTTTAAATTCAGAAAAGACCTGGGAAATACCGTACTGGTTTGGAAATAGCGTTGAAGATTTATGGAACAAATTACTCAGTAACATAATATTGTAGACATGGGATTGTTTAATATTTTTTGTTTTGTTTTGTTTTGTTGGGGACATGAAGCCTGTGTGTATATATACTTTAAGCTTGCATCAAGGTCCCCTGAATGTTTAATTATTAACCCTCCCCAAGATGCAACCCCACAACAGTGCCTATTTACTGCTAGGTGAAAGGAAACATGCCCAACCATTTCTGTTTCCCCCAAGATTTCTAAATGTGAGTCGAGAACGAAGCCATCTGAACTACGAGACCCTTGTAGACATTAGAAGAAACCTGAAAACCCTGCCTAAAATGCTATGCATGTTAGTGGCTTTACATGAATGTAAAAACACCGATGTTATGTACTCTCAACAAACCCAATGTACCTTCTTGTATATAAATAAATAAATATACATGAATGAGTATGTAAAGGAGCTGCCACACAAAAATCTCATTGAAAAGCAATGATCTAGAATCATAAAATACTCAACCTCTGCAGAAAAATATTTTGGTGAGTGCCAAACTATCAAAACAAAACTCTGGCAAGCAGTTAATTATTCCATTAAACAACTCTCTCAACCATCAACTGGCAGCCCGGTCCACCCCACTAACATGGGGAAACGAATAGGGTAAAGAGTGGGTGGAGCTACTAAGGTGCCACCCTGAAAGTGTCAATTTCATTACACTATACCATTTCTGGCCATCATTTACCTCCCAGTAATTCTCTTCAGTTTCACAACAATGTCTCATAAGGAAACTAATTTTATAATCAACGCAGAAATACAAGCAGTAAGGGATTTATCCATTGGAGGAGTAGGCATAACAGGACCCAGGCAAAGGTGCACTGTGTTCAGATGTGCATTACATGGTCCATCATTACACAGTCTATGGGGATGAGCCAGAACTGAGGTGACAGGCTTCAAGGATCCAATTGGAATGCCAGAAGCTCTGATTTTGGTGGAGAACATAGAAAAAGAATGCTGTCAGTGCAGTACACCTCTGTAGATTATGTACACTAGGATAGGTAATGGGTTGGCTGGCTAAAACAACCCAGCATACTCAGAAATACAAATTTAAGAGCATGGAAACCCAGAGCAAAACTGGAGGAAAAGAAGACAATAGCTATAGAACCTAGGGCAGTCCCAGAAAGCATCCCTTTGTAGTCACCAGGTACATTGTACTATGAATCCCTGGCTGAACAAACTAGGCTTCAATGTTCAGAGGACATTGATGACACGGTGTGCAGCTTACCAACATGATCACCTGGAGCAAGAACCAGCAAAAAATGCAGCCTACAGTGTACAATTATCAGAGGATGCTTGTAAGACTATCTTGCAGCCTTACGCTTATGGGGCATGAGAACACAGCATGTGATTGTATTGAATCCCTAGCTCTGTGCCACTGAGGAGGCCAGGTTCTGGCTCTGGTCTCCAGTAGGCCAACAGGACTCCTATGGTTGATGTGACTCAGCATGGGAACCCTTCTCAGTAAGAAGGCTTCAGGGAGCCACTGGGGATTTCTTCAGAGAAAACTACAGTATATACAATACATACACAATATACTATATTAAAGCAAAAAAATATAAATAAACCTTTATATATGGTTACTTTAAATTACCAGCTCCAGGAGTTGGAACTGAACACTATACATACCCAAGCTTATTGTCAGCCTCCAACTTTACAGGTCTCACTTGGCAAGTACGTTACATAGCACTACAGTACTTGCACATGGCTGACTTGAAACACATCGTCTCAAGAGGAACAACCTATAGAGGAAGATAATTCTGAAGGGAAGCAGCCTTTACCAATAGAACCATGGAAGAAAAATAATCCCCGGTGGGGCAGTGATAACACAATCATCAGTCTAGGTTCCATATCTTGCCTGGGAAAGATTGAATAGGTGCCAATCCTTAACAGTATGCCTCTGTTCATCCAGCAGTGATTGGGTACCTGGTTATTAAATGATTGGCAGGTCGTGTTCCAGGGAAACTAGGCTTACCACGAGCTATGGGATGGGAAAGCTCTCGGTCTGGGGTACAGGAGCCAGCAGTTGTCTGTTCCTGTACCCCTGTGTAAAAACACAAAAAAAAAAAAAAAAAAAAAAAAGAAAGAGAAAGGGGGGTCATCCTTAACTAAGACTAAGGTAGTAGATGGTAGCAAGAGGCACACAAGATGAATAGTATACTGTACATGTTTGTGAAGTAATAAGTATAAGCTCCAACACTGAACAAATAAGTCCAAAGAAAACTGAACACTTTTATACAGCAGTTGGTTTACACAGGAACAAGACACAACCCTACTTGCCAAACTGAATGGCTAAAATGTGTAAACTTAAAGCAGCATTTACTAAAATGTTTGAAGACAAACAAGTAAAAAAAAGGTCTTTAAACCCCATTTTTTTTCCTTTTCCCCCATTATCACGGAGATCTGAACCTTTTCATCCTTGGCACTCAAACCAACAGTTCATTTACCTGTACTGAAATAATGTAGAGTCCTCATGTTGAACATGTGACAAGATCCTTGTGTCAGACCATGCTACAATTACAACACTAGTTAAGAAACTTACTCCTGCTACCTACCTGTTATAACATGCTGTGAATCAGCAGAAAAAGCAACATCCCACACCCATCTTTGGCTGCTGTCACTCAACTCTGTCATCTGAGAGAAATCTGCTGTCTTCCATATACGAGCGGTGTGGTCAGCTGATGTTGTTACCATCATACTATAAAAAGTGATTCAGTCAATTTAAGATCCATACTTTATTCATCACAAGTTAAGGGGCTTTGTGCTAGAAAAATGTTTTCAGATTTACAGTTCTTTGAACTTTAGCCTTAACACATAAACATGGTTACTACAAACTGTTTTAAACCTATCATATAACAAATAGGTAATATACAGAATACTGTAATTAAATCTGTTTCAGATTTACAAATATTGTTGCAGAACTATTCTGATGGTATCACTGCAAAGGCCAGACACAGTTCCATACATGTACAGTATTTGGGCAAATTTCTAATTTGTGTATAATATGTGAAAATGTCATAAAAATTGGATGAAAACTAACAAACAGAAATGGAAATTCTAGAAAGTTGACAGTTTGAAATTGTAATTTTCCGGCCAAACATACAGTGTCACAAATCCTCAAGATCCATTTTAATTATATAACTTATTTTGTAAATACTTTTTAATGACTTGTATTTAGTTACCGGATACAAGATTTTTTTCTACTAAAATAAAAATAAATATGTATCCAAGCAATTTAAGGACCTCTGATTTAGCATCCTGCTGCAATTAACAGCAGGTTTCTAGACAAGTATTTGGATCCTCATTTACCAAGTCAAGATCCAGTAAAGGTGGATTATGGTTGCTATTAAATTTACCGAGCTTGCTACTAGGTAAATAGGCAGCCATTATCATGTTTGTTGTGATACAACTTTGCCCCTGCTAGGCCAAGGCTTTCCATACTTTTTTTTTGGAGGAGGGGGGGGGGGGGAATGTACCAATATTTTCCTGGAATGACTATGGGAAACTACATTTCTTTTCCTGCAGCCATTTGTGGGACAGAGGAATGTGTGTGTGTGTTGGTGGTGAGAGAATGAATGTGCCTATGTTAGGGACAAGAGTAGGGGGGGGGGGGAGGGAGAGAGAAATTTTGATGAGTGCAAGTACTCTAACTTAGTACAGTGCCCAACATTGTATTCACACACCTCAGAGACAACCTCATTCAAATAACATAAGTGGATTTGTGTGAATGAAAGGATTTCTCTCCATAAATACCCAACAAAGCCACCATTGTTGTTCTACATGATTTCCAGCATATCAAATATAAACAAAGAAATTAATGAACCAAGTTTTACAGTATTTATAACTGGCAATAAGGATCTTACGTGGAATCGGGGCTAAACTTGACTTTGAGAGCATAGTTGTTATGAGCTAGAAGTGATCTTGTTGGTGTCAGGTGGATGGGCGTATCACCAGTGCCTCCAGAAAGTCGCCACACGTACACTTTTCCTTTATTATTGACAGCAGCCATGTACGTTCCTTCAGGGTCTATGGCAATGCTCTGAATACTACCATCAGGCTCTGGTATCTGTAAAATAAATATTGAACAGTTTTTAATATAAATTTCTGCATTTCATTACAGTATTTCTTCTTTCACTAGTGTTATGACCCATTGTATGCTATAACTCAGTAGCCAAGGTTAAGAGTGTAAATTCTTGGCCTCTTAAACATCATTTTTAAGTTGAATAAAAATAAAGCACTGAATGAAATAAAATGCCGTTTTCTGGTTGGCCTCTCGGTAGCTCCCCAAGCTTAAGTATTGTTGCTGCTGAGCCTTAGGATATTGCACTATGCTAGTACCTCCAGGTCTCGCTCAAGTGATTGCTCAAGCACACTGGAAGTCACAACAAGAATCTGGATATCTCACCTCAACATGGTAAGGGTAGCTTGGGGATCAGAGATCAACTCAAGACCATGAACAAATACATGTGAAAGAATAACTGCAATAAAGTAAGCAACTGATTGAAGGAAAATAGTAACTGAAGTAAACAAGACAAAGGATTTTGTCACTGGGTAAGTTCCCTTCCCATAAGGTGCTCTACTCCCACCAGACTGCAACACAGGTCACCCATACTCCCACCAAGCCATGCACCTCATTCACCTTCAATATTTTTATAACATTACCTTCAAAGATAGTTTTTAAGAGCCAGTTGAACTCTTAGTGGATTAATATCAACCTCATAAATTACCTGCAAGTCTGAAAAACACTAAAATGGCAGTGAATTTAAAACATACATGAATTTAAAACACCTACCAATTGTTCATTGTGTTCAGTTTTCACATCCCAAATATGGATGACTCCTGACTGGTCTCCAACAAATAGCTCTGCCTGGTTGGGGTGAAGGCAGGCACAGTTGACAGGGGTGCTTACTTGAAAAATTCTAGACACATTCAGGTTATATGACCTGAAAAAATAACATGCTAAATATTAAATATTATAAAACATTATCTCTTATAAAAATATTATCTCCTCTAACTCATCCATGACAACTTAGAGTTGAGAATTATTCCAAAATATAATACTGTACTCATGTTAATGCACAAACATTTATTTTGTATAGTCAGCCCTAGCTATTCACTAGTCTGGCATCTGTAAAAATGTGCTATCCATAAAGTGTTTATTTTGTACAAAATCTCACAAAACAGGAGAGGTGGTTGACCAAACCACACACTAGAAAGTGAAAAGATGGCGACGTTTCGGTCCGTCCTGGACCATTCTCAAGTCGATTGTGGACCCACCAGGTCCACAATCCAGCAGTGAAACCGTCAGTGACTCCAAGGTGTATTAACAGGATTATAGGAAGTAGTCACATGTGGTAAAAATGCTTGCTTCTTTATTGACAGTAGAGGAGCGTTAGTCTTTAAATAGCAGACGCCCAGTTTACTAGAATATGTATTGTTAAAGAGTGTAGAGAGAATGTTAAGAAATTAGAAAAAACTTGGTATAAAGTAAGATTCATGTAGATCCCTTCACATGTGGGAATACTGTTGAATGAGGTAGTTGATGAGATAGTGAAGAGAGCCACAGAAAAACTCTTGTTGATGTTGTATGTCAGATAATCTTGAAACAAATAAATACAAGAATCAAGATGATCCAAGAGGGTGAAGAAATGGTAAAGAGCATGGCAATGGTGGACAGTAGTAATACACTTAAGAATTATTCAATAATAAATACAAATTCGTCCTTCACCTATGGTACAGGAAAGTCTACTTGGAACGATTCAATTTACATGAGATTAAGATTAGGAAACAAATATATTTGGCAATATGGTGTTGATGTCAGTGAAAAAGATTAGGAGTATTAATTATGTATGCTGCACACCCACACCTTAGAACATTATGTATTAGAGTGTCAACTTATTGATAACTATAGAAATAAGGAAATAAGTAGTGTACCGCATCAAATTTTTTGGATGTGTGATAATGGTATGACAGATAGTATACTTAGAAGCTACAAGAATTTTGCCCCAAGAGTCTAACACTTATATGCTGTGCTTACTATATTAACCTACAATGTTAAATGAGATTCTTGAACTGTGATTTGTGTATTTGTACTCGCTGAATTTGTGCACCCCTTGAGGGACTTGAAGTAGAGGGGGGTAGAAATAGTCTAAGCTACTCTATCCCTTTGAGATGTATTTTTTTCTTGTCTCAATAAACATACTTGAACTTGAATATAACACAAAATTTATTTTAATTTTATTTTGTAATATGTACAAAATATACTTAAATTTGTAGCTCAGCTCCCAGGTTACCTATCTACACCTACATGTTCACCTACCTCATTTTTGATAAATAGGTCTTGACAAGAAACCTCTGTGTTACATTAATATAAAATTAATGCAACATGTCATGCATAAAAGATTTTTCTCTATTCATTTACCAATTCTTACAGATCTTTTACTAATTCTTAATCTAGGTCTTACACTACTGCAAAAAGAATTTAACAATTTAAATCTTTAGTGACAAGCTTTTAATGCAGATTTCATTACCTCAAGTCCCAAATTTTTGCAGTACAATCTTCGCCTCCTGTGAACATCCACTTTCCATCTTCCTGAAATCCAAGTGCTGTAACATTCTTACTCACTCCTTCATAGTTGACAACAGGGTCCTCATTTAATGTTTTAAGGTCATACATGCGGATGTGTTGGTAACCAGCTGCTGCTAACATGTGACGGTCAGGGGATATCTCCAGGGCATTTACTTGCTAAACATGTGGGTTAAGGAGTAATACAGTACTATATTACTTAAAATCGAGTAATGTTATCCCTTTAACATCTGGGAAACGGTACGAGGTGTAAACAGTGTGAGCATATAATGCAAGATTTTCAGATAATTTCAGATACACCATGTGTACAGGGTATCTGAAATTATTTAGAAGCAATCCAGAGCACATAAAACAACAATTATTTGTAAGAAAAGCAAGACAGTTTCATGAATCTAAGATAGTGTCAGATAAAATATAAGTAAACATGTAAAAAAAAAAAAAGTCCTTGTCAAGGCCACTAGAGAAAGAGAGTGGCCTTCAGGTAAATTCAGTTCCAATCCATTTAGGAAAATGGGCCATATTGGAAAACTTTAGCACTGAGGAACAATTTATTTATATATATATATTATATATAAAAAAAGGTACATTGGGGGTTAAGAGAGTACATAGTAATGATGAATTTACATTCTTGTAAAGCCACTAGCATGCATAGCATTTCGGGCAGTCTCTAATTTTAAGTCTGAAATATAAACCCCTTGCTAACCTAAGGAATATGAATGGTGGATACAAGCCCACAAATTGCCTACGAGTAACTATTAAAGTACAGTAGTCATAAAGGATACAGATTCAGGATGTTTGAGGGTTCGTTGACAAATCCCACTGTGGGCCTGCCATAACTTGATGGTGTGATCGTAGCTGGCGGTTGCCAAAATAACTTGGCTTGACGGGTCATTGGCAGACATTGTTCATGAGAGCTCCCAAGATATTGTAAAAACCGCACCAAAGTAGGCGGAGAATGGTCCCGTTGAGGTTTGTTTACTTCTTCTATTTACAGTCTTGCGGCTCTACAGCCAGTCAGCTGGAGCGGCTGGATTCAATCTCTCAAAATCCGGATTGATAATAGTTTAATAATTACCACCTCATGGCTAGAAGAAGGGAACCCTTAGTCTCGGAGAAAAGCACACACAACGCATTAGAGGGGATTTTTAAGTCCCCTCTAATACTGTTTCAATGTTTTATTATTATTACAGTATATATTTTATTATTATTATAATTTATTTTATTATTATTATTATATTTTATTATTAAATATTTTATTATAATTATTATTATTTACTAATATTATTTATTGTTATAATTATTTAATATTATTATTTATTATTTATTCTTATTATTATTATAACATCAGGGCATATGGGGGCTTTGACAAGCCGCCGGCTTCCTATCCTCGTCGAGGCCATTATAGTGTGTTAGTGACCCTTCAGGTAAATATATGACTTCATTTGCAATTCACAATTGAGAACCCCAGGTTCGATTCCCAGGCGAAACAGAAATGGCTGGGCACGTTTAAAATTTAATAATTAATTCCTTTCACCTAATACAAATCTAAGGCTACAAATTTAAGTATATTTTGTACATATTACAAAATAAATTAAAATAAATTGTTATATTCTTGGTGCCAAGTGTTAAACCTCCTAAAAATTGCCTCTACCATTCCATTGTCACACATCGATACAATTTAATGTGGTACACTACCTGACTTGTGGGTTGCATATGGGGGAAGGTCACTAGTTCGACCGAGGGTAAACCTAGACACAGTTGGGTTCGTTCTCGACTCGCAATTCAACCCGGCTTCAGACCAAGTCCATTCCATCCAGTGATCGACCCCAAAGATGCATTCAACAATTTTAACATGCTGTTCATTCAAAACAGGAATTTTCTCAAATATAAATTAATATTATATATTAGCATATTTAGGCACTGATTAGGTTAGGTGTTTAGGTTATGTTGGAAATTATTTGTATTTGTAGTATGTTGGTGAAGCATTTACAGCATTGTGGTTGGAACAAGTCATCAGCGAAGCACTTGTTCCGGAAGTGCTCGGACGTCATCAGTTATGAGTCGTGTGTAAACTGTTTTTCATTTATAAACAGGGGGTTTGGTTGGTGCATGGAATGAACTTTGACCTTTGACCTTTGTTTATGAGGACAGGCTGTGCAATTGGGAATTCCATGTTCGAATCCCTAGCGGGACAGGGACATAAATGGTTTGGCGTGTTTCCTATCACCTAATATATCTGTTCATTTAGCAGTAAATAGGTACCTAGAAGTTAGCCAGCTTGTTGTGGAGTTACTTCCTGAGGACGGTCAGTTCGATCTTGGGGTGGAGGTGACTTCGGTATAATCCCAACATGTATATACATAGTGGCTGTCTGTCCCCCGACACAATGAATTATTACTGTTATTATTATTATGTATATGCACACAATTCCTGTTCTAGAGGAGAATTATTAATTAAATTCTTTAATTTTTTCACGTTCAATTACAGTAGCGTAAGGTATGTGAATAGTTCGGCTGGCAGAGTTTACATTTGGTCAGATCTACTTAAGCAGGTGGTGAAAACTCCATGAGGTATGTGTTTATTTTCTCGTACTCTTGAAGTGATATCCAACTTCTTTAGAATCAACAGATGGGCATTGTTCTGCATTGAAACTGCAGAGACAGGTGGTTGAGCAACAAGTCCATAGCATCTCTGGCATCTGGTGCTGCTGGAATCTGTGGTACATGTGAAATATTCTTCTGATGCTAGTCCGTGGCTGAATAATTCTTAACTTTGTTGTCTTTGGCATATCGACTATAGTAGGCTCATTAAGGCCATGACAAGTTACAAATTTTTGTAATGTTTGAAATGATGAAGGAATTAAAACTATTTTAATGCATTACATTCCAAATTGAGTCATTTAATGTTGACAATGATGAAAACTCTATATGAGGTATGCAACCGATAGACATTGGAAGACTGAAATCAAAACTTACCCGATAATTAAATGAGATTAGTTCTCAAACCATTGTGTACTAACTTTATATTATACTAGCATGGTGCTACTTTATTTTCCAGCAACTGATGCTCTTGTATTGTCAGATAAATCAATTTTAAAATGCAAAACTAATCAATGGATAACAAACAAATATGCTGTCACATTTTATTCTCACTAGCAAAGTAGACATAGGCAGTGTAATTTAATTTCAAGATATGTAGGGAAATGTACATGCTGAAATTCTTTTGCCATGTGCACCCATAGACAGTGGGACAGACTGATTAATATGCTAATGCCACCTGTAGACAGGAGCTTGGTTCACCTATGATAAAGAATTTATATGGGAAATGTTTTAAAACAACCAAAGACAAGATTTAAGCAATCATTCGGGCAAATACTGTTCAAATTTCCTCAAAAGAAATGTATACCACATGAACTAGACAAATTATTATTTACAACTAAAACTAAGATTTTTTTAATACAAGATAAATATTTAAATTATATTGCAATAATTAAATTACTAAATGTGCTTTAAATACACAAATAAAGTTAACAAGTGACTGTCTAATCCTGTTTGGATGTAGATATCAGAGCTCACAAAATTGCATATGGAAGATTTTAAATTATTTGCAGGTATCACACTTCCACAGTACAGTAATTAACAAAATTTATTCAGACGTACTGAAGATCATTTTGGCTTTAACTTAAAAATATAATGCTTTATAAACAATCCTCCCTATTTTAACATTGTGTAATGGTTAACCTGACATATAAGTTGAACACTAAATATAACAAGGAGACACTAATTTAACATGCATCAGACAAAACTCGTCTTGTGTACTCAGGTTAGAAGGATGAAACTACATTTCTTAATCAAATTTCTTTACATAACTTTTTAATAATGGAGAAAATACCAATAGAGCTACAATGCTTCATATCTTTCCCTTTCATTAAAAATTCATGAAAACTAATTAAAAGCAAAATGTTGAATTGATCATTATGAAAGTGTTTAATGAAAAAAATGTGATCTAACACAAAAAAATTTTACCACTGACATAAAATCTCTCAATGATTTTGTACTTGCATTACAGATCTACATGTCAGCTACACTCCACTTGTATGCTTCTTCATCCTGAGCCTTCCTACTGTTCTGACGCTCAAACCACTGTTTCTCAAAGCCATTTGACCTGTCTACTCCATCCCACCTATAGCCAGGTCGAATATTTAGTCTGTTTGGAGGAAATGAGCCTTTATATATTGGTTTAACTGCCTGTTTATTTGATTTAACTTCCTTCTGCATAATATAGTCTAACATCGGATCTTCTTTTCGAGCTACAACTTTCAATCGATCATTCATGTCGACATCATCTGCAGTTCTTGCAAAGGCTTTACCCATTTCATGCATTTCGTCAGCTACCTTTTGTTGATACTCCTGAACCTGCTTTACACCATGTTTCCACTGTTGGTGCTTTTCTTCAGCCTGACGCTGCAACACTGCCTCTCTTTCCTTCCTGGCAATATCTTCTGGAGTGTCTTTCTTTAGTTGACCCCTCTTCCTGGCTAGGAGATATTCTTGAGTGGTCATTTTGCGTTCTGGATGCTGCCCACTTTCTCTCTGTGAATGATTATGTGAATCATCCATTTTCTTTCTGGGCGGAGAGCAATCCGAGTCATTTCTTTTTCTCCTTGGTGGTGAGGAGTCTGAATCATTTCTTTTTTTTCGAGGTGGTGAGGCATCAGAATCATTCCTTTTTCTCCTTGGAGGAGAGGATTGAGAATCATTCTTTTTCCTTCTTGGAGGTGAAGAGTCAGAATCATTCCTTTTACTCCTTGGTGAGGAAGGGCGAGATTCAGTTCTTTTTTTCCTAGGAGGTGAGGTATCAGAATCATTCCTCCTCCTGGGTGGTGGTGAATCAGATTCAAACTTCCTTCTTCCAGGAGATGAAGAGTCTGAGTCATTCCTTTTTCTCCGTGGGGGAGATGTGTCAGAATCACTACTTTTATTTCTAGGTGGTGATAAATCTGATTCAATTTCCTCCTTTCTAAGAGGAGACATTTCAGAATCACTTCTTTTCCTCCTAGGCCTATAAGATAGAGCCTCATGCCCTTTTCTTGGAGGTGAAGTATCTGAGTCATGTTTACCTCTTAAGGGTGACATGCTGGATTCGTCTTTGACTGTTCTCTGAGGTGAGGCATTTGAATCTTCTCTCTTTTTTCGTTGTGGCGGCGTGTGCGAATCATGCCTGTTCATCTGTGAGTGTGATGCATCTGAATCACGAATTCTTTGAGGTGAAATACCTGAATTATGTTTATTTCTACCAGGAGGTATAGTTTCCAAATCATGCCCTCTTCCAGAAGGTGATGTGTCTGAATCATGCTGTTTTCTGTCAGGAGATGCAGTGCTTGAATCATGTCTCTTTCTTGAAAGTGAGGTCTCTGAATCATGTCTTTTTCTTTCAGGTGAAAGGTCAGAATCATGTCTTTTTCTCCTTGATGACAATTCAGAAGAATTTGTATTTTGTTTATTTTCCATATTTCCTAATGGATATGAATCTGAATCATGTCTTGGTCTCTTTACTGAAGAAATCTTTGCATCACCTGACTGAGGTGATTTGTCAGAACTCTGATCCTGTTTTCTCACTCGAGGGGATTTGGACTCACTTCTGATAACGAGTAGTGGTGAACCAGAATCTTGTCTCCTCCGTTGCGGAGATCCAGAGTCCTGTCTTGTCCTCAGTGGTGGAGATCGAGATTCATGCCTTGCTCTAGGTGGTGGAGAGCCAGAGTCATGTCTTTCCCTCCAGGGTGGAGATCTTGAGTTATGCTTTGCTCTTCTTGGAGGTGATCCAGAATCATGTCTTCTCCTTCGTGGAGATTTTGAGTCATACCTGGTTTTTCGTGGTGGAGATTCAGAGTCATGTCTTTTTTTCCTTGGTGGAGATCCAGAGCCATGTCTTGCTCTTCGTGATGGAGAATCTTTTGTTTTTCTCTGGGCATGCTGGTAATCATGATCCTCCTCCTTACCCTCTTTGTCAATTATCTTCTTCCACCTTCTGTTTTCTTGAAATTCCTCCATAAATTTCATTTTTTCATCATCATATGTAACTTCAGCTACTGTAGGTTTATCATCATCATTTACACATCCATAGGGTACATTTTTCAAATCGAGAGAATCTTCAATTATCCGCATTCTGCAAATGTAAAAGGTGTAATTATTAAGTACTGTACAGTATAGTACAATGCTGATGTACTTCACCACTACACATACTGATGTAATTCACTATCTTTTATCAACCCTAAAATTATTGAAGAGCAAAATTTGATATCCGAGAACCTGTGTCTAAAATTGTTATATTAAGAACACTCTTTAGGTATTAATAGTTTATAGTGAATACAATAATCTACTACACATCAGATTTATTTGTATGAAATAAGTCGATTTGGAATACCACATACATTACAAAAAAGGAAACAGTTAAGAAATTCTCAGCTTGCCTGAGGTCATTATTTTATGAATAATGTTACAAATCCCTTTGGTTTAGAACAGACATATTGCTAAGGAAATCTAAATGATATTGAAAAGCAAGTGACCTTCAGGGTTATACATGCCAAGAGGAGCATTTCTCAGCACATGTATGCAGAATTAACTTCAGGGCTTGACAGAGATTTCCCCAGTACCAGTCAGATTTGGCTGTCCATCTCTGGTACTATTACTTTGGCTACCACAAGAGGGTATTGAGGTACAGCTAGGGAGGCAGCCTTGATATCTCAGGCTGTCCCTATCCCTAACCAGATCAGAACCTAAAACGGCATCAATTGTGAATTCGGTCAATTGACCAAAAAGCTGTTTAACTAGCATCTTTTTATAATTTAGAAATTTTAGTGACTTTTTGAAACAACAAATATATCTGTATTGAATAAGCTCTTAAGAGAAAATCTTGTGATTCTTCCTTTAATGTAATAATTTTGTCTGAGGAAATCGAAGAATTAACCATTCTAACTGAAAATATATCTACTTGACAAAATGATTCAGAGAAAATATTTACCCTTTGCTAGAACCAGAGAGTTTATCCTTCTTTTTCTTTTTCTTCTTTTTCTTTTCAGGATCATTACCACTCAGGTACTTCTTTAGATATTCTTTCTGGCTTAATGGGGCAGCCATCTGTCAAAATAAAAGCATATTGTATTAATGATGGACACAAAATACTGAACTACTGATAATCTTGCTAAACAAAACCAACTGGTGGGCCCCCTTCGATAGTTCCCTCGAGTTTAGGCACTAGCAACTTATTTTCTTATGCATATTTGGGATCTTTTCTTGGAGTATCTTTGATGTATATGTTAGGGTTAGGTCACCAGTCTTCAGACACTTAAAGAAGTTCTTCATGTCAGTGGGTTAAAAAACTGAAATCTTTTTTGTTTAAGGTTTTAAACTTATAGTATGAATATATACATAAAAAACTAGCAGTGTCCAATGAACAGGTGTAAGCCAAAGTGATCACACAGACGTGCTGATATTCAGACAAACAGGCCTTTTACTCATTTCCCATATAGTTATGGTAGTATATACATGAACACTACCACTGTATATCACATTACCGACCATAATCATACTATTGCAGAGCAAAAACATAATGTACATAGTAAACCGAATGAATCTGGCAACATTTTCTAAAAGATTTCCAAAGCAAACACATTTACAAACATTAATGTTGCCTGTGTTTGCAAAATTGATCATAGCTTTGTTTTCTTTTGTAATTTAACATATTAGCTGGATAATGTTGCAAGTGCCAAATCTGAATGTAAAAAAATAAAGTTCTTGGATGGGTAAGCATGGATTTTAAGCCAAAAAACCAGCATTGAATGTAATGAAACGCCATTTTCTGGGTGAGCCCCGGAGGTTACCTGGAGCTTACCGGGCTTATATGATTGTATTAGACCGTGGCATCAGTAAATTCGATTGGAGTTCTATGCCTACCGGGGACCACGAGCCAGAACCTAGTCCCCTCAGAGAGGTACAAGGAGTGATGGCCTATAAAAAAAAACCCATTCCCCCTCCCGGGGAGGGGGGAGATGTGCAGACAGCGTCTCAGCAGTGATGGTGATGTCATGCTTGTTTACGGTTTAGGGAGTTCTGCTTGCTAGTTCGGCTTTCGGTCGCAATTTTTAACCAGCTGTAGTTTGTTTTGGGACCCCCTACCTTTCTGGGTGCCTAATCCGGTAGATACAGAATGCTTCCAACCACATGGTTTTTTTTATAGGCCACTGCTCCTCGTGCCTCTCTGAGGAGGCCAGGGTTTGGCTTGTGGTCCCCAGCAGGCATAGAACTCCAATTAAATTTACTGATGCCACGGTCTAATGCATACATATCAGCCTGGTAAGATCCAGAGAGCTGGAGGGGCTCTCCATAGAAAAATTGATGAATATACATTATTTTCAAAATCAGGCATATAAAATACTGTACTGGGATTTGTATCTATAAGTGTCGGCAATTAAGATATTAAATGTTATTCTTCAGCTTTAACTTGCCCTTGTACATCCTCATTTAGATAATGCTATTCCGTTTTGGTCACTGTACTACAAGAATGGACATAAATTCACTTCAATGTACACAGCGAGGGATGACAAAATTAATCTCAGAACTTAGAAACATTCATTATGAAAATATATTAAGAAAGCTTAATTTATATTCTCTAAAACAGGCAGAGAGTAAAGAGATTTGAACAAAGTAGACATACAGTATTGCTGAAAGTGTATAACAACTGGGATATTAATACTAAGTTAAAAATAAGTCAACACAAAAAAAAATGTGAAGCAATAAATACAAATTGTACATTTACATTTAAAAAAGACCTGAGTAAATATTGGTTTAGAAATAGTGTTGTTGATGTACACAAATTTTGTACACTATCTTTTTGGGTAATTACTACTCAAAATATTAAGTACTGTAATAAATTTGAGCCTTAAAGGTATATTTTAATTTAAGCCAAATTGCTTGTGCAGTAAACCTAATTATGATTTGGACACTATCCTAAATTACCCAGATTTACTAAAATATTCTTCAACCCGAGTAGAAATTAGTAAATAAAGTATGTACAAGTACAAGAAAATGTTAAGCTCAGGTTATACTGTATAGCACTTAAATTTGAAGATTAATTATTACAGTATATTATCAATGTAGGAGAATATAAACAAAAAAAACTTCTAGATACAGATTAAAGCAGCAGCAGTGTCGAATTCTTGCCCATTTGACACTAGCCCACAGAACCATTGAACCTTGTGCTGCTCCCAATGAGAAGTTACCCAAACAACATAACAGTTCAGGGCCCTATTGGCCTACGGATAGTTTAACAATCCTTAAGGCAATTAAAAGTTCTCACGTTCATATTTCTTTAACTTGGGAATTTATTTATACAAATCAACTTGCATTTGGATACATTTGATCACCTGAAAGTTTCTGGACTGCCAAGATGCTTGTTATTTAGTGACTATATTGCTCATATTGAGCCATCATCAAAATCATCCAAAAGAAACAAGATTTTTGTATATACCCCTGCCAAGTAATTTGATTTGAAATTGGGCTTAAAGCCTATCGTCATCTGGAGAGTTATTAGTAGGGTCTAAGACCTGATAAAGGTTTCACCTGTCTTCATTATCACTACTCTTTAAATAAACCTAACCTAACCCAACTCAACCCAGGTTATGGTGAACTTATGCACAAAACTGTTTGACAAAACTAATTTTCAGAGTTTCAAAACCATATCATTATGCTAGGATGTATTAACTCTTGTTTGTATGTGTTAGATCAGTTACATTAAGTTGGTAGGGTTAGGGAAGTTTTAAAATTCGCTGACAAACCAACTTGTGTATGATGTGACTTGTATCTATTACACCCAAAACAATCCAACTTATCCTAACCTAAAGAAAATAACCGATAAAGGTTTGTTTTTTATACATGATGTGCACAAGGTTTGTGATAACACTATGAGTAATAATTTTAATGCCGGTACGTACAAGTTTTGGATCCTACTGGGGTTACTAAGGCCACCACAAGAACTTACTGATTAACCAGCAAGTATACGTTAGTCTTGAACATAGGATAGACCTAAAGTAAACTGTGTATATACACTGAACAAATGGGTACACTTCTCAGTATATGTATCCACTGCCTGATTGTGATTACAAGAGACATTTAAAGATGAGAGAGAGAAAGAGGAGGACGAGTAGCCATACCTTGTGGAAGAGTTGTTTACATGGTCCCCCGCCGGGCCTCCTTCTCATCCCCCACAACACAAACCCTCATCTTCTCATCCTTCTACCAATCTTACACTTATACGACTTGAAAACTAATTTCTTATAATATGAATTGAATTAAGTTTGCTAATAAATATAAGTCAAAATTTCTTATCATAGAAATGAGGCTAATTATGCTGCTATCTTTAGCCGGATAAAAACGAAATGTCATTAAACGGTGCTTATTTTAAGAAACCAAAGCCTTTATTATAAAAATTAATTAAAAAATTAGTTTTGTCGGTGACAATAAGCCTGTTTATATATAAATATACTTTATGCTTGTATCGAATTACCCCCAAGGTCGAACTACTGCCCCTCCCCAGGACACAACCCCCACAACAGTTACACTAATTCCAGGTTACCTATTTACTTCTAAACCATCACACAAACCATATCTATAGTGTAAGAGAAAATGTATATCTGTTCAAAGTTGGAGGCCATATGCTTAGGTCTAGGCTCACCCAAATTGTCAGAGGAAATGATCTGGGGTACAGGATGAACATAGGCTGCCTGGGGTCGCCAGAATTCAAAAGGAAGAGTCAACGAGTTAAACTTATACTCGCACTATTATCTCATCATCTTAATGGGATAACTAATTAGCACTAACTACACAAGCTATAATCATATCCCTATTTACAGGTAACGGTTTTCCACCCTCTTATCTTATTGTGAGGTGTAGTCACCGAATATAAGCAAGCGATTTGAGAATAGCAAACGACGGGAGCAGGGTTGCCAAATTGGGCTACAAGTAGCGAATTGGGCTACTTTTGAGAGCTCTACGCTCCCAAATTTTTAATTTCGCTACTTGCGACTTTTTGGGCTAGTTTAAACGCAAGTTGGGCTACTTTGGACTTTAAGTATTAAGAAACTCAATGATGATTATTTATGCTTTAATAATATAATCTGTACAAATCACAGCCGAGTCCAACAACCTGATTGACTAGACCACTTACCGCAGGAGAGCCCTGGTCAGAGACCGGCCCCTGGGGACGTTGATCCTAGGAACCTTTGAAAGAAAAAGTAACCGCAAGGCAAGGTAATCCTCCCCAGGGGCAATAGATTTCCCAACCTTAATTGTTAATAATACTTCATCCCAAAAGCTACACCTGGTTCCACAGATCTTCATTAAGGGGAGAAAGTTATCTAGAAATTTACAGATTGATAAATGATGGGAAAGATCCCTTACAGTTAATACCTTTGTCAGGAAGACGATGGTTGGCAAGGAGCGGTAGTGTAAAGAGGCCGTTTGATCAGTGGGGTTCTCTAACAACTCATTACCAAATAACTTTTTCCTCTTGTGATAAATATGTTGCAAGGCAACTATTTTCAATGTACGCTGATCCCTCCAATAAGCTATATTTCACATGTCTCAAACCAATCCTAAATGATTTTGAAAGGATGAATTTACTTTATCAAAAGATGAAGCAGATCAGAATAGCCTTCACACTGTCTTAGAAAACTTCACTCTTGGAATACTCAGAAGAATCTTTCGTCCTCATCATGCAAAGCTTCATGTTAATTTGAACTAAAATTCTATGTATTTGCCCCTGGAGAAAGTTGACTTTGGTTACGAATTTTCAACACTTCAACCCAGGAAAAGTTTCAAAATGTTCAAGAAAGATGCGATAATTTTTTAATGAAAGCTTGCAAATAGCTTCTTTCTCGTATTCTAAGTAATGCTGAAACTATAAAAAAAGGTGAAAAATCTGTTACCTATCATATGCCTTAGCTTACATGGCCACAATTTTCGGAACTTCCGTTAGTATTAGCTGACCAATAAAGCTTAGTGAAATTGAAAGTCAGTGGCGCCTACTGTTAACCATTGACTAGTCCAACATTTGTAAGGGACAAATTCCGACATCTGAATCGTCATTTTAGACCAAGACAATAACTGTCAAGAACACTGCTGGCGATCCCATACTGATTGACCTCGCTGAGTTTGTGTTGAAAATATACAGCTTGCCAATCAGTAATGCCCTGGTTGAACGGATATTTTCGAGATTAACGTCTGTGAAAACTAAACTGAGAAATCTTGAATGGGAATGGGACTTGAGCTTTTGACATCAGTCTTGAGAATCAAAACATATCTTGAAGAAAATGTAACTTGTTGCTTGTCATTTGAACCACTCATGTCAATGCTTAAATATGAGTCTGCAATATACAAGAACGAGGTTGTGGATGCAGATCAAGATCTTGGTAATCTTCAACTGTAAAGACGTGGAAGGACTTCACACCCGTTAAGCTTCAAACAGTAATTATTGGTAAGTTATCCTATTATCATATTGGTTAAATATATATATGCAGAGATAATGTTAATAAAACAATTAAAATCGTTTAATGTACTCTATATATCATAATAGATTACTTTGAAACCCGTATCAGTCACTAAACAAAAAATTGGGCTACTCATTACAAATTCGCTACTTTTAGACCATCAGCTCGCTACTTTTAGCGATTTGAATCTGGCAACCCCGAGTCAGAATTCGGCTCAAAAATCACGCTCAGGAGTCAAATTTCCAACATTTCAGATATTTTGAAAACCGCAGGGGGGTTTGGGCAAAATATGACCCATCGCCGTTTTCAGTAATTGGCATATTTTCGGTATAAAAACTCGTAATTTGAAAATGAAAATAGGTGCAGAGAGTCAGAATTCGGCTCAAAAATCACGCTCAGGAGTCAAATTTCGGACATTTACGATATTTTGAAATCTGCAAGGGGGTTTGGGCAAAATATGACCCATCGCCGTTTTCCAACAGTACAATTTCCAGTCAACAATGTAGCACTCGGCGTGTACAGTTCTAATCGACCCAAGACACTACAGCTTCGACATAGAGCAGACAGCAGACTATGACCGCATCGAGCTACAACACTCTCGCTCCCCGAGTTCAGACAACTCGCAATTCCCAATTGAGCCTCCATGCTCTCCCACATGGAGCTCCGCGACTCCGGCCTCACTCAGCTCTCTGCTCTGCTCCAAGCTCCGTCTGAACGTTTACGACACTGCCACCAACCGACTACTGTAATCAAGACTACTAAATAAATATGAAAACTCACTAAACAATGTGTATCTAATCTACCCAACAACGTAACATAATCGTATGTTACAACAGTCAGACCCCCCACCATGATTTTTAGCACTGCCCGCCTGAATACCTACAAAAATATTTTGTAAACAAATATTTCAGCAAAGATTATTTCTTATTGATATAGTAAATTTTGAAGTACTTCACATAACAGATAATTTTCATAAAGTTGCAGTATAAAAGGCATCATCAAGGCAAATGGGGGGGGGGACCTTTGACAAGCTGCAAGCTTCCTGTCCTCATTGAGGCCACTAGTGTTAGTGGCCCTCAGGTAAAAATTTCCTGAGGCAACTATGTTTGTTGGGAGTTTCATTGTAAGTCAGCCTAACCCTGGCTGACTGGGTTTAAATCCTTTAGGGGTCAAGAGTTTTCGGTTGTACTGTATATTGGCCTGGGGACCATTCAAGCTTTACGCACACTTGATACTCATGCAGCCCCTAGCATGTTGAAGTGATTTGATGAAATGTCTGTGCCCCAAATGCCAAGAGTGTTGTCGGGTGTTGGGTGCTTGAAGGTCTCAAGATTTCCCAACACTTGTGACAATTGCTGTGTGAGTCGGTATAGTGCTGGATTGCCAGGGACATGGGAGACCCTGACTGACCAGGTTCGAATCATTCAGTGGATCAAAAGTTTTCAATTTACAGGCATAGGAAATACACTCATTCTTGAGTTGTATTTCCTGACAAGTTGAAGTGGTCAGTGAAAAGCAAATGCCTGAAAAAAGAATTGATTGAGATTGCTCAATTCCTCTCAGACAAAAGGATAGAGTACTGTACACTGTTTATGCTTCCAGAAAAACTTTATTCATAGAAATACTACAACAAAATCATCATTGTCTTATTTTTAACAGAGACTTCACATATCAAGCACTTTCTGGATGTCACAACTATAATCATTGACAATTCAACAAGGGTTCTATTTACATGTCGTGTATTAAATATGAGCAAGCAGAACTATATTAAGTGGAAAATCACTTTGACAATACAGTACATAATTTCTCATTTAGGAACAAAAATTCTGTGGGCTTTGTGTGCTGGTGATTTTTCTATGCGAGGACCCCTTAGTTTTATTGACAGAGGAAGTATTGGTGGATCCCTCAGATATATGCCACGTCCTCCTGGAGTCCAGCCTCGCAGCTCAATAACATGTTTCCATATTCCAGTAATAGCAACCCAACCTGTGTGGAGGTTATATATAAATACATTAAGATAAAACTGACTCTCAGAATGTCTGCTGCTGAATGAGCAATGGTAATTAAATTATAAGATGTTCAGGAGAACTCACTAAATGCACTTAATCCAGAAATAGCAGATATTTCATTATACTATGCATATAATATCATAAAATATCCTATTCTAACTCTTATAACTATACTGTATCTTATAACCATGCCGAAGCACAGTTGTAGGAACAAACTGCCACATGTTATTTTTGCAGGATAACTATAAAGGCTGCACAATACTGTACTCCAATGTTGTTACAAATAACTATTACCGAGTTAAAAATTTTTTATAGATTTTATAATTTTGGTCGCCAAGATAATAGTGTTAATGACTCATTGATAATACCCGGTAGTTGCCAAAAACCCAACAAATTAGGTACCATGAGGGTACATCCAGATGCAACACTCTCCCACTTCCTCTTTTGGTTATACAGTACTATATGATGAAGGCCAGTGGAATAAGTCATGTTTGATAGTACGTAAACTCATAAACAATCACCCAACCCTGCAACACTTAGTGGGCCAGTCAGAGGCTTAGGGCCCATGCGGGTGTGTTTCCTCCTCCCAGAGGCTTAGAACCCATACAGGTATATCCCTGTAGGTGGCTTAGGGCCCTTGTAAGTATATTCTTGCCAGAGACTTAGGGGCCCTTCCAGGTATATTCCTGAAAAAATGCCTAAAGGTATGGGGAGCTACCAAGGTGAGTCACCAAGGGGAGCCAAGCTCAGAATCAAAAACATTACTTATTAACACACTATTAAACACAACATATTTCTTTTCATTTTATAATTTTTAGCAATCTTAAATTTATCTATAATAATGTTACAGTACAGTATATGGATTATTCAGTTCTATCTCTGATATTCTCCTGTAACCTACAAACTTGCTAAAATGTTAATATGACAAAGAAAACTTGCTAACAAAGTTCCTGCAGATGAAGTGGCACGATATGTGCATAAAAGCTATAAGAAAAGTATAAACAAAATTGATAAATGGAGATACACTAGGGAATCATAATACATAGTGGTTAAAGTGAGTGTCTGGAGTGACCCATGATACTGGTTTGATCCCCATCCTTTTCCAATGGTTTTCATTTTGATAAATGTAGAGGAGTGATTAGGTCTGCTAGTTCTTGTACACTTGTATGATCCAATTATAAAGGCTACTAGACACAGAGAACAAACTTTAATTTAAAATCAAGCACATTATTAAACATAAAAAAAATTATTTAAATTTTCAACGCACCTGCAGATGATAGTACCACATCAGCACAACTTCTATCTTTACTAATAGTGAATGTTCGCATGTTCTTTGGAGTAATTGCTGGCCAATGACGAAGGCGCTCCTCATCTCCCACTGGAACACCAAGAAGTGTAGACCCAAGATAGTTACGATAAAATGCTGATGCATCAACTGTCTTTACCACTGTTATTGGAAGATGTTCTGATCTGAAGACTGTAAACCTACAAAACAAAACAAGACATATCCTCGTGTTACATTTTTCATTATTATATTACATATCGGTATATATTTCTACTCAAACCAATTGTCTCCTTTGCCACTTTATACATTTAATGTTTCATTCCTCCTGGTAGCTGAGAGTGGCTACAAAAGAAAAGTTTTTAGGCAGGCAGCCTCACCACAACTTTCATGTGGTGGTGAGGTCTTAGTCCAGAGAAGTCGAGAAAGTAGTATGCTGGGTTTCCATAACTATTCAACAGCAGAAGGTGATACAATCACCATAAACAAAAACATGACGGGAATCGACAAAGTTGAAAGGTCAAATTTTTGAATTTGCTATTTCAAGAAAAAAAAGAGGCCATAAATTAAAGCTAAGATAAAAAATTTAGCAAAAATATGTACACATTCTCCCTTATGAACAGATTGGCAGGTGGGTGGAATAAATGAAATGAGAGGATGTAATGGAACTAGAAGCTTCAAAACTTTATATAAGAAAGATTATAAGATTACCAATAGCAAACAAGAAAGAAACACCACTTGCATGCTCTCATCCTGTAACTGAACTTACATCATTACAAATATGTAATTCTGGACTAAGAGTTCTGGACTAATCCAAGACTACATGAAAACATTAAAGCCTCATACCTGACTGGCTGTGGGCTATAAACAAGATCAAGACGAGCCAACCCTCCAATGAAGAGGCTATGGCCAGTATGAAGACAGAATGTGCTGGGTTGTATGAGCCTACTAGGCAGCACCTTCATCAGTTCATCATGGGTGAGTAAGTTGATTAACTGAAAAAGGTAAAACTTTCACTGATTACATGTGATATATACAGTTCTAAGTCATTCTCTTTGTCATACAATATACTATAGTCAATCAAGAGCAATAATTTAATTTCATCCTACTGTATATATATATATCAAATGATTAGGATTATGTACAATGCAGACTTGTGATTAAGTGGAGGAAATAATGGCTTTAGTATTGCAAAGTACAGTAACAGCATCCATATAATAACATATTTACCATGCTATTACTTTAAATTGTACATGCATACAATGGAGAAAGGGAGCAATTGATCCATAACATGTGACCAACAGTGTAAGGTAGCATTTTGCATATATAATAATAAATGGATGTATACAATACTGAATGTACATACTGTGCATACATATCAATACCACCTCCACTACCATGTTTCACATTTCTGATAGGTGAAGTAGTTGTTAAAAAAAAAAGAAGTCAGGAAAGTAGAAGAAAGTAAAGTATTACTAACTTTACCTGGTCTGGTTGTATTGTTCCTGGCGTATCAAAACACCACTTGCCAAGGGAGTATTTGGGATCATTTGTATTGATACCAAGAATTTTCCTCTGCTCCTTTCCTATATTTCTCATATTTGTTGAAAAGGGATCAAACCTCTCATCAGGCTCTTCTAAATTTTCAAATGTTCTTCCAATGTGGCCTGAAAGACACAATTTTAATTATTTATATTTATTTATACTGTATGTGTGTGTACCCCAAAAATATTAACTTAAAAATACATTTTCTACATAATACTACTTATATTTTGTACTACAGTATGTACAAGTATATCTTACCTTTAATAAGGACGCTTGCTAGCATATGGAAGATGGTGAGGAGGGAGGGAGGAGGAGAGGTGTTAGTGTTTGGAAGAGATCCCTTTCATTATAACATCAGGCAGTGATAACTTTTCTTGGGTACTTTCTCTCCTACGTTTTGCAGGCATACCACTTGGACCTGGTTGTGGCGCACTGCTTGCTTGTCTTACTAATAATCTGTCTAAAGACACTTGTTTTTCCTTACATTTAACACTTGTCGGTAGTGAGACATCACATTGTCATTAACACTTTCGCTCACCCCGCGCGCCACCCCTCGACAGGGCGATATGGGCCCCAGCGTGTCACGGAAGCGTGCGTTAATTCCGAAAAGTGTATACTCTCTTCAACTTTGTCACCTCAATTCTCCTTCTACGAGATTAAATTTGGTATCATTGTGTTCGCAATAAAATTCTCTACAGCACTAAATGCATATAAACTCCAAAAGCCCAGCTAATTACCCGCAGCAAACAGTGAAAGTGCGAACGAGTTACCAGGGAGCGCGCAAACGGAATAAAATGTTTTCACTATTTTCACTCTGGTCACCTCAATTTTTGTCCTAGGTCTTTAATTTTGGTCTCAATGGGTTCGTAATAAAATTCTCTAGAGGAACATTAGCATATAAAAAAAAACACCTGGTCACGCTCCAATCGCCGACGAGTTGAAGACGGGCCACGCGTTAGCCGTGAGTGAGCGCTCAGAGGCCTTCCTGCTACACTCCCAATTCCCACCCTTTTCAAGCCTTTCTTTCGCAATTTTCTTCCTGGAAGGGCCTTGTTCATGATTACTATCCATCGTGGAGTAAGCGTACATAGTTTCTAAAGCCGCAGTAAGAAATATAGCCACGGGAAATAGCCGAAATGTTTACACGTTTGAGATGCGAGGGGAGGCGACATTGGTCACAACAGTGGAGCAAAGACAATGGGCCCACGGCGTGTGCCAAGCCGCCTGAGGGCCACGAGGCTCAACAAAGAAAATGGGAAGACATTGGCGCACATTTTAAAACCAGTCCCAAAAAAATCCGATAAAAACCTGATTTTTGGCGAATTTTTAAAGTGGATGACGCAATGCTGCGTCATCCCCGGCATCACAGCCAGTAAACGGATGACGCAATGCTGCGTCATCCCCGAGCGAAAGTGTTAAAAAGGTCAATGCAACGGCCTGCTGCAGTTTTATGTGTGAGTCCTTTCAGCAAAACGTTTGCAATTTTTCCCATACTTTACAAATTTTCTTAACGAGGAAGAGACATCCTTTACTGCCTCTACTCACAAGTATTTTTCTTAGGTTGAACTTTACCACTGACTTTCTTGAGACCCATGGTATGATATATAATAATTACAGTACAGTACTTTTAAGTTCAGAAACCAAAAAAAAAAGCACAAAAACAATGAAATTCTTCAAAATGAATTCAAGCACGATCATCACTAGGCAGGAGACACTGGTAAACTGCAGCGTGCCTTGCCGTGCCACCAGGAACCACAAGCTCGGTCAACCCATACATGTATCAACAAACTCGCCAAGCAAGGCAAAGCTCGTATACCGAGTCAAATTTGACAAAGAAATTGAGCTCGTAAACCAAAAAAATCGTAAAGAGGGGCATTTGTCAAACAAGGTTCCACTGTACAGTATATATGTATAATATTTATTTATTTATTTTAACCCTTGGTAGCACCTAGAAGCCCTGGTGCTGCCTGGCCTTAGGGAACCACACCTGGCCTCAAGACCCAATAGAGCAAATTGAAAGCCAGAATCAGAATCTGGCTCTCTCTACAAGGCAAGGGTAGCTTAGCGACCACAGAGCAACCCAAAACCACAAAACCAACCAGAATGCATAAGGGCATCAAAACAAGCCTAGCCTAGTGTGAGTCTCAAGAGGCAGGGTATACATCTCAAAGCTTGGCTTTACTAGTAGTGCAAACTACAGGAAGCTACAAAAGGAGAATCCCAAAACATAAAGACTAATCTGAACTTACCAGACAATGTTCCAACTGAGATACTTTTGGTGTAATCAGGTTTTAATTTTGCAGTCATAGATTGAACTTTCTGTTGCTCTTTCATTCTCTGAACTCTAAGATACAGCCGATATCTTGATGGACGAAGAATGGGGAACTGTGAGGAATAGACAAAATGACTTTTCTCAAAATCTAGATAAAAATCCTGAACACCACAAAGTTTCTAAAATACAGTATATATACAGTAAAATAAATGTTGATATGAAGTAGTATTTTAATTTTACTTCATTAAGAATTTATAATCATGATTATATGTGGCCCATTTCACATTGTCCTACATTTGGGAGGCACCATACACAAATATTTATACCGTTTCATAGAATACATGTAAATACAGTACAGTGGATTACTTCATGGGAAATATTACAAAAACTAGTTATCATTTAATCATTTCCAAATACCACTTTGTTCCTCTTTAATTACGTTTTTAATAATTTTTAGACTACAGGTATTTAAATTCCTAAAATTAATGGAATTTTAAAAAGAAAAAATTCTGCATAAAATTCAAGCAACCAACTATTACACGCACACATTAAAAGAGAATTGCACTTCTGAGAGATACAGTATTAGTATTTAGGTGTAACATTATTCTGTACTCTAATATTTACTCTGCATATTGTAATATCTGTAAACTTCAACAATACATCCATCAACATTGCCACATTCTCACTTTCATGGGGATATGGAGAACAAAAACTGCCAAAGAAAAAACTGTATTAAAAATCATAAAACACCTTTTCTGTAGTACTGTAGTAGTAGCTGCACCTACTACACTTTAACCCTTAACATGCTCGGGGTCTAATATCCTGCCATCCCCACAGGCGCATGTCATTTTGAAAAAAAAAAAAATTATTTTTTCTTTCTAACCTGTTAATTTGTGTTCACTGATCACGGGAAAAATAATAAAAAAAATCGTAAGTGGCATATATTGCCCGCTATAGGGCGGGGAAGTCTGGCAAATTATAGGCGCTGACTCAGCGTGCGTCCCAGGCGGTCTGTTGCTCGCAAGCTGTCACGCCAGAGTTGCCACAAAGAGATAATTACCGAATTATTTCAATGTCTCTGATTGATTTTTCATACTTTTTTTGCTGTAATATTATTCAATAGTGTGTAGTTTGATATATTTATATAATAAAATGAGTGAATCATTGCTGTATTCAAAAATATGGTGTGCATATTGTTGATTCAATTATGTTCATCAATCAGTGAACAAATACTTTGTCGGTTATTACACTATAAGCACAGGTTATATATAAGTATTTGCATGTTTTGTTCACTATAACGAACCACTAAGTAGCTATTATGAGTCAAAAAGTAATGAGGAGTGACCGCCGTGTACCAGCCAGCCACTCCCGCCCTCCCTCCAGTCATCTGACTCACCCTCATTCTCCTCCCACAATAATGTTTTTGCTATAATTCACTATATACAGACGTTATATATAAGTATCTACATGTTTTGTTCACCATAACTGTACATCTAAGCTTGTATGGTGAGTAAAGGCACAGAGATGTGGCTACTCACACAGTCAGCTGATCGGCGGGCGCCCTCAAGGCCAGATGCACTAATATTTCTCCTCCAACAACAATGTGTGGTGTTATTACGCTAGATGCACACATTATATATAAATATCTACCTGTTTTATTCATCATACTTGTACAAATAAACTGGTATGGTGCCCAAAGACCATCGTGGTAACCAGTAAACAACACCGTCGTCTGCACGGTGGTGTCGTGCAGACGATGCCACCACTCTCACCAAAATGGCGGCTCCAAACCTTCTCTTGCTGTTTATACCCTCTATACGCACGTTATATATAAGTATCTACATTTGTGTTCACCATAGCGAACCACTAAGCTGGTATGGTGAGTGCAGTCAATAAAAGGTGGCCACACACAGTCAAAAGACATCACCACCACCCTCCCTCCCACAGCATTACACCTCCTTCCATGGCGCACAGCGCTAAGTATCACCACAATCCTGCTATTATCAGAACCCTGGTCAGTTTTATCACAGTCAGGGGTCTTCTGTAATAATATCATCGCTACATAATAGCATGAACAAGTATAATTTGGCATTTTTAGGCGATGCTGTGGTCACAAGCTGAACAGCAGTGCTGTTAGCTCATGCTGCGTGCGTCAGGCTTGGTTGCTCACTCAATACTGAGGCCAAAAACACCCGGGAGTTTGGCCCACGATTTTTTTTAAGAATGGCGTCTGTTTACAAGAGCCCTGATGAAGGTGTGGTGAACCCCGTGTATCCGCGGGCTGTTTAAATCTTGCGTAGTACTCCAACACATCATATGACGTGATGCGCAGTTTACTGGTACAACGTCCAGCACGTCATATGACGTGATGCGCACTTTAAGGGTTAAGTAGCTGCACGGCCACTGAGCCACTGTTTACAGTGTGGTTCTATTAACCCTTAGTTCAGAAATCTAAAAACATTAAAAAAAAAAAAAGAGTAATTTCACAAGTTTCTTCTTTTCAAAGGATAAATTAAAATATGGAAGCAATGTATTTGGAAAAAATATTTAACAAAATTTCATATACTGTATTTCCTTGGAATACAGTACAAAATATCAAATTAGTTAAATTTTAATAATGATATCAGATCCTTGACATTAATCCTAATATTTTCTTTTCTCTTAGAATTTCAGGGAAATTGTTAATAAGTACTGTATAAGTGATTGAAAAAAATACAAATATTTATCTCAAAATTAATATTTTGCTTAAATAATTCTGGACGCAATGATGCCATAAGCTTCAAAATTATTATCTGGAAATTATAGGCAGGAAAATATTCCAGTATCTTAATTTATATGTAGAAAGCAATTCTCGTATTTTTCTAGTATAAAAAATTAAATTGACTCGAAACATTGTCTAAGGTCTAAGGTACAGTGGAACACTGTAACTACAGGAGAGGCAAAACAATGAGGCACAGAAATTTACATTTTATGGCAGAGTTAATAAAGAAAAACCTTTCAGGATTTTTTAGACAAATCCTGTGGCCATTAAACTAAATGTAATCATAAATATTACCTTAAGCATATTAAGAGTTGTTCCTGGCCAGCAAGATGTAGTGGCACGTTGAATAAGACTTGACGCACTTGTCTTGCAGAGATCAGATCCAAGCAGGGTATTGAAGAGAGTTGACTTGCCAGAGTTGGTACATCCAAGAATATATATATCTCCTGAATGTTAACAAAATTGGATTAGTTAGCAAACAAAAGTTTCAAATATTAGAAGTATTATAATATAATTATATAATAAGCAACTTTGTACAGCAGTTTGTTTCATATAAAAGATTTAAGTGTTGAATGTAATGAAACAACTTTACAGTCTGCCCCTCAGTAGCTCCCTGGAGTAGGGGGAGAAGGGGAATCAAAGATTGACTCAAGAAACAACTTAAACCTGTCTGTAAATTCCAAGCAAAATAAAATAAAGCACTCCTTGCTACCTGGATAGCTATACATGTATATCACATCAGGCCCTTGCAAGTCATAAAAAGCTTACTGGAGACAGGACCTGGTCTACTCAAACTGACTTGGGGAGTCTGGGGAATTACTCAACCTAGAGCTAAGAGGAATTACCACCATTAAGGTAGAGCACTCCAAAAAACACAATCGCAGGGGAATTATTAGCAACCCTGACAAATAGGAACATAGTACAGTAGTTAGGTAATTACTATCAAGGGAAGTACAAGCACACCCCATCTACTGCCAGTTGGCAGCCTCGGCCACTCGGGGTCCAGCCGATGACCGACAACAGAACCACCACCCAACGTCTCTGTACTTGCTAACTCCTATGCAGGAGAAAATGATGTTTCTTGGGTTCCACTGCCAAGTGTTTGACAGTGGAAACCAATGCCAAAGCAACCTAAAGACAAGCCCTAATGAATGCTCTTATAATTTTGAAGTCTAAACACACAAACAGAAAAGCTTGCTCAAGAGTAGGAAAAGGAGAATCTGGAAATGTAAGTGTTTTGGCACATGGGTTGTGAGACTGGCAGCTAAGCAGTCAGCCAAGAATAGGGATTCAACAGAGCAGAAACCTAAACAAGGCACACATTGTATATACAAGAGTGAAAGCAACCCAGTGATTAACATTGAGACTGTAGGAGCCATAAAAGGTTCATGAACTTTATCTCATCTCCTAGCACATTGCACCATGCAATGTTAGACTACATTAATTATTATAGTGCTGCACCATGATGCCCACACTATGCAAGCATGCTAAGCCACTATTAACATAATTATTTTCACCCTGCTGACGAAAGGTTCAAGGTTCCGGTGACCAACAAAATCCCCTCACTTTGCCAAGTCGAGATTTGGAGGTACACAGAATTAAATGTCAACACATGAACCTTAATACATAGCTACAAATACCTAAACCCCAAGAACAATGTCTTAAGGACCAATGAAATGGTATAAATCAAAGAAGAACCTCAGATGGGCACACCTAGTACTAAGCTAAAAGCATAGGCACAACTGAAGTGAACATATATAGAAATAACATAGACCAATGCATATCAAAATTATTTCAACATATGAAAACAAGCAACTTAACTTATTGAGAACAGCACCTGTTGCCAGTTCATAGGCACAGTAAGAAAGAATGTGACATAATCTAGGTCAGTAAACACTGGCTAGACAAAGGTGCAGCTACCTATTGATAGATGGAAGGTTTGGCTAGACAGGCAAAGAGCCATTTCAAAGCCTCACTTCTTATACAATGTGAGAGTTTAGAAGGGATTTTTAACCTTTATGGAAAATCTCTGATGGATATAAGGGCTGGAGTGAGCTTTTATCCACTCCCTCTCTACCCTTTATATGGCCCTGTCTCCATGTTTGAAGAGATCCTCGTGGCAGCAGAGTGTGAATGTCGTCCTGTCATGATGTTCATGAATCCTGTGTATGGCAAAACAGATTCTTAACCTTAGAGAGTAAGAATACAATAGTTCAGAAAATATAATTAAAATTTTCATTATATGACAAACCTTTTGTGTCCCATGTATTATGAATTTTTGTGATAAGATCTTCAATCCCAAAACCTGTTTGTGCAGAGACAAGAACTGTATGACGAATATTTGCTCGACCTAAGTCAGTCTTGTCAATTGCAGCGGCAAGAGAATCTTCAATTCTCCGAAGGTGATTTTTCCCATCAGCTGGTAAAAGGTCGACTTTGTTTCCCACCACTACAACTGGCCTGCGTGTGCCTACAAAATAGATAAACAGTGGCCAATTAAGTATTAACTTTTATGATAATTTACAACCATTCATATACTGGTACAATATAGTACAATCATGCGTTTACTGGAACAATATAGTACACGCATGCATATACTGGTACAATATAGTCAAATTTCTATCATAGAAATACCTGCCTCAATTATATTAATATGATGGATTTTGAAGAGGCTACTAAAAGAGGAATATTTAATACCAATCAGAATGACCTCAAGAAAGCTCATTCCTCTACAGTATATTCAAGGTACCTCTCCAGCAAAAGCCCTGATGCCTTAGCCCTTTCCAGGTCCTGTAGTACAATGGTCTACATCCTTCACATAATTCAGAATTCTGTGTTCAATTAACAAGGAGAACAGAAGCTGGATGAGAAACATCACCACTGTACTTAGAGAAATAACCCAAAATCTGCAGCGAAGAATTCTTCATGCCTTCACCAGAGTGCATCAGATTGTACAGCTGAAAAAAGCTCTTAGTTGCATAAAAAATCTATGGTTCTTTAATCTTCAAAACTGAAATATCCATACAGTACTAAATGCTCATACACATACCTATGATATCTATGAAGTTAGGCCAAATGGAGCATGGTACATCTAGAAGATCTACCACCACCAATATCAATGCCTTCACATTCTTGATGGGTTCTAGGATTTTGGGGTATACTGATGGTGAGACACGTACATTTAGAGCCATTTTGTGGTATCTCAGAAAATAGCAACGCTGGCAGAGAACACTACGCAGCTCACCACGATTTAGGCCCTCAAAATCCTCTTTTGGTACGAAGCCTAGAGATAGAAAATTAAATAATTATGCATGAATACTTCTTGGAGATACTGTATCCCACTCAGTTACTTCAAGAAGCACCTTCCTTTCTGATACCACTGGAAAGATCATAGGCAGACAGGCAAGCTGATATTCTGCACAAGAGTAGGGAAAAACTGAGTGACCTGGCTTAGAATATAACAAAAATCTTTGAGTCTTTCACAGGAATTATTTAATGATAGTATTAGTTTAATGTGATGACCAAACCACACATCAGAAAATGATATGTGATTTGGTCATCATATCTTCAGCCACATTATTATGACTCCTTATCTGTACATTAGTATCCCTCCTCTGTACACTCTCAAAGTTTCCTTTAATTTTATGATTAGAAGTCCAAAATTGTACAGTATACTCTAGGTGTGGTCTGACCAATGAATTATGGAGAGTGATGGGATGGTCTTTTATGAACACAGGTGAACATGTCATACTGTGAGAAAATAGTGAAGCCTCTTGATGGGATCAAACCCACTTCCCTGCACTCCTCAGGCACATACACCACCAACTATACCACTTGATCACATTGAATGGTTACAACACTTTCTCATAGATATATCACATCCTTGTGATTTTGTTTGTGTGTGTGTGTGTTTATACTGTAGTTGTCCACAGCCTTAATGTTGAATAAATTACCACAGTTACCTTCCTGGGTATTTTCCTGGATGATCTGCAAACATCCAGGACACATGAATTAATTCAGTAAGTTTCATGGGCTACAAGCCCAGAACACCCAAAAATACATATAATTTAGGAAATACATATATATTCCATCAGTATCACATACAGTATAGATTACAATTTATCATACTATTGTGTATCAATTGTTGTCAACTGTCTCTGTTGTCAACTAATTGTTATCAAGAATATCTAACATTTTAGTGAATGTCAAATTATTATTATTTTTTTTTACTAAATCTACTCAGTATATTACCTGGGAAAGCAGGAGCCTGACAGTGAAGGTGAGCCCCACATCCACCACAAGGTACATCACTTACAGGAATGGTGGGATCTGCTGTACCATGTTCTTTAATTAGTGGAGATGATTCTGTATTGATGTCTTTTACAAAGTCTTCACTTATAGAGTCATTAAAAAAATATTCATCTTTAAAGTTAGTTAATGTATTTTTGGAAGAATCTTTTTTGGATGTGCTTTCTAGCTTCTGCAGAATTCCCTCTTCATAGGCAAGCATTCGACAAGCTATGTCCTCTTTCACGGTCATGGCAATATTATCATCATTTAGTTCTGACTCTGCTACTTCTGTATGTGATTTCAAAGTAATATTCTCTAAATTTATATCGTGTGTGTGAGAGTATGGGTATGCTACAGTAGAACTTGCACTTGAAACACTCTCCAATTCAAATTCATCACTAGTTTTCTCATCCACTGCCAGCATTTTTTCAATAATAAGAGGAGTTGCAGCAGCCTTTATTTTTCTATCTTTTGCAACTTTAAATTTCTTTGCTAATCTATTCCTAGTGCCATAATTCAAATGAACACTTTGATCAGCTATATGAGAGCTGTAGATAATTCGTTTATCATTTACATATTTAACAATTTCTGGTAATTTGTCTTGATCAATATTTTCTTCTTTTATATCTTTCTGTAATACTGTTATAGCGTTTAACGTCCTTTTCATGTGAATAAACCTTAGGTTATGTTGGTTAGGCACATTGCATAGCACCGTAAACTTAGGTAAGATTGGAATGTGTGTTATTACAAAACAGTAATTATGAATCCTGGTTGTTTCTAGCATGCTAGAAAAATTCAAGACTTTTCCAATGTGGGCCATCATTCAGTTCAATGGAAGATGTATGTTACAGCACAATCTGCAAGTTAAAAAAATATATATATATATTAATACAAAAAGAATATGATACCGTAGTTTCATATGGGAGAAACATTTGTGAGGAACTATTAACCTTCAATTTTCATTTGTGCATTATGGTTGATGACTACACAAACAATGTTGTTGAGTGATACACCATTGTTAATTGTTAGGTATTGCTTACGTGTTGTTTGTTGGAGTTTAGGACTTTTTCTTTTGCAATTCGTACAGTTTCAGACTTCACGAGAGCACAAAGTGGTGCTCGTGGTGGCCTACAGTAATGTTTGTTGATGGTCTAAGGTGGTCGTTTCTGGTACTATTGTAATGTTTACGTTTTCTATGGTTTTGAAAGCTAGCTATTGTTCCTATATAATTTATAGATGTGTGTGTGTATTCCTATATTGAAAATCAAAATATAATGTACTTAATTTTCTCATGCAACAGCTTATCCCAAACCCAGATCAGTGGTAAGTTTATATATAAAAAATAAGCAACTCGCAAGAAATTATATGTTTAAGATTGGGGGACACTTATATTTAGGCTATAATACATATTGACTGTACAGCCAAAATTGTAACGATATTTTAAAGTTATTACGAACAGAGCCTCTGGTTCTGATTATGAATAACGTCTTTTTCTCATTTTTGGTTACAAATATAAAGCCTTTAGTAGTTACGAATGAAGCTTCTGATTTCTGAGATGAGAATCAGGCTTCAAGACGTCTTCCCTAAACTATCCGAGGCAGTGATCAAATCAAAGTTTGGGGAAATAATAAAAAAAAAATTATACCATGGAAGCACTAGTAATTAGAAAATAACACCTACTACCCAGGAACAAAAATTGCGTCACATTGTTTAATAGGAACAGAAACAGAGATGGAACCCAGGAGGCGAAGCTGAGCCCCGGCAAACCACAGTTAGGAAAATAGTGCATAAATAGATATACAGTACATCAGAAATAGAATCATCGATGACAGTGCAGATGATTCCTTATAAGGTATACTCTACCTCATATATCAAATACCTTCCCTGGACCATGAATGACAACACCCGTACAGCTGAGAATGGTTTCCTTTTGGCCATAAATTGTCCCACATGCAAATCCTGTCAAACCATCCATGCCACTACATGGTTCCTGAGATGATGACATTCACGGAGCCACGCCACCAAGCATGGTATTCGAGTTCTGCATCATGCGTATTGCAATTCATTGACCATTTTACGCAAAACATGTTGATAAATCAGTATTTGTCGAATAACAGGAGAGAAGTTAGTTTTATACTAAACTAAGATCGCCATATCACAAGATAATTTGTGAAAGAGTTGTGAAGTCTGTTAGAGAAAAGCACTAAGCTAATATGACGCATTTGGAAGGGATATGAAGACAGTTCATTTTCATACAGAGTTTACACTTGCAGGGCTTAGGATTTAGAGATTCGTTATCAGCTCACATGGTACATCATTATTTCAGTCATGGCATTTTGAACACCCACAGTACTGTAGTTTAAAGCCAGATGAAATATTATATAATTTGAATTAAGTTATATAATATCTCATCTGACTTCAATCTATGGTACTGTGGGTGTTCAAAAAGCCATGTCTGAACTAACGATGTACCATATGAACAAGATGGCCTCGAAGTACTTCATGAGCTTCAGTTGGAGGGAAGATACAAATTCATGTGGTTAAATTTTAATGACAACGAAATTATATAGCAGACACAAAATCTTGAAACAAACTGAACAGGGAGCCTAGGTGTCACTATTATACTATTGTACTATTAATGTACAATGGTAATTAGTACATTATTAATTTTAATACCAACATATGGTATTTTAATATCAACATATGGTACCACACTCTATAGTGAAATATATTATTGGCATATTAGTACCACATGTTGCATTACTAGTTCAACTAGCCTTGGTGCCATACTTCATTACTAATTGCTCAACTATCCTTAGTATAATACTTCATTACTAATTGTTCAACTAGCCTTAATGCCATACTTTATTACTAATTGTTCAACTATCCTTGGTGCCACACTTCATTACTAATTGCTCAACTAGCCTTGGTGCCATACTTCATTACTAATTAAAGGACTGTTGTTGTATTACAAATGATCACCCATAATAATACCAACACGTCAGTGCTGATGTAATTGTAAATCGTGTTAATGCAATAATCAAAAGAAGGCACCATGCAGGGAACAAAGTGCGTCAAAGACTCTACTCGGCTGGCATTGCAGGCTAAAAAAAAGGCCATGTCTGCAGTCTATTGTTTAAGAGTAAAAGGATCAATCTATGTTTATGTTGCGCAAACATAATGGCCTTGTCACATTTAAACTGAAACACTCCTTCACATCCGACCATTTCAAAACTATAAATGCACAAATTGTGCTTTAAATGCCTTATTATTGTTATTATTATTTAATTGTTATAGAAGATGATTTGAAATCGTTTCAATATATCTGGCGTCGCTACATTAATTTCACTGACGCCCATTAAGCATGTCATGTTCAATTTAGAATATATATTGGATCAAAATTATGAACATTATGGAAAGCCGGCTGTTATTAGTATTATTAACAAAAGTAAACAGTAGTAATAATTAGAAGTCGTAGTATTAGTAACAGTAGTTGTGCTGTTAAGCAATAGCAATTGTGGTAATGTAGCAGTGCTAAATGCAGTAGTAATTTCTTTATTGTTTTTACTGTTTTTGTATAATTAAGCATTATTGTTGTATATTTCGATCCAGCTAGTCACGTATATGCAAAATTAGTCCTAGAGTACACCAGTATTTAAGCCTATAATTCCTGTGTCCCACATACCTAATTCTCACACATGGGAGCGTGGTGGACTACACACTTCCGCGCACCTGTGAACACCCAACACGCTCAAGCGCAACGTTACTCGCGCAGTTCGTGTCCCTCGAGCGCTCCCGGTATACAAGTTCTTACCAGAACTACAAAGGAATTTTTGATTATTCATCTAATTACAGAAACCATAGCAACTTGACGCATTCCCACACTAGCTGAACTGTTGATAAGCTGCGTTTATTTTTTGTTTAGTCTGTCATTGGTTTATTGATTCTAGACATTTAGTTAAGGCTTTTTTTGTATTTTAGGCTTCTTTTTATTTTACCTGAATTTACCTGAGGGACACCATCTCTCGTGATATCGACGGGAACAGGAAATTTGTTGAAGATCCTCTTTATTCACTAAGATAATTTTTCAAGAATTTTAAGCTAAAGTACTGTCTTGGCTTCGGTGGGTAAGACACCGAATAAGACAGTACAAGACAAGTACTGTCTTGGCTTTGTTTTTACCTTATGGAAAAAGCATCTCCTCTTTTGTCCTACCTTCTGGCTTGTTGAGTTACAAGCTGTTGCCTCCTGAGTGCGTTACATTGGATCTTTAAAGAAGTGCTCTGTCTTCCAGTTTGTTAATTTGTGTGTCTCTATAAAATCATTCTTAGCATGTCTGGTTTGTAATGTTGTTAGTCCTGTGGCCCCCAACCGTTCCTGGTATGAGAGTTGAATTAGCTCTGAGACAACTAGTTGTTCTACATTGTATTTTCCCTTATGCAGAAATATGTCCTTTTAAAGGTGAGGTCTCCATGCTTGTACAGTATACAGTACTGTGAAACACAGTTTTGCTGCCGAATGTTATACAGTAGTTTCATGTTAATAACATCCTCATGTAGCCTGTAATAAGAAGCTCTTCGTGCTGGCTGGCTGTTGTGAAGCTCCAAAAGTCCACTACGACTCACCTTAAGGTTTACTTGCTAAGAATATATCCTAATGGTCAGGCTCTCGCGCTAACACATATTATTCTCGACCTAACTAAAGTTTCTGTTATTGTTCGTTCGTTCTCCCGATTTGTTAGATTTTAGATTTAGATTTTTTTTCAGGTAAAGGTACATACATTGAAGATGAGTTACAAACATAATGTTGGATTTAACGATAGAGTTAGTACATACAATACCTAAAGCCACTAATACGCATAGCGTTCCGGGCAAACTGTTCTTGTTTTCGTTCCCTAACTATGTCTCTGTGTCTCTCCACCCCGTCATGAATCATTGATTCTTGTTCCTTTGTTCACATCATTTTCAGAATTATGGCAGTTCTGAGTTCTTTGTCATGACTCTCTGCATTTGCTGCACTCGATCACATTCCTCACTCGCTGTATTTTTCGCTGTTTTATTTCCCTGTCAGCGAGGCGTGGGTCGGTGTTGTCTGGGGTTCAGAGGGTCAGGGATTCGGGAACCACATATAAACAGTGATTAATATATATATATATATATAGTAGGCTCCTTTGTGTTGTATTTCCCCATGATAATTGCTCGCTACGGCCGCTGTTTCTTTCATTGTTTTTGGCTAACATTACTTCTTCTCTTTCATTGGTGGCATTTGATTTTATATTTTTCTGATTCGCCTTGTTTTCTCGCGTATTTGTAGGCGTCTCTTATGGCTTTTTATTTTATACATTGAATATCTTATCCATTATGTACTATTTTTGTACAGTATATAATGAACTGTACCATTATGTACAGTTCATTATATTGAACTGAAAAGTCATTATTATTATTATTATTAACATCTTTATTGACAAAATTAATTACAATTTTGCCTACCCATGAAATACGTTGAGCTTTTCCGGCGAATGTTATGACTGAAAAGAAACAATTTCATAAAATTAGTACAGTTGTAATATATAAACATTAATGAATCAATGGAACTTGTAGATAAGTAAAGGAATCTAGAGTAATATTTGATAATAGGCTTCCTGTCCTCGACAAAGGGAATCTACACACACACACACACACACACACACACACACACACACACACACACACACACACACACACACACACACACACACACACACACACACACACCACACACACACATATATACACATAGATTCTGTACCTACCTGCAAAGCTCCAGGTACCTCATACCGGCAGGTCTGAGGGGTCTTATGACAGGACGTATTATATAACAGTGTACTAGATCAGTTATTAAATTATAAGCATAGTGTACTGACGTCGGGTTGCAGTTTGCGGCCATAGGGTTAAGGCTTACTTAGAGGAAAATAAACGTGAAATTGATCCTTCGTCGTAATGATACAATCAAGGACACCCTTTGCCCCTCCATCTTTCTGATACATACATTACTTTCCTCTTTCATTTGTCTGATATCCACCCACCCCCTCTCTATCTCATCTACCAGACAACCTGTCCTCCCGAATACTACATAGCATTTTGATGGGAAAAAAATCTCCAACGGACAAAATATAAATCATAG